ACATAATTATCAAAGGCCAGAAGGTAAACCCACCTCTTCTACACTTGAAATCGCACGTACACTTACTGCAAAACTGTAGTTGGCAGTATTCATCATCGTATTATACAACTTTGCCTTTGTTACTATCAAAATCGCATTCCTGCTCCAGTACCGCCGAGTGTTCCCGCTTCCAACAGTCGAGTTGATCTGCAACATCGGAATCGCATTCCTGATCCTGTTTGGAATATCCCTTGTCATCTCTACGGGCGTCACCTACAGCATGGTGTTTGGAAACAATTTTTGGAACTCCCCCATCGACATCCTGGGATGGTGGCTTACGAATGCCGCCATACACCTGGTCACAGACATATTGATATTCATTCTGCCCTTACCACTTTTGAGCCGGCTCAGGTTGCGCAAACAACAGAAGTTGGCGTTGATTGCCAGTTTTGCCTTGGGTTTCTTGTAAGCAACAATTTGAAACTGGATTGCAGCCTTGGATATTCCGCCGAGCCCCTGTGTCGGCGCGACTGAAGTCTCTTGCTAACACGGATCACCTGTCAGGACCTGCGCTATCTCCATCATTCGCATAGTCTCACTCCCAGCATCGCTTGATACGATTGATCAGACGTACGAGGGCGTGCCAACCATCGTTTGGAGTGTTGCCGAACTTTCAAGCGCTGTCATATGTTGCTGTATTCCAACGCTTCGCCCATTGATTCAAAGATCTCGGTACCTGCCCGGCGGAAGCGCATTCAGCGGAAGCGGGTTTAGCAATACACCTCTTTCCCCATCCAACTTACCGCAGCACAGTGACAGAGTGTTTTCTTCGATGAGTTACGTATCGGACACTGCAACGAAAAAGGTCAAGCCTAGCTTTTCTTGGAAACGAAGCCGCCAACGAAGCGAGAAGTCGACCATTACAGGCGTTGATGAGATTGAGCCGGTGCCTGCAACGCCAATGATGCCCGTCGAACCGATAGTGCCGGCAATGCCGGTATTAGAGGTGAACGGCGTCAGACAGAAAAGTAACGGAATCTTTGAGAACGGAGGAATTCCGCAACAAAGAAACAGCATCAGGAACAGTATGTATAGCGAAGGGAGTCTCGGAGTCGGAGATGGAAGTGTGAACAATGAACTGAGTGTTCGGAGGCACATGAGCATAGCGTTGACCGAGAGGGACTCTGATGACGATGTCTCTTATTTCGGAGTCAGGGAGGACGATGTGAACATGATGTGTCCGACTCCGCTAAGTCCCCCACCAAAATTTCAATAGTCGACGCGCTCTTCATAGCATGACTCTGTAAATACAACGATGGCAATAGGTGGAACCGCAGTTGCACTGCCGTTAATATGACTTATGTAACTCGACTTATACCTTCTTCCAAAAACTATGCCCACTGAAAGCAGCTTTTCTCAGCTACGGGACCGGCTTTTTTTCTTTTTCTATTCTTTTTTTTTTGAAATGGATAGAGTTGGTAAACTTCAGCAACCGCCTCAATTGTTGCTAGTTTTCATCCACTCGTCTGAACTGTGACCAGAATACTTTAGCACCAGCACACTTGTTGGTCACAGCGATCCGAGTCTGGGCAAAGTCATGAAAGTTGATTTGAACGCCATCGAGCCTGATACGTTGTAGAGCGTTCAACTGTTCATCCTTCCCCTTTGGCGACCCAATGATTCCAATACTACTATCAATGGCAAACCCCTCACTTCCTTGGCATGTTACTTGCTTCCACGCCACGCATGCGTATCAATGTCATAGACCACATTTGCATTGTTGAACTCAACGGTTCTCTCCTGGATGCCCCAGAGGTACTTCTAGCATAGGTTTCATACCTCCTTGGATGTACCGCAGGAGACAATAAATGGGTTGAAAATGATCATCGAAGTATAATCACTGGCGTTGACAGCTGCCCTGATGGAGGCGGCCTAGTCTGGAAGAGTCTACAATGCCCTGTTAATGTGTACCATTCTTTTTGAATTGATAGAATTTGATCGGAACATAGTGCGGCAAACTCGATACGGCCAGGCGCGAATTTGAAAGCACGTAAGGGCCTGCCAAATTGCAGTTCGGGCATGTACCGGGCATTTTCAAGCCGTCATCGCGACACCGTGCCCTTACTGTCCGGGCAAATGTCGGATACATATCCGGGACGGATTTCGCCAACCAGACAAGCGAAATCAGAAGATACGTGCGTTGGTCACCTGGCAAAAGGCCAGCAAGCAACAGAGTGGTTTTCCCTTAGACACACAGACCACAATACTAGCCACAGCAAGGATACCTATCCTATCGATTGGCGTATTCGTACGTTGTCTCAACAGCCTGGAGGGGCAGGTGTTCCAGCCGCGCCTTAACGAACCAATGGCAGTATACAACTTCACGCTGTTTGGCAATAAAGCTTTACCCATTGGAGCCCGAACGTGGAGCCCGAACGTGGAGCCCGAACGTGGAGCCCGAACGTGGAGCCCGAACGTGGAGCCTTAACGTTACCATTTTTAGAGCCTCAGAAGCCGCAGGGATCAGATGCGAATGATTTAAGGGCATTGCTTACACAACTCTCCCGTAAGTAGTCGTCAGATCCGACATTTGACTACTGTTACCTTCAACCAAAGGCAGCTTAGTAGTTGACGAGTAGGGTATAGTCCAATGGCAGAATTAGAGGTCGGATGCTGCTAGAGTCAAGGGTTAGTCATACATATCAGCTGGCACGCTGGTGGTCTGGCAGTGGCTAGCTAGCAAGCCGGCTGGCGGTTTGACCGCCTTCGATAAGAGGCCTAGCACGATATTTGCCGCTAGGCTGCCTTCGATCAGAGGTAGCAATAGTCAAAGTTGAATCTGACGAGTAGCTGCCGCATAGCATCAGTCACCGGATGTGTCCTGGCCTGTACGACGCTAAACGTACCATGCTCGGGCTCAGGGGGACAACTGCCAGAATGTAGCCCAAGCGCACGGTAGCGGTGGGTACTAAAACGGGACTCTAATTTTCTCCGTTCTTTATCTACTATGTAAGTGCTAGTGCATTTGGGTTTCTTCATTGGACGGAAACATGTAGGCTGTAAATCTGATTGGCAGCCTCCACACCTTGTCAAATTTGATGTGGTCCGCACCGGTGGGATAAGCGCCGGTTGGACAGCCGACATGTTGAAGAGGTCGTTGATCAGAACCCGGCTAGTGGCTGTAGCTAAACCACTGTTATGGCAGAAATCTAGGGTTGCTAAGCTTATTTCCGTCCCACTCACCATCTCCAATTTGTGTTCTAGTAGGAGGAAGTCAAGCCTTTTGGCATACGCGATTGCAAGCTCAGGTATGAACGGGCCTGGATGAAGTGTATTCCGAACCTAAACTTTGGAGCATCAATAACTGGTGCCAGTCAACTTGATTGCAAAGGCTTCTTAGCTCGACTATGATGCCCCAACTAAACAGCCTCCGGTTCCCTTCTTCGCACTCGCTTTTGTGATTTACAGCTTTACACGTAAGGTATTGCAATTGTCGCCGACGATCTTGCTGGAGTCGGAGCACTCGGATCAGTTCTGGCACTTCAGGGCCGTCTCTAATTGATTTTCAGCCGTCGCACGTGGCCCGAATACAGCTGGGAAATGCACCACCCTGTTTTCTCGAGGGAGTCGATTCCAATGTTTTGGCAATCATTGACAGGGGAACCGAGTCATGTGTTCTTGTTATCTAGTATGGCCATAGTGAGTTAACAGCCATGGCGTAGACGTTGAGGGACGGCGTTCCAGGGACCGGCTTGGCTTCTGTATCGAGATACCCTTGCGTAAAAGGGAGGGACTAGAGCAGCTAAGAGATAGTTTGTATGAATTTGATACTGGTGGAGCTGGTGCGGTGTATGGAGCTGATGCCGTCAATTGAGCTATGGGGGCTGTGTTCTGAGCTTCACGAATACGGAGTGAGATCTTGATTGGTGGATTTCTGAGATGGAAAGACGAACGTGATTGGATGTTTTTGCCTTTTCACATAATGCAATGCTTACAGTCCTTATTTGAATCGGATTGTTAATGACCATCGCCTTCCTCTTCTTAACACTCTCTTTTATGACGTTTCCTCTCCTCGTATTACCAATCCCATCTTAGTACTTATTGAGGTTACCACCAGCATCGATACGCAAACTGAATCATATATTGCACCGATGCTGATAAAAGCATAGGTTTAAAAAAAAGAAAAAGGGGCTAGACAGGGAGGCCCATCAAAAGTTGAGAAGGGGACGCCGCTTCCCTGCGGACTGTATGGGAAATTCTGACTTGTTCAAGGATGTTACAAATCAAAGCTCCTGTTACGCTAACCGAGGCAAGCCCAAGTAATGAAACGATACTAAGCCCATTTTTCAGTGTTGGATATCCTGTAAGATACGGCTAGACTACTGCCCGCCTGCGAGTCAGACCTCAGCCGGCTAGGAAGACTTCTGCTTGCAGAACAGAAAGCTGCAGCTATACCCAGGTAAGATCCATGGTTCTTGGGTATTTGCCGCAATAGGTACCGTACGTCTAGTAGAGGAACTCTGCAGGGGGCTCTTAGGATAAACTTCTCCGCCTCTAATCAGGCGCTTAAGTCACGGTTTTCTACCAGAAGGTACACATGGTACACGGGTGAAGTATTTAAATATTGTACAAGGACATGTGACCGTGGATATGATATGAGAAAAATATGTAATAAATTATATCTTCAAGTGAATTAGATTGACGAATATAGTACCTACTCCAATAGGAAACGTTAGGTACTGGTATACCATGACAAGCAACATCTACAGGACAGGAGTGGGGTTAAATAATCAATACAATCTTGCTCACAGGCATGAATGCGCCACGTTAGTGACAAGTTCTGGTATGCCCAGCTATATATAAAGCTCAAGAGAAGCTGCTCTCCTGGTGCTGGGTTCTGTCGACCACCAAGAAATCAGCTACTTCTATACCTACGCTTCCGCAGCTGTAACGCAAAACCATTTCCAAATCACATCCTGTCCAAAAAAAACAAGCACCCTTAATCCAATCATATCTTCAAGATGATGATCAAGGTAAGTATTCAGGGCTGAAGATTTGCCACAACAATGAGAGGCTAATCTTCGTTCCAGTCTGCCGCTCTTCTTGTTACCCTTTTCCCGACCCTCGCTTGGTCTTGCGCCACTTACCACTTCTGCCTTTGTCAAAATGGCGACAATAGTTTCAACGACGCAGTTATAAAGAAGGCTTGTGGCAACTTCGGAGGAAGCTATATGAAGTTTGATGATGGTCGCTATTACTGTGTAGCCGGGTCAGCTAACGCTGGTATTGGTGGCGTGCAGCCACTGTTGCTGAGCAACTGCCGCTTTAGAAAGGCGTGCAACAACTACGGTGCTGCTGGAGACTCCAACTGTTGGGCGAAGGATTAGAAGAAGATTGTTAAGAGTTTGATGAAGAGGAGAACAGATAATCGAAGGGAGATGGGATGGCTGTCAAGTTTGTCAGTTGAGAGGAGGCAATTCTTTGTATCTTACAGCCTTCTCCAGCCTAACCTTGACCTCATCTTATTGGTAGACATTTCCCATCCTATTTCCACACAGACTAGAACCGAGTTCATCGTGCGTGTAAAAAATCACATGCACTAAGTGGGAAAGTTACTGTTAATTATCTGACCAAGGAAATTGGTCTTGAAGGCATTTGTCGTTGCTAAAAACAACCCGTAGATCCTGCTGAAGCGTAGATTATTATAAGGTTCACGAGACTACCAACCTCCAATGAAGCCGCAATTCAGTAAGAAGCATAGAATACTGTGTTGTATGTTATGTTCAACATCCTGCCTTCTGCTTTGTTTCATTTCCGTACTAGGCTAACTAACTTTTTCGGCCCAACAAGAATAACAGCACCAGGGTTGCCCCACGGGCGCCCGGCGGCTACCAACAGGACATACGCATGAGGTACAGGGCATGGCTACTCTCATGCATTTCAAGCAGTTTAGATATTCATATGCCTTTCCAAAAGAATGTCTCTGAGAGGTTGAAACTAGCGCGCGATATCTCATCCTCTGGCCTGGAACTTGAAGCAACAATGACGATGTACTCTCCGGCCTCTGCAATCCACTTAGATCTCTCTTGAGACCAGTAAGAAAGAGAATACTTGTCAAGAACCATTTCAACAGTTTTAGTCTCCTTGGTAGCTATGAATGTCTTCGCGAAGGCCTTCAACTCTCGTACAGGTCTCAAAAGCGTACTCTCCGGGTCGGAGATGTAGACCTGCACCACCTCGGCGCCGTCGTACGGTCCGGTGTTCTTCACATCAACTGAGATCTTCATTTGGTGCTCTGCAAAAGGCTCGAAGCTTCTAGGTACCTCAAGTCTCGAGTACTTGAACGTCGAGTAGGAAAGCCCTTGTCCAAAGTAGAAGAGCGGGTCCCTATCAACCGATTCGTAGTATCGATGGCCGATAAATACTCCTTCGCCGTATACAATGTCGTAGTCGGCTTTCGAAAATGTGAGGTACGCGGGTGTATGTTTGATGGACTTTGGAAAGGTCTGAGAAAGTCTGCCAGAGGGATTGACGTTACCAAAGAGAACGTCCACGATACCATGTCCGGTCTCTTGACCGCCAAACCATGCGTGAACCAGAGTGGCTGCCTCAGATTCCCAGGGCATCTCGATTGGACAACCAGACTGGGTGACAATTACCTAAAGCCATGATGTCAGTAAATTACTTGGGGATGACTGTTCGTCTTTGGCATTAGGATAAGCTCACAACATCTGGGTTGGCCTTGAGAACGGCTTGGATCAAGTCATCAACGCGACCGGGAAGCCTGAGGTGCTTACGGTCCGCTCCCTCGTACTCGAAATCAGAGGATAGGCCAACCACAAGGATTGCAACATCAACAGTCTTTGCAAGGTCTGCAGCTTCTTTGATGGCAAGATCTTCATCGATCACTTCAAATCCACCGACACGTCCTGCAAGGGTCAATGCGGTACCGACGCCCCCGGAAAGATCTTCGTTTACTTGAATGACTTCCAGGGCGATGGGTTGCCCCTCAGTGATCGCCATGTCATAAAACCTCTCCATCGAAAGTCGATTGAAACATGGCGTAGGTCCCGTTTTGACCGGGTGCTCAGTCCATAAATCAACGACTTCTTTGCCATTGATTTTCAGCTTGCCTTTGCCAGAGGTGCTGAACCCAAAACGGAAGAGGCCCGAGGTAGAAGGAGTATAGTTTGCTCGAGCTCTGGCATAAAACTTCTTCGGTAAGGATGCATGGAAACTTTCAGGTACGTCAATCAACTCCTTTTGTGCATGGGCCGACACAAGGACTTTGGCACTAGAATTTTCTTCAGGGTCTTCTCCAAAGACCTCGACGGACCACCCAAAACCCCCATGTCGCGCCTCTGAGGGTGCAAGGTTTTTGAGAAGCGGGCTAAATCTGAAAGCTGCGGGTTATGTTAGCCCAATGTTTGACCTATTAACAGCGCGTAGGCTCACAATGACACCCTAAGGCGTATGCCACGTTTTCCTTGCCGACCTCCTCTACAATGGCATCAAACGGTGACACAGAGTAGTAGGGTTCAACTTCCGCACTTCCGCCTCCGCTGAGGGCGGGATTCTTGACGTGGTCACCAATCAAACCAATCCTCTTCTTCTCTGTCTTGTTGATAGGAAGCACTTTGCGGTCGTTCCTGAGCAAGACAATGCTTTCCGAGACCAACTTGCGAATCAGCGCTTGTTGCTCCGGTGTATTCGATGCCGAGAGATAACTAGAAGGTGTCGTATCCGTGACCTTGTTAACAAGATTCAGAACATGTCTTACAGCATCGTCGATTGCTGCGCGGGGAACTTTTCGACTGTTAACCGCCAAACTTAGACACTTTCCCCTCCACTGCGTCGGTCCAGGCATCTCCAAGTCCAAGCCGGCATTTAAAGCTTCTGAAGTGCTGTACGTGCCAAACCAATCGCTCATAACGAGTCCTTGAAAACCCCATTCGTCTCGCAAAACCTGCTTGAGAAGAAAAGCATCTTCACTGACGTGGACTCCGTTGATTTTATTGTATGAAGTCATAAAAGTCCAGGGATCCGAGTCGCGCATGACCAGCTGAAACGGCATGAGATGGACCTCACGCAATGTCCGCTGCGTCATGCAGACGTTGTCTTCAATGGAGTTATCGGACTGATCGTGTGCGGCGTAGTGCTTGACGCTGGTCGCAACTCCTCTTTCTTGTACGCCATTGATGTAGGCGGCCCCAAGGATGCCACTCAGATAAGGGTCTTCGGCAAAGGCCTCGAAGCCTCGTCCAAACAGCGGCGAACGCTGGAGACAGATTGTGGGAGCAAGTAGAACGTGTACTCCTCTTGCTCTAGCTTCTTCACCAAGAATATTCCCAATTTTGTGCAGTAGTTCGACATTGAAGGTTGCTCCCATACCAGTGGCAGACGGCAACATGGGGCTTGGGTTCTGGGGATCGACAACTGTTAGTATGTATTGGATGGCCAAGAAGCCATACCTGTATCAAGGTTTTGACCTAGGCTTATGGTCATGCATCAAGACTGGATGCTTACCCGAGCAAATGAACGGCGGCCGCGGATTCCATGGGGCCCGTCTGAGGTCTAATTAGACAAATATTAGCTTCGTCTGCTATGGATCCCAAGTTTCAAATACAATAAGTTCGGGAATTCCACGATGAGGGAGACCGGTGGTCCGAAAAGATCCTTGGCCGGCAAGTAGCTCGATTTTTTCATCCCAGCTAAGCTGCTCAATTAAGGCTTCAACGTCGAGACGAGTGTTGTCGGTTGGCATCTTGATGTCTGAGACCAACAAAACCTGTGATTAACAATGATGAGAAAGAACAAATGGAAATATAGGGAAGTGCATCGCTGGTTCCTTCTGGTATATCTTATGCGGCATGGCCTCTCATCAAAGTGGTCTTCCTTCAGGGTCAAGCACAAATAAGCCGCCGAATTGACCGATCAGTCGTAGGAACCACGGCCCGATTCGGAGTATCGTCGGCAAACAAAACGATATTGTACCTGTCACGCGTAAGCAAAATCCTGCCGCAACTTACTCAGTCAGTCCAACTTTGGTCATTTAGGCTAAAGCAATATTCCCGGAACCCTGTCCGGAGGCTTCCGGACTCTACGGGGCCCCCACAAAGTCCACATCCGATCCAGTCCGGGGACCAGTTGATGGCCTGGCATGGCGAATGCGAATGCCGCTGACTCCATTCGGTTAAATCCCCGCACAGGACTTGGACAGTACATGGCCCAGGATTAAATACGTTAATTCATGAGATACGTTCCAAAGCTAGATCTCAAAGATATCATTAGTCCAAGTGAGTAGACTTGAGGCTCCGTCTCAAACGCTACATGTACTCCCCATAACAATCAGTAAGAGAGAAACATCGTGTCTATGGGTCATTTTCTGGAGTTAGTGTGTGTACTTAATCTTCTCAGAGAATACTACTATATTTAAATGTACTGAGGCCTGCTGTTTGTATGCCTTGAACCGTGAGCATGTACCCGAGCTAACGTATTTAATCCTGGCGCATGTACCAATGCCAATAGCGGATATTTAAATCGCCGCTTGATTAGAGGGGAAATTCAACACAGAGCGTTATAAGCTTCATGAGGACGGACACACTGACTGCTACCTGTTGATTGCATGCCAGAAGTGAGGCTTTTGAAGCGTAAGCGAGGATATGCTGGTAGTCACCATGGGAGGTTTAGATGCTGACCATGTGTCTTGTTCCAAATGATGAAGGTCGATGCTGATCGACTGCCAGATGATGGACACTTCAGCTTGCGAAAAAGGGGCCATGCAGGTTTAATCTTTTCTTGGCATCAGTTCGCTGCTAGGCACCTAAATCGTCCATTTGTGATCAGTTGCTTTCTAATAAAAACCGCCATCACGCTCAGCAAAGAGTAGTAACCAGCAAGGCAGTTTTGGTATTGTTGTGGCAGAAGTAAGCAAAACAACATGAGTTCAGTGAGATTGTCAGCATTGTAGGCTCTTATGACACTTATCGTTTTGGAACATTGGTATTGATGACAGGACATGAAACTAGCCAACTGTAGTTTTGTTAAGGCATGTAGCCCTTGTTGTCATCAATGCTCAAAATCATTTCAGGAGATGTTCGACTGGTCTAGTAGCTTCTGGTTCGGTCGAGGTTTCGCCGCGAAAAGAAAAAAAAAAGGCAAGACGAAAGTGTTCACCGTCAACTAAGTGAGGTGAGACCAATGACGCTTGAAACCACCAGATCTACAATGAGCTGCATATACAAGCCAAGATATTATTACGGCGCAAACTTTTCCGGCCTAGGTACGTTCTCTGAAAGCTGGTGTATTGTTACATGCTTATTAGTGATAGTAATCTCTAGTCTCTGCATTGCAGTCCTCCTTGGTGGACTAAAAGAGCTTGGAGTGGTCTGGATAGCAAGACTTTCAGTATGACGTGTTGTCTAATGCTTACCAAATAGTGAATCTGACGGAACACAGAGAGTACCCAACCGAATTTCTTTCGTCGGGCGACAGCACACCGCTGATGCCTGCCGGTGGGAAATGAACTTCGTATTCTGTGCTATTTTCGTCTGCAAGGAAGTAGTCAGGACTCACTGTCGAGAGGCGGTCAGCGATATCACCCAACAGTCTTGTCTGAACGGTCGAATTACTTGAAGATAGTTACTGCCAATTTTCATGCATATCTCACATTCTTTTGGCACTCAACAGCATCTTACGATCCACATACACGATGTATGACCCGCAGCCAGCCGATTTTCTAGGAGTGACAGCTTATTGGGGAAGTAGTAGAGTTAGCATTGGTTTTAACGATGCTAATATACTGGGTAAAGCGAGATACACACTCTCTGGTCCGTAGGTTAGTAACCCGGTTCTGCAAGAACTCGATCATGTAGGACTGTTACAGCTAATGACGATGCCAACTAACAGAGCTGCTTCTCCTAAAGCCTCAAGACACGTCGTTTGGAGCCAGCAAGTTGAATCCGGAGCGTCTCATCAATTAGGCTGAGATCCTACGACCACGAGTGGGATTCATCTCGAAAAGGTTTCACCCTCTTTGCAGACATTATCGTGCATCGGAATGGGCCCAGGAACTTTGCATAAATAGGATTGACAAAGCCTAATTGAGAGATATGAAGTGCTCTTTGTCATCCACCGTGCTCGGTACAAAGCTGGCACTAAGAGAGGACGACATTAATCTAACCGCTGACATAGTGCCAGACCCATGCCCTTGCTGTCCCCGCATCTCTTTGATCGATCTGTGCCGAGTTCCGATATCACCAGGCCGCAGGACAGCGAATGTAAGATTGTGAAGTGGCTGCAGCCAGCCAACATGCAGGTGTTCCAGGTGCCAATAGCACACCACTAAGTGCATGCTTTCTCAATAAGAAATTTGACTGGCTTGCTTAGCCTAGACTTTTGTCTAGTTTTGAAGGTTCCACAACTCAACTTCATCCTTCGAAAGTCCCGATGCTAGACGATTCCACCTTGATTCCACGGTACTACTTACCATTCCGAGCCTCTGCTAACCCAATTGAGCCGCATCATGCAGGTATCTCTGCCGCCTTTGGACGCCGCGTGGGACCCGACCCTGCAGACTGACGACGGCGAGGAATATTGCTGGACGCCGTTGCAGCTTGCCGCCAGAGGCGGAGAACTGGACAGAATCCGGGAAATCCTTGCCGCCAACCCGGCCGCCGTCAACGAGCCCCCGCGCGGATACTACGGACAGACGGCCATCCAAGCTGCTTGTATGCACGGCCAAGAACAGGCCGTGCAGATGCTGGTCGATGCCGGAGCCGATATCCACTTCTGTGGGGGCAACAACTTCCAGAGGAATGCTTTGCAGATTGCTTGCGGGCACGGGAACGAGAAGGTTGTCGACGTCTTGCTAAATGCGGGTGCCAAGGTAAACGAGGTATTGTCGACACCGACACGTCGGATACCCGGGTCACAAGCGTCATCAGTAGCCGTGACGCGGTACAACGGAAGAACAGCACTGCAGGCAGCATCAGAGCGAGGACATGAGCATTTGGTTAGCCGACTTCTGGAGCTAGGTGCGGATATAAATGCTCCACCGTCACCAACGGCGGGTTACACGGCATTGCAAGCTGCAGCTGGCGGTGGCTACACGGCGATATTGAAGTTTCTCATCCAACACGGGGCTGACATCAATGGTGCCTCGGCAAAGTACAAGGGCTACACGGCTCTTCAAGGAGCATGTTTGCGAGGTCATGACAAGGTCGTTGACCTTCTCCTTCAGGAAGGTGCCGATGTCCACGCTCTTGGGGGCACTTACGGAGATGGGATGGCTTTGCATGCGGCAGCCGAGAAGGGCCGCTTAGACATAATCAAGCGCTTGTTGGCAGCCGGTGCTAATGTGAATGCTTGCAGTTTCAAGAGAGGAAGAGGACAAACTGCACTTCAAAGCGCCGTGGTTGGAGGTCACGATCAAGCAATACAGGTTCTGAGAGACAATGGTGCTGTAGGAAGGACTGGTGGAGGAAGATTTTTATTTCCTTGAACGTTATGCTTTGTGGGAGGATTACGTTGCTGTGCGGTGCTTATGATTGACCGAAGCTTAACGAAACATTGATTATCGTGCACTCCCCCTTCCCCCTATATTCTCACTTGCAATGCTGGCTGAGATTGCCCGATCTCCAAGCGAGATCATATCCTCATCCTTCACTGCAGCATTTTCAGTCCAACCCCACGGTCTCCCAGAGACACGATATCTTTCTCCTTCACTGAAACAACGCCAGCTTGGCTGCTCATCGCTGATAAGACCTGATTGGACTTCGTATAGCTCTTCTCATTGATCAGCATACGAATAACATTGATCATTTGTTCGAATACCATGTCAAGACGCGTTAGGGCAGTCTTAGGCAGCTCTAGTTCGACCTATTGTCGGTCGCGGAGCAATTGCCCGTCAATATTAATCCCCTTCCTGCTTGATTAAATCTTACATCTGTTGGCGGTGGCACAGGCAACTATTCGTGTCCTTGAGCCTCCCGATTTTCCCGATTCTTCCGCTCCCGATAATCATCCAGTCTGTCCATGCACCTCTCCCTATTGTGCCGTTCCGTGAAGACGCCCTCTTCCCGGTATATCTGCGCCTGGGGCGTATCCGGGCTGGTGCAATGTACGTGTTTTTTATCTACGGTAATCTATGTTGTTGTTATGCTTTAGCATAGAAGAGCTGTTGAGTTTAAACTGCGCCTTAGCGCGGAGATGGGTGCCACTAACCATTTCAAATTCTCTGGATATTTCCTTGACCATAGAGAAAGACTTGCGAAAGGTGTAGGTCTGGAACCTGCGCCAAGCTACTTCATCTAGTGCATCCTGTAAAGCACGATATTAGCAGCGCAATCATACAAAGCAGATGGCATGGACGGGTCACAGGAACGAAGGAGCTCATAAGGAGGAGAGGGCGGTTTGCGTTGCTGGGAACTCACGGGATCTGATGATCGGGTAGGCTCTGGACCAGTCTAGGACAACATCACTAGTGAGGTCTACGGCACTAGCGATCCCGTAAATTCACCACGGTTCCTCGCCGTCCTCCTTTATGCGGCAGATATATGGGATATGCTTCATCAGGTCTGCTACGGTGTCATTCCTGCCGAGGCAGAAGGAGTCGACGAATTCGGGCGTGATGTGCTCCCAGCCGCCTTCTGGTGGGTGTTGGATGACTTCCGGAGGCAGGCAGAGCTGCGTCAAGAATTCGTAGTAGGACGTGAGCTCTGAGACGAGCTCGTCCTTAGAGTATGAGGGCTCCGTCATGGGAGGATGCTGTAGGTCCGGAGGCGGCACACTGGGCATTCTCGGCTATTTACTCCCGCGATGCGGTTCCAACACATCGTTCCTGGATGGGTGAGACACTGGACCCTGGTTGCTGCAGAGCGTCGTGCCACGGGGTTGGGCCAGCACATAGGCACCGATACAGATCGCGGATCTCGCAAGATTGCGCAGTAACACGCATAGCGAAGTTTGCATGCGAGATGGCTCGAGGGCGAAAATTATCGCGCACCTTTGGACGACGTAGCTGTCCCTTTGGCTCTAGATTGCACAGATGCTTCGTTAATGTTGCACGTTCCCTTAGATTATGTCCTCGATCGGAACGTCCCCTGGGCAAGGCCCCTAAATTAGTCCTATTAATAGGCGCATCAACCCCTCATCCAGCCGATAGCATAGCGGCTGCACCCGCACCCCCTAACTGTGCTAGTCCAGGGCAAATAGATATCGCGGTTGGGCTTCACCACAACTTGCCTCGAAACCAGCTATTAAGAGGGTAGATTGAGAGATAAATCTCCGCGAGGACTCTCAGAGGGTCAAAGGTTCTCGACGCCGTCTCTGCCTTGCAGAGATAAGGCAACGAATGTGATTGATCAGCGCCCGGAATGCCGGCGAATGTTCCGTGCCGAAATGGCGGTGACGGGTCCCCCCGACCCGCGTTGCGGACTCCTCAGCAAGGCCTGGGGACTCTGGGACAACTCACGTTTGGCTGGAATGGCGGCAGGTGGGGACAAAAACCCTCACCGCGGCCATTGACATCGCGGCCGACGCATGGCGGTGGAGGTTGGGCATCATACACCGCGCATGATCCATTTTAGCGACGTGGCGGAAAAAAGAGAGCAGCTGGGTTGCGGTGCTGGTCTTGCCAACAGGCCGCGCAGGTTTGACGAGACCGCCCTTGACGACCCTCGCCTCGCCCTCTCTTTTTGCTCGCCCTGCCTCGACTGTCCTCGCTCTGTCCAAGGCCAGTAAGATCCATCCAAGCCAGTCAGCCCCCGGGTTGTTGTTGTTTGTTTGTGGTTCTCGTGGTTTGGTTAACACTACTGCATCCCACCGCTCATCTCACACCCCCTAGTCCCGTCATGCTGCAATGATCCATCATTCTTTCTGAACCTTTCCCCGCCAGAGCTACCATCGAACCTTTAAACAACCCCTTTTGATCTCTGTCTCCTTGACTTCTCCTTCCTCTTTTTGTTTCTGGGATGTGTGGCAAGAGATGGTGATCGGGAACCGAGATTTTTCAACTTTCAGGAGTAAGAGTACCAAGAGCACCAAGAGTGACTCGGGGAACGGGGACGATGCGTCCATAGGCACGCACGACAGCTCGTATGAGCACCCTCTGGGTGAGTCAAACCATTCACCCAAACCTCGAGACAGCTGGCGATCAACCTGCTGTCTTTGCCATCACCATGCGATGGATGTGTTTTGCTAACGTCTGAGACAACGACGTAGCTCGCAAAGGCTACGACATCGGCCCGGCGTCGAGATGTGAGGTGGGCGACGTCTTCGAATTCCTCTGGGCCGACTCGCACGAGTTTGAATGGGAGTGGAAGTGCCTTGGCTACACTCGCTTCATCGTCCTTCGACACAGCGACACTTTCCCGCATCACTGCGTTTGTGTGTAAGTTTTTCAGCGTCCTTACCCAGATTATCGTTCGGTTTGACGATGTTGGCTTTGCTTGTTACCCCTCCTCACTCACGCCCCCTCCTCGGCAAATGTCGCTAACCTCCGACCGTTGACCAACTTAGGCCCATCTCCACCCCCACCAAAAACGAGTTCCAGAAGCCCGGAATCGACTCGAGCCAACAAGGCTACGTTTTTGACGAAAATGATCGCACGCCGCCCTTCGACCGACTTCCTTTCTCGCCGGTCGGCATGCAGTTGCGCCCTGGGAAGTTCCGCGTCAAGGAGAACTCCCGCGCGAACTATGCCGACGTGCTCGAGATCGACCACGACGCCCAGGTCATGGTTGTAGGCGACGTCACGAGGTATTTCGATCGTGTGCGGAGGAATGTGAACAAGGCCGTCATGCGCAACGTCCTGAAGAAGGCGTTGGAGCAGTACCGTCAGGGCAAGCTCGTCAGCAAGAAGGGCGCGAAGCTCGAGGCCAGCGTTGTAAACGGCGGCAGCCAAGACGACGATGAACCCGAGGGTGAGAGCGACCCCGACCACCCCGACGTCTTCCTAATGCCTGACGAAACCGCCTCCGTCATCGAAAAGCGACAGCCAGAACCCCTCATCAGTGCAGAGATGCCTCCCCGCCCCCTCCAGCTCCACCGCTACCTCCGATGGATATGCCGATACAGCAGCCTTCGCCGCCGCGGGACGATGCGGCTTCGATCCGGTCCCACGCTTCGAGAGAGAGGAGACATTCTCGGAAAGAAGCCCCTCCGCCGAGAGGCGAGGACCTCCCGAGGAGAATGACCGACCAGCACGTCGACGGGGCATCCAGACCCTACCGCCAACGCATCGACCTGCCGCGATCTCGCAGTCATCGCCAGTCCGACCACGAGACGGGTTCTATGTACGACGTCGCTACGGCCAAAGCGGATTGAAGTCTGAAAAGGGAGGGAGAAGACGCATTTTTAGAACGGGCTTGTTTTCCAGGAGGCTAAACATCGTTGGTCTAGGGTCGGTCTCAGGCGCGTGAAGGGGCGGCTCCAATGTCTTTCTTTTTCTTTTATGACACCTATCATGATTTCATGCATCAAATGCCTTTTCTCCACTGCGACTACATCACCAACACCAACAAATAACGAGACGAGAATCCGCCAGCATTCACGGAGTACATTAAGATTTGTTTTCTGCTCTTATTTTACCAATATTAACATTCAACGACACATTACAAAAAAACTGTACAAAAATGATATAATCAAACCGAGATTGTTTTCTTTCCTCAGTTCTTCAAACCCCCTCCGTTGATCGATGTCGGTGATAACGCTCATGTTGAGTGGATGCATCTAGAAACATTCTGCGTGATCTTGCTGCTTGGGTAGCAATTTGGGCAGCAATCGATGATTTCTGTCAGATGCGCTAATTGCGGCTGCCTGCATCGCCATGCAAGGTGATTCACGATCCTTCACCACCTGGCCGGGCCAAAGGTCTCATTCTCCCCCACCGTCTTCAAAATGGCGCCATACGTGGAGTCCTATATGCGAGGCATGGTCAGTTTAAAATGAGCTCTCCACGGGGGTGATTAACAGCAACGCAACACAGTCATGGGGTCGGAACTGGAGTGCGCCTAGGGCGTTGTTGGACGTACCAAGGTGTTGTAAACATCAACGTTTCCCCACCATTGCGGTATCGTGACGTTGGGGAGCGTGATTGCGAAGAAGATAACGATGGTGCTAATAATCAGACCCGCATCCAACGCAGCGGCGGTGATGTAATTGTACGTCTGCCACCACCCGTGGAATCTCTTGCGGATGCCGTGGTTGAATATGAGGCCGACGATGGCCCAGCTCGAGAAGCTCAAGGGCGTTGCTGGCGGCAGCCAGCCCATTGCGCCCAGCATGACCGGTGCATGAAGTACCTTGGCGAACTTTAGGTTGAGAACCTTGGCCAGCACATAGAAGACGATGGGCAAGCTTGCGCCAATGAGCCAGAAGTAGTTGAAGTTTTGGTAGATGGAGCCGGCGCCGAACATTCTCCGAGGGCCAATCACGCCCCAAACAATGGAAGAAGAGAAGAACGCTCTTCCGTTAGGGCAAGTAAAGTGAGCATGTTGGGTCCTGTTCCAGAGTCAGAGATTAAGAGTCGAGAGATTTCCAAGGCAAGCAAGAGACGACTTACAGCGCGCAACAGTCCTCAATATTACCCAGCGTCCAGTTCATTACCGCAATCTGCACAAAGGTGGCCCATATTGTGGCTACGACTTGACACCAAAAGGTGGTGCGAGGCGGAATCTTCATGTAATGGGCCATCTTCAGGTCACCAGAATACGTCTGGGCTTGGCCGAGCGTGATGGTACTGTACACCTTGAAGATCATGACACCGATAGGCTTTCCAGGGATCATAAAGCCTGCCAAGAAGGGAGACAGAACGTTCAAGGCGAGTCCCAAGTTGGAGATCGCCAAGATCGTACAGGTGGGGATGACGAAGACCATAGCCAGAAAGTTGGCAACGAAAAACGCCCACCATGGGAGTTGAGAATCGTATCCCTCCGCAGTAGCAAGTCCGAGTGCGATCGCGATGATGAGCAAGGCGGCATACCACCATTCTGGCGCGTCACGGTACTTCTTCATCAACTTCAAGTGGATGTCTGCTTCTTGGTTACGAGCGGCCTTCAGCCGGGCCCAGATCTCCTTGCCATGGAAGAACCCGCAGTGTACGATTGCCGCAGTGAGGGCAGCAAATGAAAGGCCGTAGTTAAGGGCAAAGGTGGGTGGCAAAAACAGAGGTGAGTACTTCTCGTACTTCTCGACGTCAAAAGTGTAGCCCGGGCCCAAGATCTTGCTAACGTTGTATGAGCTCTGCGTGTTGTCGTACGTCTGCGATGTGTTGATGGGCAAGTACTCCGAGAAGAGTGCACCAGAGTACGCGATACCAATCGTTGGAATGATGACGAAGGTGAAGAGTCCGATCAGCACGTTGATATGCGTATGCGTCGGCGAAAGCAGAGGGTCTCCTAGATACGCAGAGATATACGTCCAGTCAAAGGTGATTGGGATGAGAGAAAGACCTGTGAACCCCCAAAGAGCTGGTTTACTACTACGTTGTTGGGCTTAATCCAAGTGACGAAGGCAAACACGGATAGACCTTGCCAGAGCACGCCGGGAATCCAGTAATAGCAGAACATGGCGCCAAGAACGTAGAAGAAGTATCGATAACGACTGATTATCCAGCCATTACTGTGCGTTCCGTCGCTCTTGCTCTTGTCGTGGAGGGCGTAAAACAAAGACGTGTTGGCGAATTGACTGGGCCAGATCATGGCCGATGGCCACACGAGAAATCGTCGGCATAGGCCTGCGAGGCCGATTCCGATGAGCTGGGAGCTCAGAGTGAAGAGAAGCTGGAAACCCCATCCTAGGTTGATGTCGTAGAAAGGCTTGCCCTGCAGCGCAAGGAGTGCGTCTGTACTGTATGCGTAGCCGATGGAGACATTGGACATAAGAGTGACGACGACGTGCTCTTTGATTGTGAAAGGCCCGGTGTTGAATGTCCATTGAAGACCGAATGTGTTGAAAACTTTTGTTGGCACAACTCTGGCCCATAGACAGCCAATTGGGTATACCAATAACTGGACGATAATGGATGGGAAATTAATGGCTGGACTCCTGTAGATAGACTGTTAATAAAGAAATGCACTGCTTCTTCGGACTCGTCGCTCGTTCGTACCTCATACTGAGAAACATATTGAGACCACTGCCGATTGTCACAAAGATCATCCCCAGAATCCATGCGCGGACAGTGTTCGCGACCTCCTCGCCATCAGTATTGCGGACGGCAGCGCGTACTTCCTCGTAAGGCGAGTCCTCGGTGAGAACAGTATCCGCGGCGATGATCTCGTCTGAGTCTCCATCTTGCAGGGAATTCTTGACCATGTCAGCCTTTTCTTGGGAGAGAGTGGGATCCCATTGGGGACCGCGCTGGAAGTTCTCTAAGTCTGTTGTCGCCTGAGAGACGTTGACGCCATGTTTCTTGTCGTCCGCCATACTGCCAAGTGTGTGGAAGGGGTTCGATTGTGATCCTGACGGCGTAGTGGTGGCTTTCAGTTCCAACAAGCATGCAATTAGTCACGGATCGAAGTCAGTGCGGCCCAATGGCACAGTAGTGTCCGATTCACCAAGCACTGGCGAGCTGCAGAGTGAAAAGGCGAATATGCAACGCTCTGCCGCCCCCTATATAAAGCAAATAGTCAATTGAACCTAATTTCGAAGACTTCCCAGGAAGGAAGTCGACTAGTTCCCCCATTGTTATCATAATGGCTACCAGGACATCCCGCCATAACGTACCACGAGGGTGCTTCTGTTATCAATTTTTCTCCACTGCGCTCCTAGTGGTTTGCGTTATCTAGACCCAAGCTGGAGGCGGGGTGGCGCCGTTTTCCCCGGGAAGACGGGGGGTTTGATGGAAACCCTTGCCCGCTTATCGTCTTGACATGTCTTGTCCCGACGCGGCAATGCTTGTCCAAATTGGTGTCGAACTCAATGCACCGTCAGGATCCCTTGACAATGGCACGTTGCGAGCGCGTGACGGCGCCGGTTACAAGGCAAATATTGTTTACCCCGCCTGAGATAAGGTATCTTTGAGAGGACATAGACCAAATTCCTAAACTCTAGGGGACGGATGACATTCTGCCACGCAAGATACGGATATCATGATAGGCCGGGAGGGTTCCCGCGGGGTGTCTTCCGATAGTCAGGGATTCACGGACCAGAACCCCGGGCTTTACCGGGATTACCGTTGGGAGGCGCAGGGGCCTCGATATTTCTTCGATTGTCCTCAGATACGCATCTATACTGTTTTTTCAGCGAAATAATTAATGCTGTGAGGACTATGGGTGTTGAGTGAGCTTTCAGCCTAATTTAGTGACAACAACAACGTCTTTTCTCACTTACCACTTCTCTATTGTGCCATGTGGTCAATCGATAACAAAATTTAAGTAACTTGTAGCAACACAGTAACCTAGTATTCTACTTTATTAGCCTGTACAAACCGAAAGTATTGCGCAACGTTACTAACATTGCTGGACGAGATACTGTACGGTGAACGGTGAGGGCTTGATAATATGAGTAACTCCACTTTATTTAATAAAAGAGGTTTATTCTTTGCATTCTCCTTCTCTGCTTGCATCCAATACCTTCCTCAGTGCTATATCCCGTTCTTGAAATTGCTCAGGGGTGGGCATGCCGTATGCCATAATCGTTTGCTCCACAATCGTCTTCTCCCAACTTCCATTGTCGTCTTCTCGAGATGATTGTAAGTTTGTTTGAGTAAAGTTAACAGGTTCTGAACTATCCCATATGTTCTGAATGGTGCCGGAAAGATTGTTCAGAAAAGCTTGAATTCCAGCAACGCCACCGCCCTGGTTGTAGGACTTGAAGATACCCTGTACCGCCCATCGAGGTCCAAGACTTGCTTCCATTATTGTGTCTACATCTTGCGCGCTGACTACATCTTGTTGGACCAGGGAGCATGCTTCCCGCAGAAGCGCAAAAGCCAGACGGTTACCCACGAAACCCGGTAGTTCTTTGTGAATTACTACAGGGCGATGGCCGGAACCCAGCTCAGCAAAGAATCTCTTAGCAAACTCAACCTCGTTGGGGTTTGTCGTCGGAGAAGGGACGATCTCCAGTAAGGGCAATATGTGTGGCGGGTTGAACGGATGGACGACAAGCAGGCGAGTTTTATCGGTCATATCTTGGTTCTGTACAGAGGCGGCGATACCAGAAGTTGAACTCCAAAAATGGGCATCGATTGGCGCCGCATTCTCGATTCTAGGCCAAACAGAACGCTTGAATGCAGGGTTCTCGGGTCCTTGCTCTTGAACAATGGTTGCGTCGTGACATGCTTCGTCAAGTGACGAAAATATCTTGAGGCGCCCGGATTCTCGTAGGTGTGAGATATCCAGTGATGGGTCATCGGAGTTGATGTATCCAGGCAGTACTGATATAAGATGTGCCTCTAGGTCAGGCCTAATGTCATACACGCTGACACTACCTCTTGTGTACCGAAGGTATAGGGCGGCAAAAGAGATACCAATGGCTCCCAGCCCAATGAGAGTCACACGTTCTGTATGGTCTTCAGGCATAGCTGTACCTGGCTGTACTATTATTGAAAAGGATGAATGTGACAGAGCTTGTGCAGAGTTCTACTATGGGAAGCCTGTAGCTGCGCCGGATACGAGGACTGATTTCACAGCAAGGAGAACGAAGGTAGGGAGGGCTAGGAACTATTGTGCAAGAATTGATTCCCCCGCTTGACTACATAGTAGGCTGTCACTATGGACCCCACGGAATTCCGGGCCTATTCCGCTGTTTGCCTATGTTCTCCTCATCCTCGGACGCTAAGTTATGCATGTACCGGGGGGCTAAGCGGCTTTCCCCCAACAAGCGCTACATCGAATAAGGTGTAGAGGATTGCTTGTAAAAGAACTTATTGTAAGCTTGTATACAGGTTAAAGCTGATTATTCATACATGAAGTTTCGACCCCGTTTGTGGTATTCCGACCAAGAAAATGGAGATTTGCCAAGATAGGTGTAAAATATTCAGGCCAGGCCTCCAGCGAAACAATAGTCAATATGTCTAATTGGACCCGTAGCTACGTGTTTCAAACTGCGAAATTTGTATCTCCAAGTGATTGTTTGTTTTGGCACCATTCACAGCCAGCCTGCATTTCAATCTGTGATCTTTCTTTCAATCCACGAGTTTGGAAGTTTCATACAATAAGGCTTATTACCTCAGAGCAGGAGTCACCACAAGCAGCAAGGACAGAAAGGGCTTTAGCTTGGTGTGGAAACCCAATCGCAATAATAATTGAGCCTTGTATCATTTACTAGTCGGGTTGGTCGACAGGCATTAATGATGCTGTCTCAACCTCGGAGTCAAATCCTCCCAAACGTAAACCAACCAGAGTCAGATCGAGGACTTCTGCACAGATGGAAGCCAAAAGTCGCGATACTTACTTCCATGGTTACTTCTGCTGGTCAACACCCATCCTACGTTTTCTCTGTTCCGTCTTGTGATCTGGCAATGCTTCGTATGTTTTCGACACTGCACTACGGGCTACTCAGGACACCGGTGAAGGCTTCGAAATACGCAGCTATGCTGTTCCTGTTCTGATCGAATACTAGAGTACTACCGGTTAAGCGTGGACAAGCATGATTCGATTCCGCGTTGTATTCAAATGGCGCTAAGTTCTTGAACCCGATTAGATAGATGACAGTGGCCCACAAATGTTGCAGTCGCAAATGTAGCGAGCAACTCGTGTTGCATTTGAAGTGGGGGCATTCATCCTTTCAAAAACTTCCCCGCTCAAAAAGTATAGTTCAACTCAGAATACATAACCATAACTTCGTGTGACGGACATATCAACTTACGACGTTATCAGATTAGACACTTATTCCAACCAATGTACTCTATGTTTCCTTAGATGAAGGGAGAAAAGAGAGTACTCAACGTAAACAAAGCAAGTTGCTTGATACGAAACTTTGGCATGATGCTGCTGCTATCACCTGAGGTATTTGAATCTTCAAATGGCACCATGTAATAATCCTATTGTCGGACTTCTTTTGGAGAAATGAGACTTGATCAAGGGTTTTACCGATGCAACCAATGGCAAAAGTGCTTGGCAGGGTATGGTGACCCATTTCGAGAGTGCAGCCGACCAACTAATGCGGCCCGAGATCCTTCCAGCAACCAGCTTCCTATTGAGTCCGAGATTTGACCTGAGATATATCCAAGCGACACACTCGGGGCTTGGCCAAGAAGTCTAGAGCTAGTTTGCCCTAGAATATACTCTACGAAGAAAGTTAGTCTAACCCAACCATTGAGAAACAGGTTTCTAATTATGTACACCTGGCTTTGCTGGCAATTGCGGACCACCGTCGCACTTGAAAGCCAGTGCACTGCGAAAAGTATAAGAACAGGCCAACAACTATTTGATAGATTTCCAATTCTCTAGCACCACATAGCGACTTTAACACCAGTCCAAGTACCACTTAATTTACTTAGCCCTCTCCCAAAACACAAGATGAGAGCTACTACCGCAGGTTTGGCTCTTTGGGCAACTGCAGTAAGCATTCACTATCCTATGACTTATAAGTATTCTTATGAGCTGATTGTTTCTACTAGGTCCTTGCCGTTCGTTCAGAAAAGGATTACCACTATCGTTCTGCTGAAGAGATGAAGGGCGAGATACTGCCTTTGTCGGAAATGTCCTTCACTGGTCCGGTCACTGTGGGGGGGCCCAACGTCACCCTCCATGGAGATGCTTCATCCATCTATGAGCAGATTCTAGCCCTTAACCCATCGTTTGATGCGAGAACCTTTGAGAACCATCTCAGCGAGCATATCAACGGAGCTTCCGTTGAGCGTAATTTGAACACTAGACAAACCACTGTAAGTCATAGTCTAATGATAACAGAATTGAGCACTGCTCCGTGCTCTTTGGTATGTTATTGCTATAGGAAGCGGACCACTGATGGCCACCAAGGGCAACTGGAACTGCAACAATGGAGTTTCTGTTGAGCGGTACTACTCTCAGTGTGCCAATGCTATCAATCACTTGATCACCTTGGGCACTTCGTATTGCAGTGTTGCCCCGAGCACTTGTGCTCGTGTAAGCTGTTCTAACAGCTGCTCTATCTACTTGTGCAACAACGTAGGCTTTCATCTCATACAAAGCTATGCGAGAAGATCAAGAACATTAACGAGATTTCAGCAATTCTCCCAAGTCAGCGTATATTGCCGGGATATTGCTGTGGACATGGGTATCATTGTTGGCAAGTGTGGCTCGGATAACGGCAATGGTGATACGCGGGCCAAAGGTAGCCTGCACTTTACCAGCCACTACACCTCACTCACACAGCAAGCCTGCTAAACAGATGTTTACAGGCAGGGTAGTGAGAGGAAATTTGTGATGGTCAGGTCCAGCTGCAGTTGATCAATGGTTGTATGTGTTACTCAGGATAGTTTATAACTAAGCAAAAGAAAAAACAGAAGAAAGGAAGAAAGGAAGAAAAAAAAATTAAGAAAAGCATTTTCAAGCATGACGGTAATGGTACCACTAACACTATCTGTATCGCCTACTCGATTCGGTATGCAAAGTGTTAGAATGTTACAGATGGCATGTGAACGATTTGGTGAATGCGTGTTCCATATCTTTCAAGTCATATGTTCCTATTGGGCTTTTTGCATTTCTGAGGTGATTCATCTTGTAACTGCTGACGGTTTTCACGGTAGACACTCTGTCGGCTTCAATACTATGTCGCTATGGCGCTTATCAAACCATTATGTAGCCAATCTCTAACCACGTGCAAGTTGCACAACTCTCTCATGTCTCCCGAGACTTGAAGTGCACCCATAGGGAAGGCTTCTTCCAGAAAAAGAAAATCTTTTGGCCTGCTGCCCAAGACTGACTTTCCGGTGCCAGCTCCAGGTCAAAATTCCAGATGATACGAGCCAGAATCAGTCTCATCTCAGCGTAGGCAAGACTAAAAAAAGAGTAAAGTGAGTATGATGCTACTAGGTAGAGAACTTCCTGATGTCACGCAAGTCCCTATAACGGAGAACCTACTTCATACCTAAACAGTTGCGTGGACCGTAAGAAAACGGTTGATGTAAGTTCTTTTCATCGTTTTCAAAACGCTTATCGTCCAGCCAGCGCTCTGGAATAAATGAGTCGGGGTCAAGAAACTTGGATGGATTGTGGTAGACGGCATATTGCCAGATGCCTAGAGTGGTCTTGGTGGTTTGTCAGCTTATCGTTCATGGCAAGACCGTGCTTTGTATCTTGACTTACTCCTCCATTCACCCATTCTCCAGCGATCTGCGCTCCACCGGTCGGTGTCCTGCGTGCCAACGAAATAGCTACGGCAGGGTGAACTCGCATTGCTTCCTTAAGAACGGCAAGCATGAACGGTAAATGTTGCACAGTATTATTGACGTCGATTTCAGCATCCTTTTGGAAGGCTGATCGAACCTCCGAGTTCAATTGGGCAAGCACCTGTGGGTGAGTGCAGAGGAAGTAGATTGTCGCAGCGAGTGTTGTCGCGGTTGTCTCTGAGCCAGCTGTCGTTAAAACGATGGCGTTGTCCCGGATTTCTTGTTGTGAAATTGGCTTGCAGTTGTTAGAAAGAAGACAACAGACCATTTTGTAGATGATGCATGCAAGTAAAAGAGATGCTTACATATTTCTCGGGGCTCTTCAGCATTGCCTGCACGAAGTCTGGTCTATCGTCTCCCAGGCTGAGCCTCTTCTTCAGATGCTCTTCGGCAAACGCCTCACTGAGACGACGTTGTTCAAGCATTCTCTTGGGGATAAACAGCATGAAGTACAGCGGCTTCGAAAGAGTAAAGAGGGGAAAGTCGCTTAGAGCCTGTACAAAGGGTACACTTGCCATAGAGTCGAAGAAACCGTCAACCCACGGGTGAGACGTGGCTGTTTGAATGCAGCCAAATGGCTCGCCAAAGGCCAAGTCACCGACGATATCAAAGGTGATCCATTCCAACCACTTGGAAGCATCTAGAGATTTTGACCCTCCCTCGCCACGCTCTTGAAGTCTCTGGATGAACAGATCAATATGTCTATCCATCAAGGGTTGCTGCTCTGCCATGGCACGCGCCGAAAAGGCATGAGATAGCAGACGTCGTAACGGGCCGTGTCTTTCACGCGATGCAGAAATAAGGCTCTTATCCAACTCTTCGTTGGCGTACTTAGGATCTTTGCCATTTTCTTCTTGGCCGCGCTGGAGGTGGCCGCAGACCTCTTTCCACGCTTCTGCATGGGACAGAGCCAGCTCGTTGGGGCCGATTCGAACGATGTCGCCATAACGCTTGTGAAGTTCCAAAACTTGTAGGTGGGGCGTGCCTCGGAGGATGCTGAGTGCCGCAGGCAATGGAGTAGCTGCCCATAGTTTTGGACCAGGATACCGACGTAGAGGGTGGAAGAAAAGGTTATAGATGACAGTCGCTACGCCATAAAGAGCAAGCTGTGTTTAGCCTCTAGTAAGCTGTTGCACGTCAACAATGTCTGAATAGTGAAGACTACTTACCAAGCCGGCGGAAGCGACCAGCATTCCGGCTATCGATGGCATCCTAAACTTGAGGCCTGACTTCGCGGCGGCAGATTCTGGCTTTTCCTGAGCTTTCTTCGATGTTGTCGGATCTGCGACTTGTTCCCTGATGGCAGAATGAAACTAAACAATGCATCGATTCTACTGCTTTTATATGCATGGACCTTCATTGGTTCTGGTCCCCAAGTCATAAATAATCTGCAGGCACCGATCGAATCGCCTATCGGTAGTGCCACAGTTCCGGCTTCCCGGCTCGGGCCAACATTACTCGGGTCTCAGTTTCCATTGTGAGCCACATTCGCCGACAGCCCGCACCGCGATACACTGGGCCGCTGTTTCACTTGCCGAGCTCTCCAATAAGACTCAAAGAAGACGGTAAACTCCGTCATATGTCAGCATAGTCACACGCGAGGATGCCGTTTTCTCGTTGTCATTCGCAACAGGCCATTCGTTTGTCGCACTCTTTGAGATTAATTTATACGAGTCTTCTGCTTCGCGAGGATGGAGGGGTGAGTGGAGAGCCAGACTAGAAACTAAAGTACCTCACCACGGCCTGTGTAACTTCGCGAAAGGCCGAGCTATATACCGTGCTGCATTGCAAGATCGTGTATGAATCATGTCACAACTTAGAAGCCTGAACAGGAATATAAGTCATTTTCCCGGATTGTATTGCAAGCCTCTGTTTGATAGTGGCGGCCTGTAACACCACCCCGCCACACAACTCTCGCTGTCTTTGTTTTTTTTAGTCCTCCTTGTAACTCCGGCCCGCTTCTTCCGCAGGAGTAAACCAAATTTTGGGGCCGTCCATAGAGTAATATCGAGTCGATAGAGAATGAGGCTCGATACTACTAATTATTATCTATACTGTGCACCCAAACTCTATATGAACTATGTGATCGAAGTATTTTGAACTTTATTTTGGCATTTGGGGTTTTAAATCCTAAGCCACCTCAGTGACGCGGCCGAAGCGCTCACCCAATGCATCCGTCCAAGAGACCCACTCACTGTCCAAAGGTCCTAAAATGCGGTCGGCGTCTCTCCGACAAGTAACTGAAGGCGGTCGGTCAAGTGGCCGCCCCAGCAAACCAGTCACCTCTCCTGCGAGTAACGGTCCACGAAGCGTCTGTCTGCAACGCGCCCATAGGGCACCCTATCGTACTATTTACTGACAGTGGGATCTAGCCCGAGGTACCTGTGGATAATAAGTGAATGCTTGAACCCGCCAGCCGGATATCTCTACCCAGCGCTCGTCATCCATGAATTGGCCTTACTGTCGGTCACCTTTCCAGTTGTGCCATCACTTTTGGCTTTCCAATGCCGCAAAACAACTGGCAAAAAGACGTAGTATTTTGTTTTCATGCACCAAGTTTTGGGCTAGCTGATAGATCTGAGAAGAAGCTTTTGAATTTCACAAAAGCAAGTCATAGCTGTAAAGGGGCTGTTCATGCAAGTGTGGTGGTTATCCTCAAAACTTCACGGCGTCCAACTCGCCCTCTGATTCATGATACACGTTGCAGAAGCCTAAAAGTTTGCTATTGAATTGTTATTCGATCTGGTCCTTAAACCAGATTGCAGTTATTGCCGATGGGTTGTGGAAGAGGAGTGTCGATATTGCATTTCGTGCAACATAACAGCATCAGCCGCCCCCGCTAGACAGTGAGAGGTACTATCATTTACGCGTATGTGAGTGCAACATTGGGTTACCTGTTAGCATGTGCTGAACAGCTCCCAGACTGATCAGAGAGATGATGTGTAAGTACTGTAAGTCGTCGGGGCACTGCCTGGAGGACACCTTCATTGTCTACCCTGTGAGAGACAGGAAAGGCAGGTCGACATGAGGTAAGTTGATCGTTGTTTGTGAACTTTGCCGTTTTTACAAGATCCGTGCTTCTCAGTCGCTTCAATGTTAGCGCCGCACGTAAGACGGAGCCATCTGGTAGGAAGACAGCTAGACCGCCGCTTTCCCACCAAGGATGTCTACTTAACAGCATGACTACAAGACGATCGATACTGCACCATCAAGATATAACGAGTTTTCAACTTTCATAAGTCAGTGAGGATATTTACGAGATCTCTTTCAGATTTCGAGCACCCCGATCTAGTGTTGTTTGGCTTTCTAAATAGAGAGATGAAAGCCAAACTCACAGCCTGTTTTGTTATCCCCTTATGGGGCGGGGGGCAGGCGTCACACATTATCACTGCAGGTTCACACATCCATTTCTAATTTTCCCCAACCACAGGTTGCGTCTCTTGACTCCCGCAGACCATGCTGTGATTGTGTGAGCAATGCGCATTGCTTATCGATTGCCTTCGCCTGCCCCTCTTGAAGTGCTCCCGGAAGCGGACAAGGTCCAATATTTACGAGGAGAGAAAGATGTTGCCCCACGTGTAGAGATGGGTGGCTACTCAAGCTGATGTTGGTCAGGGTTGCAGTGGCGGTTTCTATACTTTTCGCTAAGTATATATACAGCCAACCACAATCAACTTCGCCCCAACTTCCGCGATCAGGCGATCGGGCTCGAGGAGTTCACTGCAGCGTTGAAAAGCTTTACATGCAAGCCTTAATAATCGCTGTCCGTAAAGGGCTTTATCATGCACTATCACGTCAGAGCTCGGACGTTTGCAGATGGTAGTCACTTTGGGTTTGGAAAGTCCATGGAGCCTGTATTTCAAAAGAACTACCAGAAGGCTTTGTATGTCGTTTTGGGGAGATCGGAGTATTTAGTGTTAAGAGATTTGCACTGCGTGCTTCAAAGCCTGAAGAAAGCTAAAGATAGCGGTATGTATGTATACCTGAGGTGATGTGGATTTGCATACAGAATATGTTTCTATCTCGTACAGGGAAACTGTCACCAGAATTGCTAACTGTGTGTTGAATAGCCTATTGGATGCAGGTAAGCACTGATGTTGCAATATAGGCCGAGAGCGGAAGTTGGCTAAGCTATGCGATGCAAGTCAGCACCGATATGGAAGTTGCATCGAGAGTGAAAGCCGAAAAATACGAAGAATCAACGATTTCAATCATCTTGTGTGTCTTGAATAGGTGACAAAGGCTATTTGACATAGGCTATTGGAAAGAGATCCTCGACATATAAAACCTCACCAGTTTTTGCACATTTCCACTCGATTATCTCTTCATCAGCAGTCACAACCTTCCAGCCCTATCAATCAAGTCTCTACAGCAACAGTGGCATTGATCATCTTGTAGCCTCATCTACAAACCCAACATTCACGATGCAATTCCTGCTTTCAATCCTCACTGTGGCCGGCGCTGCATTCGCTGGTGTGATCTCCCGTGCCGAGGGCACGGAGGTCACCAACATCCCCGTTGGTGATAACAATGCAGATGCCTCGATCCAGGCCATTACGCACCTGTACATCTGCTCTGACGCCAACTTTGCGGGTCGTTGTCAGAACTTGGAGTCAAACACGGGCCAATGCTGTAAGCTTGATTGATACTTCTTTACCTTGGAGGGTGTTTGGACCCGTATCAAGAATAGCCAAGATAATGGTTTGGTGACGCCCATCCATCTGGAGGGTGTTTCTAAAGAAACCACAAGTGATCGAGGCTAACCTGCGGTCACTGCATTTAGACAACCTTCAAAACGGCTTCAACGATGTGGTTTCCTCGCTTGGCCCCGACCAGGGAACGTCTTGCACCATCTGGGAGTGAGTTTGCCTTGTAGATATGCACGCACGAGCGCACACAAAAACGGTTGCCCCCAGCAGAGACTATCGAGACAACTGACAAAATATTCCAAACAGGAACAATGGCTGCACAGGCGCCTCCATCTCGGGCATTGTCAGCCCTGGAATTTTTAACCTTGCGGACTCGCAGTGGAACTTCAACGATCGCGGTATGTGTAACCGATCTATAACCCTTTTAAGACCCTCGACTATTCTCAAGAACTTAAAGATGGAAGAAGTTGGGTGCCAATGTTTCGTTCTCGAGTCTAACTGCTGCTTTTCTTCACACCAGCGAGCTCCTACAAGTGTTTCTAAACCGCTCTCGATACCACTTCACAATTTCGGCTCCTCGTCCCGATGACAAAATATTGCTCGGAATCCGTGGCCTATCTGTTTCCTGACAACACATTGCTGGACGAAGGGTTAGAATGAAGGCAGCGCTACCATACTATTTCTCAGAAGGGGAACTTTTAATCACAGGGAGAACTTTTACTCAGAAGAGGACACAAGTTGGTTGGAATAAAGCCGGAGGTTTGAGAACGCGCCTTTGAAAAGGGTCTATTGTCTGTATGTGGCCATCTAGTTGTGGGAAACACTGTGTATAGATGTACCCTTTATAAGAGCTCAATTCATAACCTTCCCCATACACTTGTCTCCGAGGCCACTCAATCATCTGCAAAAAGTCCGTGTACCCAGCCAAAAGGGAAGCAATGGTAGAGAACAATCGATCGGTCCATCCCTGCAAAAACCAGAACCCTTTCTCGGTTGCACCAAGAAGAACACAGAAGTACGAGAGAATAACAAGCGCGTGGGGGTCTGAAGCGTACATTTCCGTCATGATGGCGTCTGATACGACGTAGGGCCAGTACAGAAGCATCCCAACTTCAACATGCGTTCCCGCATGGGCAATTTGGTATGCCGCTCGTTCCAGCTCCAAGACGGCTTGTTTGTACTCCTTCCCTCGACTATCATCAAGAGTAGATACATAAAACCCTGTCAAACGCCCAAGTTCTTCAAATATGTCTCGCGGAAGCAAAGATTTCCCGAGAGAAGGGTTTCTAGGAAATTCGTTAGTTGAGATTGGTAAAAGGTAGAAAGGCCAAATACTTATACAGAGGATCCGACTCGTCGGCCGACCAGGCGCCAAAGGCTAGCGGGGCAAACCGCGACCTCTTTAGACGATTACCGAAAGCATTCAAGGTCGTTTGCATGCCCCTCACAAACTCGAAAAGCTCCAGTATCTCATGTACTGACGAAAAAGCGTGACGTGTGTCCCTAGCTTCGTGAACGCAACAGACACAGATTATCAGGAGTGCGGAAAAGCAGAAAACAGACTCCCAGGTATCTTCACTGAGTTCCAGCAGCGCGACGCGGAATCCCGCCAGACCAGATGCTTGATGATATGCGGCGATATCAAGGTACACGTTTCGTTCGTTCGGCAAAAGGTGTGCCTTGTGCACCGCCGATAATGCGAGGATCCCATGCATTACAAACGGAGATGAGTATGCTGTCTCTGGCACAACGACTTTCCATACATACTGCATGTCTATGCGAAGGGATATCGTGTTGCAAGTCTCGACCGAGTAGTGGTGCATGAGCTCGAGTCCTCGGCCCCAGATGTCCACATCTGATGAGGCTGGACCCGATGTGTGATTGGACAACAGACCCAGAACCCGAAAGTGGGGGATCTGATGAGGCTCTGGACTGGCAGCACCAGTCCTTGCCTGATCGTTCTCGCTAGCTGAAGTAGTCCATTTAGGACTTGGTTGCCCAGCTTGGGGATGCTGGCCCGATGTCTTCGAGAAACTACAACTGATGTCGAGTCTTGTGCAGTCGAAGCATGAAGGGTAAGTTTCATCACACTGTAAGATGTGAGACGTGAGGTCCAGTGTTTCGAGCCTAAGCGCGTTTATGGAAAGAATAAGCATTTGTCCGCGTACCTTGACTTTCCTCCGCTTGCAGTTTTGACACCCTGCGCGACTCTTGGTGTGCTTTCTACGGGTCGCCATAGTAGAATAATTGTTGCCCACAAACGTTAAAGCTAGTCAAGAAAACCTGGCCGTTCGGAAGCTGCGGGCAGTAGAGTTTAAAAACGCGGGAAAAAGGTGTGAACTTGCCGACAGGAAGCATAAAGCCGCGCTCCTATACTAGACCATTTCAGGATTGTCACCTAGTTGGGTAACGGGTCTTGCAGGAACTGGGGTTGCGCGGAGCAGTACGGAGAACAAAAGGAATGGAGAGATTATGCTGGGATCATTTCGTGGCTGCCTTGCGTTTCGCGAACCGCCCGGCGTTGACTCGAATAGCGCGCGGAATGTGAGGGGATCTTGTACTGTATACGAGAAAAACGAGGCCCCACTTGGTTGTACTCTACAGGATAGATGACGGAAGCGAGGTTAAACGAGAGTCCGCGAACGATACACTAAGCTTGAGGTCGCTCCACAATAGCTGCAAGGATTGCATCAAGTTCATGAGCTAGAGTAGTGCGCCCACGGCTTGGAAACGATGCGATATGGGGATGGGTCCCTTAAAGTCAATACCTTTTCCGCTTGTTGGGAAGTCTAAATGTCGTTTTTGATCATTCACTCTCTTGGGATCCTTTTCTAGCATCACTTGCTTAGTGTTCCACCGGCCGGAGTCTTTTACTTGCTGCGACAACTTTCGAACGAATTCGTAGTCATGGCGTCAGGCAACGACCTCTTCAAGCTTTATCGCTATGACCCGTCTATGGCCGCGGCGGTCATCTTCATTGTTCTCTTCTTCGGGATTACCGCATTCCATACGTACCAAGTAGTTCGCACCAAGACTTGGTTCTTCATCCCATTTGTCGTTGGAGGTTTCTGTATGTATCTTCTTACATTAATCGCCAATCCTACTATTCCCAGGCTAACTTCACCCCGTAAACAGGTCAATGGATCGGTTATATAGGAGTACGTCACAAAAATCCCCTCCGATCGAGATATATCGTCTAGCGGGTCTCTATCTAACAGCCTTCTAAACGTAGAGAGCGGTTTCCAGCGCCGAAAGCCCCGATTGGACTGTAAACCCGTACATCGTGCAGACACTCCTGCTGCTCGTTGCTCCAGCTCTTTATGCAGCCAGCATCTACATGATCCTCGGGCGTATAATCCTTCTCACCGAAGGCGAAGTTCACTCAATCATACGGCGAAAATGGTTGACCAAGCTTTTTGTATTTGGTGATGTGGTGTCATTTATTCTGCAAGGCGCTGGTAAGTTACATCAACTCATGCCTGGCTTTACCTTTCTAATACTGGCATGTAGGAGGCGGAATCATGGCCAGTGGTACGGTTGAAGCTCTCGAGAAGGGCGAGCACATCGTCATTGGTGGCTTGGTGGTCCAGATCATCTTCTTCTCGCTTTTCGCTGTCACGGCGGCCATCTTCCACAAACGACTGAGCCGGTTTCCAACGAGGAAGGTCCTTCAAACTGTCATTCCGTGGGAGACGTACATCTATGTCCTTTACGCTGCCTCCGTGCTCATCCTGGTGCGGTCAATCTTCCGTTTGATAGAGTATGCACAGGGGAACGACGGATATCTGATTTCGCATGAAGTCTTCCTGTACGTGTTTGATGCCGTCTTGATGTTCGCAACTATGTGTATATTTGCGTGGAAGCATCCGAGTAGCATCAACACTTTTCTTAAGGAGGGGGATCATGAAAGCCCAGACACAACTTCGAACTATGGTATGGCCTAAGCAGTCACGCACTGCATCATCAAGTAAGGATGTTGCGCGATAACTATACCTCTGTTTAACACGGACCTCATCAGGAGGCGAAAGAGTACACAGCATCTGGAGATAGAACTGGGGGAATAGACAGGTTAATTTTGAGGAATAGGTCGATTATAAGCCTTTAAGTAGAACAAATCATAATGGGCTCAAAGCTTTATTAACCTTCCGAACGATTCTTAGCAACCACTGTTGAAGCCCCAATGTATACGATGAATACTGATTATGCTTCTGCCGCCTCACCTTTCTGAAGTCTTCGATTCACACAGCCAACAAAGCGCAATTTCTCGCCCATTCCGTCCAGGATGCCCACTCAGGGTCGAGACCATGAAGAGTACTACACAGATCTTCAATAAGTCGCACACCAAACCCCTTCCCCCACCATCGGTCATGAATCATGAGCGCTAAAACACCATAATGAACCCAGATCAGTAATGCCATCGGGTCGCCCTGTTTGAAGAGGCTGACCAGCTTGTCATTGACCATCACAGGCCACGCCATAACGATAGAAATAGTCTGTGACGCCGCAACATCGCGGAAGCTCGCCTCAAGACTGTCAATACTAGAGATATAGACCTCCTGCGCCTCGGTGCCAACGTATTTTGTCATGAATCCGGCGCGCTGGCGCAGGCGTGCCATGGCTGCCTCCACCTGTCCGCTCGGCATGATGCATGGATTCGAATGGCGTCGGTCAACCTTTTGGAAAAGGGGGCTAAACATCCCGCTTTGGATAGCCTCTGAATACACCTGTGAGGTCAAAGCGATGCCCTTGAGAAGCTCATAGATTGAGAAGATGGTCTCGGCGGGCGATACGGGCTGCCGTTCCGTATAGGCCGCAGGCATCGCGAAGCCGAGGACCGTAAGGATGACAGAGAAGATGAAGATGGCCTCGTAGTTGTCGTCATTGATATGGAGGAGCGCCGTACGATACCCGATTAGTCCGGAGTTTTGATATTGGACGGCAGCCTCTGTGTAAGCCCAGCCCATGGAAGGGTCAAGGTGGGCGTAGTGGAGCGCCGCGATGGATAAGAGGCCATCCATGAGGTATTCATGCCGCATGGCTTTTTTCGGGATGGCCGTTTTCCACAGTTCAATCTGTTGAGGTATTTCTCCCAGCGTCTCGCACGTTGCAGTTCCGTAGTGGTGCATCAGATGAAGTTCCTTGAGTCGTGTGGCCTTGGAGTAGTGTCGCTCGGTGGCCGGCGGATGAACGGTGTCACGAGACTGGGCGTTCAGCTCCGGTCCAGATCCTAAATTCGAAAGCTTTATGGCCGAATCTTCTACGGCGTTTCTAGTACTCTCCGAGAAACTACATTTTTTTTGTCGTCTCACACAGTTGTCGCATGACGGCCTCTTTTCGTCGCACTATTGTCGCTGGTCAGTCGCTAGGGTCGAACATGAAGACTGCATGCCGTGTTTGCAAGGACAACGAAATCAGCGGATCTGCTCCGTGCAGATCACATATACCTCGTTTGGAGACCCCGATTGAACGTTTTACAGTCCTTGGGAAACTTACCTTGACTCTCCGCTGCTTACACTGGAGACAGCCGGCCCGGGATTTCCGATGAGGCTTCCGCGGCGCCATGACGAGCGGTCCCTCACTTTCTCGAAACAGTCAGCAGTGGGTTCGAGACTCGGGTATCGGTTGGGTACGTGTGCGAACGAAGACGAGAAAAGAATCTGAATAAACGAGAATAAAACCCGAGGTGTCTAGCGGTCTCACCAACACAGCCACTGACCCACACCGCTATGACATGCACATAGCGCTTGAATACGAGCGATCTCGTATAAAGCGCGTATCGGCGTATCCCACCGGTCTGATTACTTGCGGCACTACTCTAGTGTCATTGCGGATTGGTGACACTGAACAGGGTCGGCATTGTAGCCGGGCTTGCCAGCACCTCAAAAGTATACTTCGGCCTCCTAGGCATATATACAAGATGGTTCCATGAGATTGACTCTTGACACATTGATTTACCGTTCAATTCCGCAGATCTGGCTAGGCACGGGCACAGCATTGAGCTTATTCGGCTTTAACTTTCGGATATAAGCAGTCGTTGTTTAGTCATGCACCCGGCCAATGACGTGGTTTCACAAGTCAGGTCACAGTCAGTTACATTACACTTCCATCAACTAAAATTCAATGCTTTAAGGTATCATTACAGCAGCCTTTTCATCGGGAAACCTCCAAGTTCTGATCTGCCATCTCATCTGGCTTGTTCCACAGACCATTGCGACACTCCCATCATGGAATCCCACAGACGCTCACACGCCACTACATTCAGCCTCAAGAGTCCTCCCACGGATCGGAGACACAACAATGCGCATTAGATAAGCCAGCACCACAATCGGTGAGAGCGCCAAGACCAACGCCAAGGAAAAAAACACGTTCTGGCACCTATCATTTCGCACCACGCGACCCTCTCTTCGGGGCCTGGTACCGCCCATTTTTGCTCCGTTGATGTAATCTTTCTCTGCCCAGTATGTGTGTGTCTGTGTCTGTGTTTACCCCCGCTCTCTCGCTCTCTCCATTCCTCCCTCACTTTCTCAAATTCACCATCCAAGTAAAACAGCCCGCCGTTCCGGACAAAGATGCCAGCGACAGGTGTGTTGGCGACATCGACTTCCTAGCACCTCGCTTGCGCCTATCAAGCCCCATTCCAAGCAGACCATTCCGTGGTCGGAGGAAAGCCCCCCGGCCCCTAAGCCTCCAGTGAGCGCTTCCCGTTCGAACCCACACCCCGCCCGCGAACAGCAACGGCACGGCGCCTAGCCCAAAAAACCTCACCCAACGTTGCCGTACTTCCGCGTGCCAAACCGTCCCAGGAGCCCGGACACCCAGCACCGCAACCCAGTGCGCCGGGGCGCCGTGGATATTCCCGGCCGGGGCCTTGGTGTCGGTTCTTGGCCCTCTGGTCTCTCCTTTACGAAAATAAAACGTAACACGCAAGCCATGAGACTCGTCTCTCTGAGTCTCATGGGATCCTCCCTCCTCACGGGGCCCGCCCTCGCGACGGTCCCCATACTCACCGAGGTCTCTCTCAAGGGCTGTGCCGACGTGTCCTGTCCGGCCGGGGCCGTCGACGACCTCGTCGGCGAGTCCAACTGCACCCTCGGAGGCTCAGTCCTGCGACGCGTTGGCATCGCCCCTGAGGTCCTCGACATCCCCATCGACGACAGCAACACCACGGACATCCGCAAACTGTCCATCACCGTCGCCACCGTCGCCAACACTGCCTCCCAGAGCTCCCCCAACTGGATGAAGAAGCAGCTCTACACCCAGTCATATTACCTCGGTGCCCCCTCCGGGCTGAACCTCTCCTCGGAGCGATACCCCAAGGGGTGCGCCCTCATCTTCCAGCACCTGTTCCAGACGCTGCCCATCGCCCACGAGGTGCCCGACCTCGACACAACGGACTGCAGCCCGTGGCTGCAGCAGTCGTGCATGGACGAGATCACGGGCTACGTGGACGACTTCCGCGCCGACCACGCCAAGAACGAGACCCTGCCGCGGTGCCAGGAGCTGGCCATGTACTTGGAGGAGCGCACGCGCAAGGACAAGAACTTCCACTGCAACCTCATCGCCGGCGCCGTGAACATCACCGGCGCCGAAACCATCGGGCCCGACGCCCCGACGGAGCTGGCGCAAAATGCCGGCGACAACAACGACTGCCACCCGACGCTGCCGCACTCCTACGACATGCTAAAGCTGACGGACGTCGAGCTCATCCTAGACGAGGAGGGGAGCACGACGAAGCCTACGGGCGGGTTGAATGGCTACACGCCCGTGATGAGCGTGCTGTTTGACAAGCTGCTCTACTCGCAGTGGATCTGCATGAAGACGATGAGCGAGTTCGACAGGGAGAACTCGAGTGCGAGGACGAGCACACCGGCGTTGGCCGGTCTGGTGATGGGGTTGGCGACCCTGCTGGCTATTCTGATGCTGTAAAATCTTTTTCTGGCAACAGTGGGAGACAAGGCGGCGTTTAGATCACGAGAGGAAAAAACAGGACTGGCCCGGATTATTTATGACTTTATGCGATATATACCCAATGAAAGCATGGCGATAGATATGTTTACACCTTACCCAGCCTCATGTCCCTGCCCAAACGCCGATGTGCATGCCGCAGTTGTGCAAATACGATATAGATGCCTTTAGATAATGATGCCGCGCTGCGCCCATCCGCCCTTGCCCTTCCAGGCAAACAGAATCATGCCGCATGCCACCCAGACAGTAACGGCCATGGCCCAGAACGTGGGTGCGTAGCACTGCTGGCCGTAGCAGAACACGTCTCCACCGCCCTCGCGCTGGGGCGAGTTCTCTGCACCGGACTGATACACCGCCGAGTAGACGAGACCCCAAAAGGTCGACCCAAGAGCGGGGAACATGGCGACGATTCCCCAGTTGGTTGCAAAGTTCTCAACGCCCCAGATGACCGTGATGATGATGGGCGTCAGACTGAATACGGCACCGTAGCCGGAGCCGATCAGACCAGACACGATCCAGAAACGTTCGCCATGCTCTTGGATGAAGCCGGAGGCCAGGGCGACCAGACCCAAAGATAGCACAATGGCGAAGAAGAGGAGGAAAGCAACACGAGAAATGGTAGGCCTGCCTCGAAGGAAAGGAGACGTCGAGGACACCTGCAGGTGCTGCGTCTGCGGCGAAGGTGCGAGAAGGTCGGTCAAGGTTCCAGTAGCTAAGCGAGCGACCGTGCTCGTGATCCCAACAATGGAAACGTGCGTCGCGGCCGACGTCGGAGGTCCGGCGTAACGCATGGTGGGAGGGTACAGAGTCCCGATGACCGTGCCGAGGTTATTAATGAACGCCTCTCCAGGTCCAATCATCAGCAGGAACCCCAGGGCAAAACACCACATGGTCTTGTCGGTAAGGAAGCTTCTCGTCTCGGCGTTGAGCACCATCTTCTTCCTAAGTTTGGCGTCATCCTCCGCCGGCCCAAGCACGCCGCCGTCTTCTTCGTCGATTTGGCCGATTGAGCCGTACGCCCTGCTGCGTTCAAGGTCGCGAGCGCTGAGGAATGAGGTGCTGCGTTCCAAAAGGCCGCTCCGTTCGAGCTCTTCGGCCGCTTCCTCAAAGATGTCTTCTTCGTCGACAACCTTCAGCGTGAATGTCCCGACAACTCCGACAATCAGCAGAAGAATGGCGAGGAAGACGAAGAAGCGGAACACATCCAGGTCCCCCGCGGAGCCGTCCGGTAGGCGCTCGTAGAAGACATGGCTACCAAGCTGGCTCAGCCACATGCCGCTTAGTCCGAAGGCAGCAATGGGCACAGCAAGAGCCAGTCCGCGATGCTTTCCCTTGCCAAAGTTCTTTGCGCATGTCGCAACGGCCGCCAGGTACATGGAGCAGGTACCGACGCCGACGCAGACGAACGCAAAGATCATCAGTGGATAGGTCCAGTCGGCACCACCAGCGATTCGCTTTCCAGCATAGTCGCGCAGGCCGCCCAGATTCTCCGCCTCGAGCTTCCGGTATGTTGCAGCAGCCAACCCGTAGCCGCCGCCAAACAGTATAGCCGCCAGGAGGGAGAGAGGTGGGGTGCCAACGCGGTCGCAGATGTAGCCGAGGAAGGAGACGGGGAGGTAGAGGGCGATGGAGCTGCTGATGGCGAGTCCGTTGACCTGGAACTGAGTGTAATGCAGGCGTTCCTGGAAGATGTGGCCGTACATGGAAAAGACGGTGATGGAGCCAGCGCAAAGGGCGGAGATCAGGGCGGCAAAGAAGGAGATGGCTCGCAAGGTGCTGGCCGCGCGCCGGCTTCGGCGCTTCCGCCTCGAGGGTCTTTCGGAGTCGAAGGAGGATCGCGAGCTGAATCGGCTAATGGTGGAGGAGGCATCGTCATCGTCGTGAGCTGTTGCAACGACAGTCCGGTCGTCGGACGGGGTTGGCGGGCTCGAGGCTCGCGCCATGGTGGCAGCTTCGACACGGAACTTCGGATGTGGGATGGAATGCGAGTGCGATTGCGATTCGCAAATTGCGCCACGGGTCGACGGTGAGTAACAAATAAGAAAGAGACGAATTAGACAGAAGAAACAAAACGGCTGCAGGTCATTCTCGCCCTCGGAAACCAAACGGAGAATTATGGGAAGCTCGAGGTTTTAGAAAAGGGCGAGACTGAGCATTAGGGACATGAACGGAAGCAGAGAGGAGAAGTCTCGGGATGCGGATGGCGGATGGACGCTGGAGGAAGCCGACCGGGGGAATGGCGGAAGGTGGTGGGAGGAGACGGGGAGTCCGCGTCGCAGTCAGAGTCACGATTTCGCACGTCAGCAGGCCGCCTCTGTCACCTAATGATGTCGTGCTTGCAGCAGCGGCCAAGGTGGACCCTCGTTAGGGTGTTTGAAGTCTGCTGGACTGTGTTGTCCGGCTGAAAGTTGGAACGCTGACACAGCGCCGAGCACAGGGCCTACAGTGCACGCTGCGCTGTGGGTGACGTTCAAAGAGTGCTAGCAGCGGCGTTTGGCCGCTCTAGAAGCTGGGGTGAACCAAGCAGCTACCGCGGACCAGAGTAGCCGAACGGGCCCATATCGGATAGCTAAGCGAGATCGGAGCCCGGTCAAGTCGCTGCCGAGGTTCCGTCGCCGACACATTTCACCACACTGAGGCAAAGCTACGACGACCGTCTCCCTTCGGTGAGCTCTTTCCCGGCCACCTGTCTCGGTGTACCGCCGCCCAATTGGAAGCCAGCCTTCACGTGTGCACAACTACGCGCCGGCGGACTTCCAAGTGCCACCCCAAATCTTCTCACTCAAATATCCTTCCTTGGTCCACGATGTCAATTGCTGCTCGCAAAGCCTGATCGTTCCTTAAGGATGACGCCGCTCGCCGAAGGCCAAATGACCAGCGAAAGGAAACACAACAGCACAGATGTGGACGAGCACTTCGTCACCGAATGTTTCTCACGGCTGACTCGCGACGATGGCTTACCCGACGTTCCTCTTCGGCAGGCAAATCTGCGCAATCTTGTCAACTCTATCTCTCCATGGGAGCTGATATACCTGAAATTGTTGATTCGGAACACAACCGCAAAACTTGCGGATATGCCCGACCTTCCTGAAGAGATAGTCGCCACAATCTCCACCAAGCTCGACTATCGTGACGCTCTCAACTGCACCCAAGTCTCAAAAGGATGGCGAAGGGCCTGGACGGCTGACCTCGTTATCAAAGACGTTGCACGAGCCCACTTCCCGGGTCTGGTCGAGTCGCATCCCGAGGCATCGCCCTGGTCCCTTCTTCAGCCTGTTGCGGCAAAGGCCACTGCTCGTGCACAAGGGAAATACATAGCGTCACTCTCCATGACCACGGCAGGGTCCTCGTTGGCTGACTGTACCCCGCTCAAGCTCGACGATCGCAGTCTTGAACACGCCAAGTACAATCCCAGTCCAGCAGAACCATCGGCTGCTCTAGACAACCATGCCTATTACCGCCAGTCTTACTACGGCCACGCTTATTGCGATGGGAGGATTGCTTGGCAATGGGATGCTTTCAGCTTCTTCATTGATGACATTCGTGCCATGACCAGGACTCTAGCATCGCCCTCGGATCTTGTCATCAAGGGCGAAAGAGACTTTGTCGTGTCAGGGTTGTCGAAAAAGCTTCTAGTTCTCGCCAACTCCAGGACGGAAAGGGCCTTGTAAGTTATGACAGCTTGGGGTGTTCCTGCTTTATCTTTTCGTCACGGCCTTTATGTCTATGACTGCCTTGCCGTGTGAGCTCAGTACTGCTAATCAACTAAGCTAGGATTGTCTACCACCTCGAAAAGAACCAGTACCGACGAGTGACCTTGCCATCTCGAATGCATGAAATCAACCTCCACAACGAGACCTTTGTGGTCACTTTTAACAAATCCCGTGCTAATGCAGACCCCCATGTATGGCGATGGGGAGGTGGCCTTGCCAAGCTGAAAGCCCCCGATTTCCCCGAGACCACCAAGGACCTTGACGGACTCTTCTTCGAACACCTTCCATTAGATATAACCCGTGAAGTGCGCTTCATTTTCCACCCGGCCAATGACAACTTTGTCTACCTCGTCACTGCTTTCTTCGTCTTGCGTAAGCCAAGTTTGAGCCTCTGCCTTTTATGTGGCTGCCAGCTAACACAGTGGTACACAAAGCTCTGGGTAGCTCCAGTGAGCAAGAGTCGGATGTTTCTGATACCGAGCATATTGAACCTCGTAAATCCGTCATCGTGGTGTACAAGTTTGACAACATAAAGTGCGTGCAGACGTTCAGCTACGAGACCACTGTGTTCGACCGATCAGGATCTCTTCGGTTGCCACTACGTTGCCAGCAGATGAATTCCTATGGGCTCTACAACCTTGGAGTCTTGTTCGAACATACCTCTGCCAATGCTGATCACTGCAAGGCTACTGGTGTAAGGTCTGCGACCACGCCAAGCATGACACTCTTCCAAATCAATTTCGATACGGTTAATGAGACTTTCTCAAACAACATTCAGGAGCTCAGTGGGCTGCGTCGACCACTTTGGGATGCCCGCAACTGGGAACCGGCGCTTTCAGGTGGTGTTGTGTGGAATGATCTCATCTACTACATACAGAACGGTACCGCCCGTATGGGGAATGATGCTTCCTTGGGCTGGAAGTCCAGAATCGAAATCCGGGGCGTCAGAGCATTATGCATTGCCGACGGCTCGTCAACGCTGATTGTCGACGAAGATTCGCCTTGGTTCAGTGAGGAGGAGGGTTCTCGAAGCATTGCGGTGGACGACGATTTCTTAGTGGTAATTTCCGATAAAGGTTATGATGCGTGGAACTTTGGAGACTCTGGCTTGAGAGACAAGCCGTGGAGACGCAGCGCCGGACCCCTGTGGCGGCTGCGTCTTACAACCCAGGACACTGATTGCCCCGTCCAAGGCTGCAGCTGTCCGGACAATAATACTAGCTGCCGTATATTTGGAGGCTAATACAAAGGGGGTATGTTCATATAAAAGGGGCTCTGTGGCTGTGAGCTGGGCACATAACCCTCCAAAGGACAGACCATGGTAACTTGACCCAAGTTCTCCAAGAGCACCTTCAGTTAAACAAGTTTGTTGTTCAAAATGGCTGCTTGAAATAAATGAATGTCGTTGTGATTCACCCAATCCAACACTAAGTCGGTGGTGGTCTCATGTGAGGGCAGCCGGTGCCAGCCGGCCCGCTGCCAAGACCCATTCAGCTACAAATCACCAATTACCGGGAGGGTGACAACGAAGCTAATTAATACAGGATTCTCCTCTCCCCATACAACAGTTAGCACCTTCCCGCTTTCACCGTCTTTCGCAACAGCCGTGCCACCTGACAAGAGGTGGCTTCCGATCGGCCCCAGACGCGGATATCGCATTACGGAATGCAGTTGGTACTGTGGCACTTACTATGCGTCTCATCAACACCAACACGCTGTCTCTAGATGAGTTTTACGGCGACGAAGTTCCCCGATATGCGATAGTCTCACATACGTGGAGCGCCGGGGAGGTCGCCTTTCAAGACTGGGGCGACCCCAGCATCGCGAGGGAGAAGAGGGGGTTCCAGAAAATTGAGCTCGCCAGGGCGCAGGCTCTCCGTGATGGGCTCGATTATCTGTGGATTGACACATGCTGTATCAACAAGGAAAGTTCTGCCGAGCTCTCGGAGGCCATCAACTCGATGTTCTCTTGGTACGAGTACTCTGTAAAGTGCTATGCCTACTTATCGGATATCGAACATTCTGGAGAGTTGGTTGATGAATGCAACGAGAGCGACAAATATCAAACGCTGTCTCGCAGTCGGTGGTTCACTCGTGGCTGGACGCTTCAGGAACTCCTGGCGCCACGAGAGGTCCTCTTCTTTTCCAATGAATGGAATCTCTTAGGAAACCGAAAGTCGCTAGCGGGCGCCATCCAAAGAATCACAAACATCGACTGTCAGTATCTCCATAGAAGGAGCAAAAAGCTCCTCTCCAGCGCCAGCGTCGCGGAGCGCATGTCCTGGCTCTCCTGCCGCAAAACCACGCGGGTGGAGGACATGGCCTATTGCATGCTCGGGATCTTTGACATCAACATGCCGCTCCTCTACGGCGAAGGCGCAAAGGCCTTTACGAGGCTGCAAGAGGAGATTCTCAAGACGTCGACGGACCAGTCACTCTTCTGCTGGTCTTGGACTGAGACAGACCCTGGCTCGTGGGTCAGTATGCTGGCGCCTTCGCCAAGGAACTTTAGGAACGGGCAGGAGTACCAGCCCGCGAATGACGCGACGAGTAGGCCGGTGCCGTACTCCATGACGAATTTTGGGCTCTCGATACAGCTCACTCTGATTCATCCAACGGACATTCGTATCTCCAATTTTGGATTTCGTCCACCACAGTACATTGGCGTATTGGCTGCCAGCACTAAGGACGGCTATCTCATTGGAGTTCCGCTAGAAGAAACTGGGGTCACGGATACATACCGTGTTATTCGCGACTTCCCACGTCCGATTGCTTTGCAATGGACCAATCTCCGCGCTCTCAAGGCAGAGAACCTAAAAGTTGAAGTCCATGACATATTTGTTCCCTCCAAGTCTCCTGGACGAAACCTCGACGTTGTCCAAGTAAAACCTTACGACTCGAGCTTTCATCTCGGGGAGTACGCCATCATGCTTCTTATCATTAACAGCAGAGGCTCAGGGGGAGAAATATTCACTCGTGTTGAGGCGATACCGAGGTATACAGATTCCATGGCAGGCTTTATTCCGATGAAGAAGTTCAAACTGCCAAAGAACTTGGCAAACAATACCTCGTCTTCGGCAACCTTTCGTGCGACTGAAGCGCATGGAGCCCTAGTGCGCCTTCATTCCAACTCTCTGAGTCAGAAAGACGGAGCTCTTTGTCTTCTCTTCGGGGTCCTGGTCAACGAAGAGAGGCAGACCAAGTGGATATTTAGATATCTTGACGTCCTCACCGAGCCAAAGAATTCTTTTAGCGAGGCGAATCTAGAAAGACTGCTGAGAGACGAAGCAAAAAACTGGAGACCACCATTGAAAGTAGAGGCTAAAAACGTTTCTGCTCAAGCAAATGACAGGAGACGGGTGACGAAGCGGGATAGTATCACCACCACATTCGGGCCAGAGTTTAGGGCCGAGGTTAACGATAGGAGGACGGTGGCCAAGGCTGCGCATGTTATTGTTTCCAATTTTTCGACGGCACTGAGGACGGTAGAGTCATTGTAGGTTTTGATGGAGTCCAAACTGTTATTTTTGGACGCTCTTTATCTTTGTTCCACGTCATCGAATGTATCCCATAAAGTGATGCTGTCTCTGAGAAGAGAAGCAAACCTGTCCAAATTTGCAAGTTGCCCACAGCTTGGGAAGCTTGTCACTTCCTCTTAGTGTGATTTCTGCAACAGTCCCCAAGAGCACAGGTCTCTGCAGTAGTCGGATTTCCAAATTCTTGAGGTCTGGCTCCAACACGTTAAAGATGGTTTTACAGAGCTCTTGCGAGCTTTCCAACTCTGCTATTTTTAACCGCGGCCTCCGGTTGACAGCTAAGTCTCACATCACTTGTACTTTGGCTCGATTGCTGGTGATTCTTATAATGCACCAGTCGAATTGGTCCAGCAGTGTACCTATATCGATACAGTTTACCAAACCAAGTGGACGTGTTGGGATACCATTTTTAGCTCTGTAGTCCGATTGTAGTGCTAATTATCAGGCAAACTGAGCTGTCAGTACACGGAATGTATTTCATCAATGCGTGGACGGGACCAACTAACATGTAGAATATTTTATTGCTTCTGCATATGCTCTACATGTACGACTTGTCATTGGCATGCAAGTGGGCTCCTCTCTCTCAGCTTCCTTCCGTAGCGCAGGAACAGAGGGGGCACAACGCACAGCACTGTCGCGAGGGCAGCAAAAATAGATGATGCTTTGTTCGGGTTGACCGAGTGAAACAAAAAGCCGCCGATCAATGGGAATGCCGCGCAAAGTAACGCGCGGGTGAGTCCCAATGCCGCAAAGGCGCTGGCCGTATAGGTCTGATAACAGTCCGTAAGGTACCCAGCTAATACGTAATCGTATTCGTTCACCGCATACCCAATAGGTATAAGGGCTGCCGTCGGGATGGCCCAGTGGATCAACACGCTCGGCGGGATTGTCCATGCAAACAACCAGAGACCTCCAGCCAGGAGGGGCGCTCCGATAAGAACGCCAGCAAGCTTAGACTCTGGGGTGATGGGCAACGCCTTTGCAGAGCGGCTGGAAAGAACGCGGGTATCGTAGATGCGTGTAAGTACGCTCGCTAGGATACCGATCCCCAAGGCAAGGAAAGGCATATTTTTCCAACCGTTGTCAAGGCCCAATGAAACGTACACCCTCGGTAATACGTCCGTAAAAAGGTAGATCAGGCCGAACGCAATCGCACTGACAGTGGACACGAGGAACACGATTGGTTCAGTGAAAAGGAGTCGCAGAGGTCGAAGGATGTCGAGTTTCTCGCGACAGGAGGTCCCTGTTGGCTTGAGTATTGAAGAATGAGTACTGTTCGATCGTTCAATGTCGGAAAGGACCTCAGCCAACACAACCGAGGGCCGCGACTCCTTGATTGTGAGAAGTAGGATGGCCATGCAGCCGTTGACAATCGCCGCTACGTAGAAGACCCAGGTCCTGGAGAGCCATTGTTAGTAACGTCGCCAGGTGGAATACTTCTAGGAGTACTGTACCAGTGAGCATATGCGAGTATCAAGTCGCTGATAACACCCCCAGCCAGCAGTCCGAGATTTGCCACCATAGACCACCAAAAAATCCACCAGACCCGTTCGTGAGTATCCCACAAATCTTCAATACTACCAGCGGCCACAATAGTTGGAATAGATGAGAGAAATCCACCAAGAAGGCGTCCAATTACGATTCCGGGAACTGTAGGCAGTGCGCCAATCAGGACACATGACAAGCTGTAGAGTCCAGTACTAACTACATAGAGCTTCTTGCGACCGAAAGATTCCGACCATGGGGGCAAGAAAACCCCGCCAACTGCCTGGCCCACGAGATAACTGGAGTTCCCATTAGACGACAGCAGGATGAATGTGGATGTCGATATACTGTACGTTGAGACAAATACAAAAGTCGCCAAAACTGGGCTGATTCCAAGGTCGCGGTATATGTGCCCAGCAACAGGTGTCTTTTGAGAGTCAGTATAGGGTTCACCGCGAGCGCGTGGCTGGAAGACATGCCCCTGCGGTGCTTATTGTCGTCCTTGAAAAGTTAATGTCAGCGAGCAAAATGCCAAGGTATGTCTTTCCACATACGTATAAAACTCAAGAAAGATGATCAGGCAAGTATCGTACGTCTTTCGCGAACGTCCCCATTGTCGCGGATGACCTTGACAGTCTGGCGTCCAGGGAAGCTCGTTATTCGGCTGAAAACTAGTCGCCGGTTCTAGACCGTCTTGTCTAGGATCAACCGTCGAAGGAGAGGCGGACATCTCGATAACAGTTTGTTGCCAGGCTATCGCCTACTTCGTTGAACATAAACAGTCAAGATGCCAATATTCTTCCCTGGCATGCGGGCAATAAGCGATATAAGGTCGCACCTTTAGATTGGTATGTTATGAGGAGGACAAAGCACAAGCACTTCGTGACTATACACAGAAAGACGCAAGCCGCCTTGAGGGCCAGGCCTTGTTGTCTCCAAAAGCCATTTGGAGATCGCAAAAGATACAAACGCCACAACTATTGAGACATTTTGTACCGACAAAGGCAGATCGAGACCTCCCCAGCTCTCAACGGTCACTAGATTTAGTTTTCGACTTCTGGAACCAGATTCAGCTCTGGTAGGGAACCCATAAGAAGGCAACGTTGACGACAGGTACCCAGTATTCGGTTCCGCCTATACCCATAGCGGCTGGTCTCAGCCAGGAGACCAAACGCAGAGCTTGTGGAGTTTGTGCTAGCTGTTCCCTTGGAATTTTGTGCCATGGCCAATCTGCAACAGGCAAAGTGCAAAAAGTATGGATTGCAAACAGGGTGAAGTACGGCCAAGTAGGAACGAGGCAGCTTAGTAGATGTTGGGTGCGGTGCATTTATCTGTACTTCTTGATTGACTAGTAACTGAAGCTTTTACAATACCTCTATCAATTTACATGACTATTTCTCATAAATTCTACTAGCTTTTGGAAAGCGAAGCAGTCACCTCCTATCTTTCATTTGAGCGAAGCAAATCTTGTGGAAAACGCCCTAGATAGATAGTTTTGCTGGAATCCCTGTGTTGTTGGGTCGATATTGGTGGTTTGTCTATGGAAGCGAGAAAATATATCCATACCTGATGAGATCCTCGTCGGCTAATCGCCTGTGCCATAAGGACTTCGAGCAAGCACAACGTAACTAGGAACCCCCACCACAACTTTCGCGTACACATGTTTGTATCTAGGTGGTGTTTTAACCTAACCCACCGGAGAAAAATGCCGGCAGTTTTACGTAAATAATGTTCCAATTGGTGGCCCAGGCCGACTGGAAGGAGTAAAAGCTGAGCCAAAATTTGGTGCTAGACTTGTGTTTCCCGTGGTTTCCGTATATTAAGCTTGGCGAGTTTTTTCCTGCTTCCGGAAGTACAATTTGGACCTGAACGCCTCTTCTTTTAGTGGCGTATATAGCCCCTGGCATCAGCAACTTAACATTGGTCAGGAACCGACGAGGTCCTAACGGAAGAAGCATTCTGAGAGATCCCAGAAATCCCGACAGTCTGGGAGAGGAATACTAAGCGGCTCTTCTTTCTGTTTCTTTCCTCTCCGCCTGGCTGCCAGAATGACTTTTTCGACGGATCAGGGTGGGGCAAAGTATCTAGTTTGCAACAGCGGTAATGGATGAGCGACATGCATAGGCTGATATGCGATAGATGTGTCAATCTATTTACCATACAGCCATTAGGTCTCACCAATGTGAACCTTGAGATTCTTCATACGCAATCCAGTGTCTCTTTATTAGATCGTCGAGTATCATGTGGATCATCACTGTGTCTAAGAAATATTGTTTTTACCCCCACATGTTCTGTCATGGGACTGTCTAAACTCTCTCCTTTGCGCACTCGTCTGTAACCGCTACACGTATGCTTGTGAAACACTTCACGCCGTGGCGTATTTCATCATTTACAAATCAACTCATGACTTGAGATCAGCGGTGGATTCGGTATTAGAACTTGATCATGCCATCCCTCTTTCTTCCCTTGCGCGCAACTAAACCTCAATCTAGAACGAAGATGAGGGGCCCCAGAAAAGTCTCTTCATAAACAAAATCCGCTGTGCGACGTCCGTTAGCGATCTCGAATTTGCAGCGATTCTTCATATACTAAGTCGAACATACATGTCGTTTGTTCCAGTGTTTGTATGCCTTCGAGCTCCAGGTAAATAATACCAACTATAGACAAGACTGGCAATTGCTAGTTCTTCCAAGAATGAGCCCCAGCCTTTCCTTCGAGATTGTTCTATTCGGGGTTCCGTAGACATGCAAAGCAATTTTATAGGTAATTACAGTGTACTTATTAATAGTACCCTGTCCCAGTAGCTTGGGAGTTACGCCAAACGACCACAGAGGCTCACCTCTGTCACTTGGATAGAGTCACATAGAAATGATACGCCTTGATCATTATTACTACGAGGATTTTAATGTGGTGATCCATCGGTAACTGAAAATTTGAGCAGAATGATTGTAAATCTGTAGGGCCTCGAGAATATGGTATTAATTAGAGGGTCTGTGTGAAGAATGCAATTGAGTGTACTCCAACCACTCGGATCACAGCTACATGTGTGACTCTACGTGTATACTACACAACTGTGTGGCACCGCCAACTCAGTCATTAAAGCATGCATCAGCCGTTTACTAACTGGAATTAGTTCTTTGTGTGCTTCGTGATGCGAATCCGTTCCCCGTCTGCTGCTAGCTGGCGAGAGGCCTCTGGGTTTGGAGGCGTCTTCGACAGCTTCACCCCTCGTCCATAGCGTCCCTTAAACTCCGAGTTGCCTCTATCCTCCATAGATTCATCAGAAGATGATGCATCACCTTGCGAAGGCGAGTGTTCTTTTCTGGGTGACTGCAGACTTATCCTAATATCTCTTGACACCTTCTGGAGTGAAGCTTCGCTCAGATGGCCTCCAACCTGTCTTGTCTTTGTTCCAAAGCCTCTATTCTTACCGTGGATTGTCTTTCCGTTAGTTGATACTAAGAATTGGACGGTGTCATCTCCTGCTGCGTAATTGTCGATGATGCTAATGTTTTCCTTGACGTGACTCTCTGCACTGGAGCAGATGTCCAGACATTGACGAGCAGTGGTCCACTCTTCCCTGAGCCTAGAAAGCTCTTCAAAATCAGGCTTAGAGCTCATCTTCGCCGCCGACTTCTCGATGAGTCGGTTCATCAAGTCTTCCATGTGCTTTTCCAAATTATTCACTGTTTGGGAAAGCCGCTCCTTGCAAGCTTGCAGGCTCTCGTTAGTGACCCGATTTGGATAAGGATTCGCGTCCACGGAGCTGGGAGTATTTGGACCGGTGGCTGGCTGGAGCTGAATCCGATCGATGTGATCTGCTAATTGCGCGCACACCTCGAGGCATTTCTGCGTGCTCGAACGCTCTTCTCTAATTCGTTGCAAGTCTTTTGCATCGGAGTCGGTCGCTGTCACCGTGCGTTCAAAGACGACCGCGAGCTTTTCATCAATGCTCTCTAGACGAGCTTCGAGGTCGTCAGTGGCTGTTTTGATCATCGTCTGGTACTTTTCGAGACCCTCGGCGGTAACAGTGGACTGGCGACTACACATTTCATGATCAGCATCATTCGTGTGCGGTACAATACAGAGAGACTTACAGGTTTGCATCAGCAAGAGCAATGTGGATAGTGGACTTGTACCCGGCGAGGAGATGAGTAAACTCATCGATACCGTCACCCATATATTGTAGCTTCACCCAGTCCCGGAAGCTAGTCCGGTCGCCACCAGACCGCGATGAACACCTCGCTAGTTCATGTTCAAACTCTTTGCAAGCCTCGCCGCATCGTCGCAAAGGAAGTTCAAGAACAGAAAGATCCAGATCAGCAGCAGCGTGGACCGTGTCCGTAAGTAAAGAGAGAACCTCGCTCAAATCCTTAGCCTCCTGAACAAGATCGCGCACACGTTTAGGGTGGTACTTGTATCCCTTCACAGTGCTGTAAAGTGAGACACTAGACTTGAAAGCGAAGGAGGCCAAAGTTAGCACCCCTGATGCAAGACCCACGGCTTCGGCCATCGCTTCAATAATTTCGCAATATGTTTAAGTGGCGGGGAGGGGCAAGTCACCAACCTAGAGGGCTGCGGGATCTATCCTGCTAAGTACTCCCTTTCGAGATAAGCAGGCCGTGCGGGGTACGGGATGTAGCCGCTAACCTGAACAACAGTGAACCCAGGCGACCCAACAATGCTGGCCAATGACATTTAGCTAATTGTGGCACGCCATTGCGGAAGCGATGGTCCTGGCTCCAACCTTCGAGGTGGAGACACCAGCCATTATCAAGAGCACAAATGCTCTCTCAGACGACCAGATAGTAGTCTTCAATGACACCAAAGGACAAGTCGTCTGGTCTAAAATCTAGTCAAATGTATTCCTTTGTCATCGATATGGTGTTGGCTTCGTCCATCGTTTTCAGTTCAAAGTTATACTCCTTGGAAGTGGGTGAAAGCTTCCATCTTGCGAAAATATGCCCAGTTTCCGCCAGGACACGCTGTAGCAACCCATTCAGATCCTCTGCGGCGACAGGTCGTCCGTGCTGCCCCCTCTCGTGCACATAAGGCTCCATGACCTTTAAAGCGTGTCGAACCCACTGCTCGGCCTTGCTCTCATCAAGCCTACTCGCCTCCACTGCCCGCCGCTTCACATCCTCCACATGTCGTTCCCTCTCCGTCGTCTCAAACGCCGCAAAAAGCAATCCCAGAAGCAAGTGCGACCGCATGGCATAATCAAGGTTGTTGGTGTTGCTGCTCGCGTCGACGCCCTCCGTCTCCTTCGCGGCAACGGCCGCTAGGAAGGCAACCTCCTCCTCGCTCCCGACCTCGGGCTCCCACCCCCGCCACCACGCCTGCAAACCCACCCCGCCGTCCGGCAACCCGCACCAGTCCACCTCGCTCTTGAGAGTGCCATCTAGGTCCGGTTCGAGAGACGGCGCGTCGCTGGACAAGTCCCATCGTTCTCGCGAGTAGTACGCCTCCCACGCCCACATGTCGAAGGCCCCTGCGCGACGTAAATGCCGAACTCGTTAGGGTTCCAAGCCTCGCTGGAATACGGGCCAGGAAAATCCATCTTCATGTACTTGAGCCAGAACCGGGCTTGTGTCTTCGAGTAAGGGTGCACGACGCTCGGGCGGTCCTTCCGTAGGCGCTCGATGGTTTGCTGGAGGGTCGAGAGGGCGATCTCGGTCATGGTTGCGGTGGGGAGTGCCGGCTGTCTCCGGCGCGTTCGCGCGACGTTGTGTGCCCACCGAGGAAGCTTGGTGAAGTGGCCGATTCCCTTGTCTCGTCGCGGCTGCCCGAGCGGGTCGCTTGCGTCTGGCAGGTCTTGCAAGTCGGGGAGGCGGTAGAAACGAGCCGAGACCGGCTGCGCGAGGAAAGCTGGTGAGTAGTACTCTCTCCATGCTTTTAGGTTGAGCAGCTGACGGTGCTCAGCGTAGAACGTGTCAAAATCGTCTGCCAAGGGAAAGTCCCCATCGAGTTGGTTGGAGGAGCGGTAGATGCCGGCTGCTATCTGGGCAAGGTAGAATATGTCCAGAGTGCTTTTGATTGTCAGTATTTGTTTTTCTTCTCAAAATTAGTGTCTGCTCCTGATGCAATACCGGTTGAATCTCAAACCCTCCTCGCCGAATGACCACCCTCGCGCGTGGAGCTGATCAACGACGTCGAAGACCCCGTTGCCATCCCACAACCCTTCATCCAAGTAGATGAAGGCTATTCGTAATACACGATCATGGTGGTCAACCGGCAGCTCCCCGCTTTCGACATTTGCGCGGAACTCTTTAGCATTCATGGCTCGCGACACTCATGAACACCGTCTAGACCACACCATAGTTTGTATGCCTAGGCAAGATGTAACAAATAGGAAAGGCCGATGTGGCCCGCTCCAACAATTCTGGCCAATAGCGTTTTGATATGTAGCTGATTGTGACACGCCAATCTGGAAACCATGGTCTTGGCTCAAAGCCTCGAGGTGGAGACTTCAGTCAAGGACCATGAGCATGGAAGCTCCGTCGCCGTATTATAGACATACAAATCCTGTTCAGTGACGCCAAGCGAATAATCCTATAGTTGATATAAAAAAATTGAAATCAGCTACATGATACATTCTCATCTTAGTGGCGTTGATAACAACCGAAGTATTCAGAATGGACACACCCTGGCCACTTCATCATTCATCGTCCTGCTTCGGCATTCTTCCTCTGTCATTATTGTATCACGCTGCCCGTTTTCTAAATTCATTTGGGTTAGGCCTCCTTCTGGCTGATTCCAAACTTGGGGGCTGTCCATCTGCCACCACTCGATTTGTAGCGGGACTGTTGACGGTCGAACAATCCGACGGTGAATGCTGGGGGGTAGCACTCATCTCTCTAGTGCCAAATCGGCTGCCATAACGATCCGTGGAGATCTTTTGCGCTGTGGCCTCTTCGACTGAACCAATCCACTGCGCTGATCTGTTCGTGGATGATGCTTTCTTCACATCAAAGAAGTCTGCCAGTGTCGTAATCACCACTTGATCGCTTTCGGAATCTGCAATCGCCTCCCCAACCTTGAAGACTTTCTTCCGGGCTACTTCTTCAGACGCCACTTTGCACACATCTAGACATTGTTTCGAATGTCTGAGCTCTTCTTCCAAGCGCGTTCTCTCGTGTTCACTCTGAGGCGTTCCGTCTTGTGCCAGAGACGTTAGACGCTCCTGCAGACGGCCAATGGTTTGCGACAGGTAATCTCGAGTCTCGTCCAGGGTTTTACGCGTCATTAAAGGTGCTTCGAACTGGTACTGATCGTTCTCAGCGGCAGTTGATGGAGTTTGTTGCTTGAGGGGCCCTTCTTGGTCCGTCAATGACTCAAGATAGGACCTCGCATCCTCACAAATGCGTAGGCATTGCTCCGTTACCGCTCTCTCATCCTTCAAGTCTATCGTTGTGTCATGGATACTAGTGCTCTCCGTGTTGTTGGTTTGGAGCAGCGCCAATTTGTCGTCAATGCGTTGCAGACGAAGATTCAATTCATGCATTGTGTCCATGATTATCTCATTGTATTCATCAAGGGCTTTCTGCGTAACTTTGGATTTATGCCTGTGATATTGGGTTCGATGAAGTTAATAATGGTCCAAGTAGGCAAGATGGGCAACTGACAACATGATTGTGCCTAGGCCTACCGAGATTGTTGCTTTGTACCCTGCCAAAGTGTCCATGAAGTCGTTGATGTTACCCCTCATGAATTCCATTTTGGCCCAATCTCGAACCCCGACTTTTGATTTTCCTTCAAACACTCTCATAGAATCCTCAAACTCTTTGCATAGTTGACTGCATCGAGCAACAGGGTCCTTCAAAAGATTCATGACTGATGCTTCGTGTTCAAGAAGCTCTCGCAGTCTGTTCAAGATACTGCCTAGGTCTTCGAGTTCATCTTGCAGACGACCCAGAGTCCTATCACGACCCTTGAAGCGACTAACCGCGTCTGAAAGTGACTTTGCTGATTGAATGGCGGCTGTGACGATGGCGATCACAGACGCAGTTATACTCAAAGGATCCGCCATGTTGTGCGTTTGCAGCTGTTGCCCGTACCAGATCTGGAAGGAAAACTGGGGAGAACGTCAGCAAACCGCAAATTGCGATGGGATGCTCTTGTTGAAATATTGGCGGCGTCTAGCGCCGGCGTGGAGTCGCACGACTAACAATGGCCAATCAATGATCCATTTTCTTTGCATCCGCTGAATGAGAGGAAAGCGTCGCATCCAATCCACCGTTTCTACTGTGATAGGCTGTTACCCCTCAGCTGAAACTTCAACCTTATCAATTAATTGACCATCATCTTTCTTCTGTCGATGTCAAGCATAGAGTCGAGTCGCGCGCCAGTTGCTTGAAGCCGTCAGATTTCGAGCATTTTCACTACTTATAAGAGCGAGCTTTGCCTAATCCCCTCTGCTTGCTCTCGCCGCGTCGCTCTGTATTCACTAGTCGTTCGATATCTCAATGAGTGTTCGGTTGAATGATCCAGGCCCTCCTCTTTTAGTTGATCTTGAGCTACTTTCTTCTGCACAGGCCATAGCGGGGTTGAGGTCAGACTCGACCGGGCTCTCCAGTGGAGCGTGCATCAGAAACTCGTGAATATTTGCTCTTCCTGGAAAAATTCCATCATGTCAAGTTTGTATTTGATACAACGATAACTGTTGGCCACTGCATCTTAAGTCATTGAGAGTCTTGTGGAAAGCTTCTCAACACCCACAACTACAACATCACGACGAAAGGAAGGCAGCGGCGCGGTGTATTAATAGATAGGGTACATTACATATTGTTGTTCCGCATGTCAGCCTCACCAGCAACCTCTGGGCTATACAGCGAACTCGGCCTCTCTTGCAGGTGTGAGACACACCTTTGTCCCATTCCGGGAGCTCAGGGTCAGAGTCAGTGACTCCTCCCATGGCCCCGCATCCCGACTCTCAAGCACCTGGAACTCCTGGGCCATCCGGACGACAACGTACCCAACTTCAGTCAAAGCATACCGTTGGCCCACGCAGATACGTGGGCCGCCGTTGAAGGGCAGGTATCCCCAGCGTGGCCGCAGCTTTTCGTCTTCCCAGCGTTCCGGGCGAAACTCCTCCGCATCTGGCCCGTAAAAGTCCTTCCGCCGATGCATTGCGTATAAGTTGTAACCCACCAGGGTGCCTTTGGGCACAAAAACTGGCGAGAGGCCATCTTCACCTCCTCCAAGAGGTAGTACGGTGTCTCTCAATGCCATGCGCTCGTTGCGCGGTATAACAGGATGCAAACGTAGCGCTGGGCCAATCAGCGGGGTCGAGGTAACGGTAAAGGGATTCGCTTACATTCGTTCATACAGTACTCGACATATTTGAGGCTGCGGAGCTCTTCGTAAGTCGGCGCCCGGCCCTGCAAGTGAGCTACTTCTCTGCGCAACTTGTCCCATATTGCGGGGTTCTTGGCCAGCATGAAGAACAAGTTGCTGAGCATACTAGCCGTGGTGTCACGGCCAGCCAGTAAAACGTTCATCAGCTCATTCAGAACACGTTGCCTATCGGATGTCCGCGAAGCCAGCTCATGTGAGAAGATGCGCTTCTCTCTCTCCGTTTCGAAGTGGTGACCCTCTCTGTTTGCTTTTTTAGCCTCAACCGCGTTGAATGCCTCGTCCACGAAGGGCTGGGCGAACTCCCGGCAGATGCGATTGCACTCGTCGCCTTTTGAATCGCGGTAGAACGCCTTGAGAGAACCCAGCGTGCCCCGAATTATGATAGCCCTTTGCGCATAGTGAAATGCTCCAGCGAAATCAGGTCCTTGCCGGGTCTGCTTTAGAGTTCCGACCGATTTTCCAAAGAGGAACTCGGTCGCCGAATCAATGGTGTAGCGGAAGAAGAGGTCCTGCAGGTCTACGACCGTCTTTCCATCACGCGGAAGCAGGAGGAAGAGGTCCTGGATCAGGTTCTCAAGCGTCGTCAAGTCAGCCACCTGGGTACGGGTAAAGCTGGGTCGAATGAGCGCCCGCGACGCGGCCCAGTGATCACCATCCGTGTCGAATATTCCATCCCCCAGCAGTGGTCTGAACGCATCGAGACGGTGGTTGATGCCGTAATCACCGAATTTGAGCGAAAGGATGGTCTTGATGTTCTCCGGCTCCACCGTCAAGATCACGCTTCTATGCAGCTCCTTCACCGTAAACGTATTGCCGTAGACGGCGAATAAGTCGCAGCCCCGCTCGAGAAGCTTATGCTGTCTGCGCGCGCGGATGCTACTGGGGATCGTGTCGAGGCCTAAGAAAGGATCTTTGTTGAAGGACCTCGCCACAGGCTGGCAACCGTGCTCGCGTGCGAATCGACGGCGAGTAAGAAAACGCCGGATAAGGACCCACGAAACGGCTCCTAGCACAGCGATCGTCGCGAACAGCTTTTGGTAGAGGGTAAAATACATCTTGATGGTCATTGCACAGGCAGCAGCGCCGTCGAAACAGAAAGCCGACGCCGGTTGGGTAGAACGGCGGTCTTGATGCGAGGATAAAGGGAACAGACATTTCTATTTATGGGGAGAGTGGTGCTGTATTAATTATCGTTATTAGTGTAGGATCACCTACCTGGGTTGCTGCATATACGGGCTAACGCAATCCCGGATCACTGAAAGAAAAGCCGAAAGAAGCGAGATGAAGAGGGAAAGTAGAGGAGAAAGAGTGCCTGGTTAACGATCTGAATCTTGTTCCATGACTTTTGGCGTACAAAGACTCAATCACCTCAAATCTCCAATCCACAAACGCAAATATCAAGAGTCCCCTTAACTTATTACTAGGGACTAGAACCGTCCGAACCGTCCCGACGTAAGGCACTCCTCATACGGAACACGCTCGGCTCAACGGCACGGCGAGGAGGTTGGGGTCCTCAGGTCCGAGTCATTTACAATAATCAGCTCACCAAATCGGAGGCCGCCCACGGAGAATGTGGCTGACGGCTGACGGGCACCACCCGAGTGGAACCCGGAATGGAGGACACCGCCAAGCCCTTGCTGTTTTGGCGATGCTTTCTCCAACGTTGTCACGGCCATGAAGTGTCGGCCACGGATGCGATTGTCTTCCCGTCTCCCGAGGATCTCCGGCACAACGTGTTTTCCGGTCCCTGTTGCGCGCAAGCATGTCTGGGGCATCGTTTCGCTCCAGTTCTGTCGACAACGTTTTCAAGCCCCATCGATAAACTCCAGCTGAGTGGCACCGGCAACGGTTGCATCTGTATTACTTGAGTACATATTGAAACAACTTCTGCTCGTCCTATTTTGATCCACTCAATGTGCAACCAAGTCATCGAACAAACCCAACGTAAACTTCCATACTTTCTCATCGACACCTCGCTTCCTCATGTCGCCCAGCACCTTTTCATTGCTCACGCTCTCTCCCTGTTGATCAATTAAAAAGATCCCACCATCCGATTTCTTTGCAACTTCAAGCCCCTCAGGCACCGGCACAAGACCCTCTCCTCCCTGGATCGCATAGCGATCACTTGTAGCCAGAAACAATCCCCTTACACCTGCCTCCTCGACACTCATCTCCCCTGGCGGGTCCATGCCGTACTTGCGCGCCCTTTGGAGACCAGGGGTGGCAACGGCGCCAGGAAACATGTGTACGATACTCAACTTTGGATTCTCCCGTGCCAAAACTTCGAGGGCTAGGGTCCCCATTGTCGCGGTATGAACTGAGGCAGGCCAGAAGGCCCAGTTGCCTGGTTTACGAAGGTCTAGGTCGTCCTCGTCGATGGTGTTCTCCAAGCCGGCTGCCAGGACGGAGACGACGCGCGGGTGGGCGGCGTTCTTGAGGAGGGGTAGAAGTCTCTGCAGGGCGCGGAGACGGGTATAGTACCGGGTCGACATGGACGGGTCGAGGCCCTCGACGGTGTCCTCTCTTCCTTCAAACGCAATGAAGCCGGCTGACAGGAACAGGATGTCGAGTTTGCTCTCCTTCGCGATGACGGCGTCGACTGCCTTGTCAATGTCGGAGACCAGAGCATGGTCGGCCTTGATGAGGGCGTAGGTGCCGTCTGGGTTGGTCTCGCGGAGCGACGAGAGGAAGGCAACGTGCGACTCTACCGTTTGAGGACGAGCGACGGTGTAGATGCGCGGGGACTGGGCGTGCTGGGCGAGCTGTTGGAGGGTGCTCTGGCCGATGCCTGATGTTGCGCCGATGAAGAGGGCAACTAGCCCTTTGGGCAGAGCCGCGATACGGGCGTTAGAGGATTGGACTATTTTAAGAGAGACCATTTTGACGGTTTCTTCCGTTACTGGAAGTCTTTCACTTCTTGGAGAAATATAAATAAGACCTTGAGGTTTGTTGGTCGCGAGGTCATTGAGTGTGGGTAGGACGGTTTCTCAATATTAATGATACCTTTGTGCTTGTTAATGATGATGTCGGCATTTTTCTTTAACCACCCTAGAGAGTTACTCCGTGTTTGACTAACATTTCGTTGTTTGTTTGAGCCTCTATCCAAATACGTGATCCCTTGAGTCTTTGGTTGGGTCAGTGTTAAGCCAGGTTCCTGCTGACGTTCCGTCGCGCGGACGCCGAGTGCGGGCGACTTGGTCAGCAAAGACGCGGCGTTCGGGTAGATAGCTCCAATGTCACTACCCGACTGTCCGATAGACTGAGGGACGGATTTTTTACCATCTTGGCTTTTTGCCGTTTGTCCGACGCCCCACGTGGTTTCAGTCGATCCGATTAAGATTCTGCGGACGCATCACCCTATGGCATGATCACTTAAACCAGGAATATTTTCAAAGTACATTGCAATTAATCTAATCGAGAGTATCAAATTAAGAACTAAAAGTACAGACAAAGGAGATTTATGATATCGACTATGGTCGTCCTGCTGTGGTATCATCAAAAATTCATGAATCAAGCAAAACCATCAACGCCGATGTTCCCAAAGCAGTTAAAAGAGTGTGCGTGGTGTCGGTCCTAATGGCCACCGTTGACATTTGACTTCTCGCCCTGCATCGCCTCCATGCCAGCGTTGAGCTTGCCAAACTGCCACTCGGGAAGCGTGATGCCGGTCTGCTCGTTGATGGTGGTCATCAGGGGCGGCAGCATCTGGTAGACGTTGCGCATGGTGTCGATGCCCGAGTTTCCACCGGCACCGTCGCCGCCCTGGCTGCCCGTGTTCCAGACGCTGATCTTGGGCTGCAGGCCGCGGATGGCCTCGGCGTTGGCCTTGGCCAGGTCGACGTAGGTGCCGTTCTCGATCATGAGGTACTGCAGCAGGCCGGAGGGGCCGCCGAAGGCGCCGGCCATCTTGCTGTAGGCGTCCGCCATGGCGGCGACACCCTCGGCCTTCTTCAGGGCCAGGGAGAGCTCGGCCTCGGCGGTCAGCTGGGCCGAGTACTGGTGCGCCTCGGCGTCCTGGCGGGTCTTGTAGGCGTTGGCGTCGGCGGTCCTGGTGGTGCGGTTGAACTCGGCCGTGGTATGGGCGTCGGCGTCCTTCTGCGTCTTGTAGGCCTTGGCCTCGGTCTCGCGCTGGCTCTTCTCAAAGTTGGCCTTGGCGTCGGCCTCGATGGCGTACGCCTCAGCGTCAGCCTGCTGCTGGCGGGCCTCGCGCTCGATGGTGGCCTTGACGACGTCGGTGGCACGCAGGCGCTCAATCTCGGCGGCGGCGCGCTTGACCTCGACCTCGCGCTTGAGGTCCTCGTCCTTGGACTCGAGGGCGCGGCGGGCCTCGACACGGGCGATCTCGACATCCTTGCTGAGGGAGGCCTGGCGGGTGTCGAGGTTTGCCTCGGCGGTGGCGCGCTCAATGTCGCGCTCCGTCTTCTGGACGGCGGTCTCGGCGTAGATCTTTGCGATCTCGCGCTCCTGCTCACCCTTGCGCTTGGACTCGCCGACGTTTCCGCGCAGCTGGGCCTCGGCGACGTCGATCCTGGCCTGGTTGCTGGCGCCCTCGTGGGCCTTGCGGGAGAGGGACTCGAAGTAGTTGGAGTTAGGGGCGTCCTTGAGCTCCTTGACGTTTGCGTTGTAGATCTTGAGACCGAACTGGTCAAGCTCGGATTGAATGTTCTTGAAGATGCGGCGCTTGAAGACCTCGCGCTCGGTGAAGATCTCCTCCATGGTCATGCTCGAGACGAGGACGCGGACCTCACCCTCGATGATGCCCTTGACAATGTTCTCGAGGTGGAGCATGGTGCCGCTCTTCTTCTCGCCGGAGTCGGCGAGCAGCATGGCGTACTTCATGAGGGAGTCACCGCGATCCTCGCGGCGGTTGGACGAAATATGGCCATCGTCTTCGTCATCGTGGCTCGAAGCAATTGAGTGGCCTGATTGGTGTGTGGCGTTGGCGCCACGCTGGTTGACGTCCGGACCGACGGTGAAGACTACGGGCAGGAGGAACTGAAGCTTCTCCTTGGTCATGGCCTGCAGGTTCATGGCGTAGTCGTGGGGCTGGACGCTGAAGCGCATACAGCGCTGAAAGGGCCATACCCAAGCTGCCTTGGTGATCTTGACCGTCTTCACGGACATACCCGTGATGGCGAGGTACTCATCGGGGGCGGCGACTCTGTACGACATCTTGGCGGTGTTGTGTTGCGGTGTTTGGCGGTAGTGAAGGTGTGATTGGTTTAGATGAGAGTTACTACTCCGGGTTATTCGAAAAGATAAAGTCGATAGAGTTGACTGCTTTTATGTGCGAATGCTGATGAGACTCAGTCGGATACCTCGATAGCTTGAGAGATAGAGCGGCGTAAAGGTTGAGTGAAGTCTCGGTAAGATCAACGGGAAAGGATGCCGAGGAGGTGGCCTCGCAGGATAGGTTCGCAGAAAAGTTGGTGAGCGGCTGGGTAAGATGTATATATGGCGTGATACCCTTGGGTAAGGTATGCTTTGGGATATCTCGAAGTGACTTGGACGATGCAAAAATGACACCATGAAGAAACGCCGCCGTGTTATATAGCAAGACAAGGTTGCTTGATGCCAACTCGCAAAGCTCGAGCTCGATCCTTCCATCATCTTAGCTAGCGCTGAGAACGCCCAGCCAAGCTAGCCAACGGCGGCGATTGGCCGACGACGAGGCATCCTTCCTGTCGAGTAAACATGCCTCGTGGGTTGCCCAGTATGTCAGGAATGGGTGTCAATGTGTATTCGTGTGTGTGTGTGTGTGTGTGTGTGTGTGTGTGTATACGGGAGGCCCGAAAGAGTCAATCAGCACTGAATCCAAACCAAGTCGGTCGGTGGCAGTGCATCCTTGGGCTGAATTGGCCCATGTTGACTGAGTGGCATTGATGCTGGAAGGCGCTTGTTCCCCCCTGTTAGTCACCAAGAAGATCCGCAGACCAATCACGGCCCGTCAAAGGATGCGTGAGGTCAGGTGAAGTGTCCCGTGCACGCTAGAGCGCTTCTCGAAGACTTCCTTAAGCGGCTGCCTAGCCTGCCACCACCGTGCCTGCCTGTTGTGGGGGAAATCAATAAAGGTGTCGATCCGGATCTTCCGTTCCCTCGTCGTTCATCTGAGGCCCGCCACCAGCTCATCGTCGCCCCAGACATATCCCCTCCTCTCTGTCAGACTTGCATCAGGTACGGGTGAACATGATTCCAGGTTCGAATCTACGGTAGCTTCCCGGCCTCATTGAGCAAGTACGGCATGCTCACCACCACAATAATGACTCGACTTCATGTCCCTTTGACTGCCACCAGGCTGCAATCCACTCTCGGGCACTGGGCACCGGTCATGTCTATCTGATCTGTAAGAGAGGTGGGCTACCCTCACTCTCTTCACCGAAGAATAACTTTGCGGCTTCGTTCTGCCCCGGGTTCGTCTCAAAGTCACACATTCCTCTTCCGGGGATTTTAATTTGAATTGTCTCAACAGCCCGTCGAAACAACCTCGCGCTTCACCTCCAAACGGTGACCGAGGTCCCGGACCCGAACTCCAAAGTAGATACCGACGGCGGGCCTCATTCGGTCACCTGTTGCGGAATGCTGGGCAGAGTTCGTACCTTGCGCTAATCAGCAAACACGTCCAAATGATTCAACCGCAGCGCGGCACAGCATTTTTCACAGCACTCTAGTCGGGCGCATCGCCCCCCTCTCTCCCATGCTAAGAAACGTCCCCAATGGCTCCAAGGTCCCTGGAACCACACTATCAGTGCGACCACCCACAAGTCCCCTACTAGCGTTCGCAGCTCCTCCGCTTCGCCCAGCCGGCCCAAGAACACCCAAGCGAGATCGACCACGCCAGAGAGTCACAGCCTCAGCGCATTTAAGGGAGGCAACTCTATTTTTCCTGCATCCAAACCCATGGATTCCGCCCGAGTGGCCTCTTGAAGTCATTGTGATTAAGCCTCGTGATTAGTTTGATTCCATGGGCCCCACCACCCCGAATTGCAACTTGGACTGTATCTATGTATGCATGCATGCATGCATTCTTGGTCTTGTTCTCAGCCCTGTGAATCTTCTGTCGTCGGCATTGACCAAAGGCAAGCTCGTCTCGTCAACCACTCATTCAGTCACCTGGCCATTCCCGAGGCACAGTCCACTCCCGCTTCTAGGCGCCGAGGCTGGTCGTCTGCTTCCAAGATCCTCCGCCGTTCCTGCGCGAACTGCGGCTCTCAATCTTACCCTAGACGTCACGCAAGGCGTTTTCCGAGCAGGAGACTCTGACTTATTAGTCATCGTGCATGCAATTCTCCAGAGGGCACCACCTCCAAACGCCAAACTCCCAATCATCGCGATAACGGCCCCCTTCGTTCAATCCGTTCAGTGTCACAGAAGACGCCGGTATCAACCATTTCAAGTCGTCAGGGTTCTCTTATCCAAGCAATATGTCCAAGGACCCGGATGGGGACGGGGATATGCCCCCTCCGTCCTATAGCGAAGCAACGACTTCGTACTCCTCCACCTCCTCATACCATCCCACATCATCCGTCTCTTCGACGCTCAGCGGCCTGTCTTCCCTCCTGCGGGTAACCCACTCTCAACAAACGGCTCGCGATACTATCACAACCGCAAACCTCCTCCCACTCTTGACTCCACACCTAACATCCCTGTTGACTCGACTGGGGACGACACCACATCCACCATCACTAACAGAACTCTACCTCGTGCCCGCCGCCGCAGTCGGACCGGAATGGAGCATCGCTTCGGACGCTGATAGAAGGGCAGGGGAAGTCGCCCAAGTCATCCGTGTGAATCCAGAAACAGACCCCGACTCAAAAGGCGAAGGTGATAGCAAACGCGGCAACCCGTTCGCAGATGCAACGGCTGCAGGCTCATCGCGCGAATACGAATTTGACGAATGGGGTCGCTGGGATGACGACGCAGACACGGCCTCGACGTCCAAGGAGGGCCAGTGGTGGTGGAACGATGAGGCGTTGGCACGTCGCCTCGCAAAACGGCTACAGCCCGAGCCCAAGCTCGACCGCACCGTGGTCAGCGCCGTGTTGGAACAAGCGAGAGAAGAGAAGAAGGCGGCGAGATGGGGGTGTTTAGATCTGGCAGCGAGTCGCCATCATCGTCTTCGTCAGCCCCGCCGCCGTCTCGGCAGTCTGAGAAGGCCACGCCATTAAAGCAAGAAGAGGACGTTGCAATGACAGTGCGCGCAGAAGAAGTCACCTTTCGCAAGGAGAACGAGATGGGGATATGGGAGAGCATGCGCGGATATGGGATAGTTGCGAGAGTCAGGATTCGGAGGACTTGAGAGCCTTGCGGGGATGGCGATGAACAAATTTCGTAGCTGAAGAAGCTGTCGAAGCGGATCGGGTGAGAGTGGTAAACGGGTTCTCATATGGATTCACGTACACAGAGATTATTCTGCAATCCTCTACAGCCGGTTGAGCAGTCAAGCCCGAGGGAAGCTAATCCTTGGGCTAAGCAAACATGACTAAACGTTGGCCATGAACGTCGATCACCAGCACTTATGCCAAAGACACCAGTTTAACACATAATCCGAAGCATTTATGAAGAGATATGAATATGCAGTTTTAGCCAGCGCGGCATTCTTGAGCCTTTATTCAACCCCCCCCCCCAAGAAACACTCAATGTCCCTACTGTTCGTTAGCATACATCTTAATCAAGTAGGCCTTTCAGAAAGCTACATATGATATCCCCCGCGGCACTCAGTCGCCAAACTACAATCCGATAGACATGCCAGGAAGCAACAGCGTAACCCCGAGCTTCTCGAACCTCCTCACCGTGACGGCCATGAACTCGACCTTTAACATCTGCCACAGCAGGACGTCATCAGACCAGTCTTTAAAGCACCGCATGTCCACAACCCTCAAGCCCTTGACCCCTCCCGCCATCTTCATGGCCCCAAAGGTTCCCAGGATCCTGCTCATCACCCTCTGTAGCCGCACCTTCCGATCCGCGCGAAGAAAACACTGCTCGTCCTCGCCTACGACCATCTCCACCGTCTCGAGCGGCTTCATCTCCATGAGGCAGTTGCCATTCCAGAACAAAACGCCTCTGAAGCCGGCCTCGTACTGGTTTTTGAGGAAGCCGGTCTTAAGGTGTTGGAGCTTGCGCAGGCAGCCGATGTTGGGGATGAGAGCGGTGGGGTATTCGTGCGCCGTGTCCACCCAGGCCAGTGTCTCCAGCGTGTCCTTGACAGGCTCGAACGCGTCGTGAGATACCTTACCAAAGGTGTTGAAGTTCAGAAATGTGCGCAGCGAAGAAAGTTTTTCCAGGAGCGTCTTTGTGGTAGATTCCGAGTCGGACGAGGAGCAGTCGTAGAAGTGCGCCTCCTTGAGCTGCGGCAGTGTTGGGAAGTTTGCGTCGACCATGCGGAAGCCTCGCAGTGTCAGGCGCTCCAGCAAAGGCAAAGCAGGCAGTAGCTTGTACCAGCTATTGAGGTGGTGCAGAAGACGGCCGTTCTTTTGGGTAAGCTCCAGGCTGCGTAGCGCCTGGATCTTGACAACCCCTGAGCCGAGGGAGATCTGGATTTCTCGGCTCATCCGCGACGTGTGATGCCCGGACTTTCCGCCAAAGGCATGTGTGACGGCCATGTGCGTCACCTATCGCTGCAGATGTTTGCCGTTGTCATTGGTGGTGGTCTTCAAGAATCTGTGTAGCTGGCGGTAGTTGGTGCCCGAGATAACGACGTTTCGGTAGAGGGCCTTCTCGCAAGCCTGAGAGACGCGGGAACATGTAAGTGATAGGTTGATGATACCCTTGTTATTTTCTTCCGATTGTTTGTTGTACGTGCGAAGCACAATGTAGTCATGCTTAATCTTCTCCTTGGCAAATCAGGGGAGCCAGGGCCAGTATGATTGGGACTCCCCTCTGTTGGTGGTATACTGGAGGTCCGACTGGGTCTCGGGCAAGACGATGCAGTCTCGGGCGACGTATCCGGCGATCTCCACTAAGATCTCGAGTGGAAATGCTGCCAAGCTGGGCTTGTTTGCTGTTGCTTTGCGGCGTGGGTTGGTAGTAAACTTCATGGTGACGTGTTTGGAAATTGTTTAAAATACAGATTGGAATTCGCGTGGAGAGAATCAAATGACTTCGTCAGGCAAGATGAAAAACAGGAAATCCTCAGGATTTTCCTACCAACTTGTGATGATGGTTCTAGAAGGCAATATTTGTTGTATCTTTAAACTTCGGTCCTGAGCCATCTCCGTAACATTGTCATTGTAACGCGGAGGCACAGAGCATGTGAGAATACCGCGGAGGCTGCCATGTAAGATGTGGCGATCCACGGATCAAATTTCCAGTACCTGGGTTATGGTACCAGCACCTGCTTGTTATTGCAGCGGAACTTCTTTTGGAATCAGTCATTCAGTATCGTTTCACTGAATGAAACCTATTGTGGTATCTTCGTTGAAGCTTTTAGGGTTCCACGGTAAATGTTAACCAACTGTCTGCGCACCCACGGCATGTAATTACCTAGACGGTTTTAGTAGCGATATTTTTGCACCTGTTGACCTTAGGATCTTTGGAGTTTTCAACCTAAACACAAATTCTAGAAGCGCCTGAGTTTGGACTGCAACTCTGGCAGTAACAGAAATAATGACAGTACTGTTGAGCATAACAGCGTGGCTTTTAGTTGTTTCAAATCTTATGCTCTATATTCCCTCCAAAATTCGACCTCACGTGGTAGATTCGTCAATTAGCCAATCAAGTAGAATTATTCCCCAGATCGAAAACCAGCGCGCATTCCCGGTATCTCTTGAGACAGACTTCCAAGTTTCGTATCAGAAGGCCGAGACTCGCAGCTAGAAGACCAGGATAAAGCGTTGCGTAAGGACGCAATGCATATGCTCGATGTAACGAGTTCCTCTAGACACAAGCCAGATCACGGGGCTACAGGAAGGATATGCTACCATGTATAGCAGGGCTATACCAGGGGCAAACTCTCGAGGTTCTCCTAAGTCCCACTTGTTTTGCAATAGCGTGGGTGCAAATGTAAGATGTAAGATACGTTCTGCTCGTTTGGAGAACTTTTCATACCCAATGCAGCTGTTGCTATTGTTCGACCGGAGACCATCCGGTCTTATCTACAGCCTGATATCCGTCTTCCGGCTATCGTCCAAACAATTTCTGGTATCTATAGAATACTCCTAAATCCGAATAGCCGCTTCCTGAACCAGTTTGCATGTTTGTCATCCTGTCGTACTAGTCGTATAAATTATCGGCTGTGTTATGACACTTCGCGCATTCTAATACGACGCCTCGTTGAAAAACTTCTCGTCATTTCAGCCTCATCCGGCATTGAGACATCTTCTTTTGACGCTAGAAACGTCAATCACACTGTCGACGCATAGTGCCTCTGTAACCTGACCACCCAAAGGGCTTCGTATGCTCTGCACTGTCATCATCGCCAGCCATCTACCTGTGAATGTGGCTTTGCGAATCACCATATCTTCGTTGCTGTGGAGTCGAGACATCCGACCTCGTCATTTGAGCACTGACTAAGAGCGAATCCGGTGCCATTAAGAGAGGACACCGCATTTGGAAAGGCTGAAGTGAGACCATAGCATCCATACTCCCCGCCCCTCACTGACTTTGATCTAATAATCTTCTTGGTCCTTCATTTTTCAGCCAGCACACCTTCTTTCCAAAATCGAGGTGGAATCTGTGTCCACAAGTTCTGTTCTGCACTGTCTTTGGCACGACATGTGGATATTGAGGGTTTTGATGTATTGCGGGACCGAATCCTGACGGTCATCTCCATTGCACTACGTGGATCATTTAAGGACTATCCACAGGCATCACACAATAACTCTTGCGAATAATATGGATACAGCCCGAGATCTGGCTCGAGAAGAGGTCCATCAATCTCCCTTTCAAGCCACCATAGAATCCTCATTCAACCTCGGTCCCTCTTCAACAGAGGCGGCGAAAGTCTTTCGGGGCTCAGTAAATGATGGCGATTGGGCTCATAGCGACACACAAAGCTCCTGCCGACGAGATTCCGGTGCCCAAACAGGGAGCGGCTGCGATGAGACCCACGAACTGAAGGGTGGAAAGAACGCCGAAGAGGACGGATCGGCTCGAACGGATCTGTTCACGGAGCCCTGCTCTAAAAGGGTCAGCTTTAAGGACTTCGCTGCTCAGCAACACCTCACAACAGCCCATAGGAGGAGAAGTCTTAACCCTAAGCCTGTTGTGCGCCAGACACGATGGCGATTCTTTAGCGGATGGACTATCCATGTTCCGGCCCTACTTCTGACGATAGGCATCACTGTCGTGAGCCAACAGAGACTATTCTGGTATCCGTATTCTGGCGTCCAGAATGGAAAAGTGGACTTGACGGCCGACGACCTCAACAATTTCCTGCAGCTGCCAGCCAAGTTGCACGAGATTCTGATCGTGGCTTCGCTGTCTGCAATCGGATTGAACATATTTCGCCGGCGGTTGATTGGAGACGGTGTCCGCCTTGGGTTTCTCACTGGGGGATATCGAGTTGGAGACCTCGAATATCTTGTCAGTCCAGCATTCTGGCGGCAGGGATTTGGTGGATTTAGCTCCTGGGATATCCTTCTCGCTGCGTATTTCATCTTTGCAACGATGTTGTCAGCCCTGGTCGGGCCAGCATCTGCCATTCTTCTTATTCCAACACCGGGATGGTATGTTTTGGACCATGATCTAGCATTCGACAACGTCACCATGCCACTGGTCTATCCCTCAAAGCCGGAGAGTGTCTGGCCCGACTTTTTCAGCCCGGATCGTGCTCCATGGACGGATCAACCGCTTGTTGGCCCCATCGACTGGGAAAAGTGCAAAGGCGCTCAGGGTATCTATCAGAGATACTGCCCGGCTGGAGGCTTCTCTGAGATCTGGACCTGGGCCCAGACTTTTGGTTCCAATAACTTGGAGGGGAATCTCACCTTCCAATCACCGGTCATCCAAAGGAATCTAATGCTCACTTACTCCAACCGCTCAACAATAATTGCCACAACTCCGTCGAGATTCTTTGTGTCAAGTGTTGGTTTGTTCGACAATTATATACAAGGAAATCCAGTCGGTCGCATATCAAAAGGAATTCACTACAAGCTGAAGCCAAGGGGCATTTACCCGTCAGGAACTCAGTCGAACCAGTCCATTTACCAGCCCTTGGTTCAGTCCAAATGCACGGTTTACGACAAAAGTGATCTCTCGGATCAACTGCCATACTATCCAACCGAATTTTTGAATTGTTTCAATGATACACTTTGCCAACAGCATAAAGACCAGCCCCGGTTCTTTCCTGTAACATGGTTGAACCAGTCACAGCGGACGAAAACCTCCCCAACATTCCGCACACAGGGCGAAGGAAGCTCAGTCATCAACGTCGCTGGTCAAGTTCCAGGCACGAAAAATGGTGCGGAAAATGACTGGGTTTATGGTTGCAGTCTGCTTGCCAGTTGGGTTGCAGCTAACTACACTTTGGATCCCTGGCTCAGCCATACAATGGAATCCACCGTCAACAGCCCCTCCGGGATGAATAACATTGTTGCTCGAGATACACTGGAAGATGGATACGTCATCAAATTCAACGAAACCTGGTTCCCGTTCATGGATCCCGCAATCAATGAGACTGGAAAAGACGGACTCCCCGAGCCGACTACCGCAATCATCCGGCTGTTGAACCTTTTTACGACGACGAGTGATGTAAATGGTACTATCCAAACTGTCCTCGCCCCGGTGGAGTCTGGCAATATTACAGCGGCGGAAATACTTTTGGAAAAGCTGTTTGCGGTCTATCTTACCGACAGCTTGGCTCGTACAGGCTCTCAGGTGGGACCATATCTCGTACTGAAAAAGAACGATACCCACATCGTCGGCATCGACCTACTCTCGCAGCACGGCTACTTCGGCGGCGTCAACATAATCGACTCTTTCAACGCGACTAACTCTAGGTGGCAGAGACAAAACACGACAACTTATCCGAATGGAACGGTCGCGGAAATTTCTGCAAACATGTCCCCAGGGTACCTCAAGTTCGATTTTGACGTCGAGCAATATGGGTATGGCTCTGGGGATCCACGCACAACTCTGCGCTTTGCAGTGGCCGTAATGGCCATCTATCTAGCAACTCTGACAGTCTACGCCCTAGTTATCGCCTGTGCTCACGTGTTCGAGCACTATGATATTAAGTGGAAAGGACAACCAGTGCGAGTGTGGAGTGTGAAGCCCTGGGGTAATTTAGAAGACTTGTCGGTTCTTGCGTTGAGATCACAGCCACCGGCCGATGAGAACCTGACGAGTTCTGGCCGAGACGCAAGGTCAGGCAAAGTATGGGAAAGGGTTGTGAGAGTAAGAGCGGATGAGCAACAAAATCTGCATCTTGTCGTGGACGAATCCGTTCCTATGCAACGGGTACACCTCGCAGGCAGCGGTCTGTACTACTGATTCTGATATACGCCTAAACAGTACCTCAAGGCTATCGGAGAACTTTAGAATGCAGTTCGTGACGGTGTTCACAGATATACAACAGATCAACCATGAAACAAAACCGGTCCGATATGCAGTAGAATCTTACATCAGGCACTGAGACCATATCCACTTTTTTATGTTAGGCTCGGCATCGTAATATCGGCGATGCGTGCAATAGCTTCGCTCGAGCAGTTTCAGGTATAACACACAAATGATGGCAAATTTTGAATTTCACTAATTTCCAACCATATATAGCACACTGGGGTATCTCGCGCCATCTATCTCAAAAAAAACTTTTAGGCCTTCTCGCCCTTGATCACCTTCTTGCGACCAATTCCGACCATTTGGATCATCTCCCTCCAGAACGTGGTGGGAGGCTCGTGCACCGTGGCGTGCTGCTCGTAGGCCTCGATGATGGGGCGGTCCCACGTCAAGTCCACGTCCTGCGGCTTGATGTAGTGGGTGCGCTTCAGCACCTTCCAGAAGATGAAGAGAAGAGGCGCGACAATCTGCATCGTGTAGTTGGAGAAGAAAGAACCAACGTCGAACTTGGGGCGGAAAGCGGACCAACCATAGGTCAAGATGACGATGGTCTGGAGGAAGAGGGCGATGTATGCACTGTATGGCTGGAAGTATCCATAGTATGGCATTTTGCGACGGTCGATGCCCTGGGCCTTACACGCGCGGTGGTAGTTAATGAAGGTGATTGACATGACGAGGTAGTTAATCACACCGCCACCCGTGATGAGAGCGAGGAGCCAGCTCAGAACCTTTGCCGAGCCACTGCCGCACTGCAACAACGAGAGCAAGGGGAAGATCATGGTGACGGCAAAGCAGTAGATAGGCACACCGTTCTTGGTGGTCTTTCGGAGCAACGCCGGGGCGCGGCCGTCGAGGGCCAAGCTGTACAGGGATCGGGTCGCGCAGTAGGTGTACGTGTTACCGGCGGAGAAAATGGTGGTGAAGAGCAGGGCATTGACCAGGTGGGGGAGACCCTGGATCTTCATGTTCTCCATGGCCATGACCCATGGAGACGCGGCCGCGGTGCCGCGACCCTCTCCACCGCCCAGATAGATCTTCTCGAGAATCGGGTCGTTGTGGGGAAGCACGATGCCACAGGTCAACGCAGCGCCCACAAAGAAGATGCCAAAACGCAGGTAGACGGTCTTGAAGGCCGACTTGATGTATAGACTCGGATGCTTCGCCTCGGCGGCAATCATGGAGATGTAGTCCGGGCCGACAATGGTGAACGAGGCAGTAGCCAGAGCACCCATGAAACCTTCCATGCGGCCCGCGTCACCTTGCGTGAGGTACTCCGAAAACGCGCCAGGGTTTTTCCAGTAACGGAAGCCGTAGGCATCGTGTTGGGGGTTGCCGCCGACCATCGTAATGAAGGTGAAGAAGAAGAGGATAAAGATGAGCAGGACCTTGCCACCCGAGAGCCAAAACTCTGCCTCACCAAATATGCCAACAGCAACAACATTCAAGAGACTAGATTCACACATTGACGTTTAGCATGCATACACAACCAGCACGGCGTAAAGGAAGAGAGGTGAGAGAAGAAGGGGTCACTGCGGGCACAACGAGCTCTAGAGTCATCCGGTTGGTTGAGTCGCTTGGCCCTGGAATTGAAAGAGAAAAAAGGCCAACCATCCCCACAAACCGACAGCGACTTACCCATATGCAATAATGATGGCGATGCAGAAACCCGCAGTCGGGCCAGGCTCCGTGATCTTTTCATTCCAGAAAGAGCACACGAGATTGAGCGCAGTGATTTCGAACGGGATCAGTAACGCTTCGTAGAGGAAGTAGTTCCAACCGACCATGAAGCCGAGAGCGTCATCGACCCAGACGCCCGCCAGACGGATGAAGCCGCCGGACACGGGCATGTAGGTGCTCATCTCGGCGATGGAGTTGTTGACGAGAGCGACGACGCAGGCATACAGGGTGTAGGCGATGAGCAGACTGCCGGGCCCGCCCTTGACGAGACCCTCGCCAATGGTGACGAAGAGACCGGTTCCGATTGTGCCTCCAATGGCAATGAGCTGGATCTGACGGTTGTCCAGGCGGCGCTGAAGGCCATCCGAGTTGTGTCGCACCGAAGAACCATAGCTATCAAGGGAGACCCTTTCGCCGGGGACGGCTTCGACCGGGCCCTTGAGCTCGGGACCCGACATGCTTGGGAAGGTTCCAAATTTCAAGCCGCAACGGCTGGTTCGAATTTAGGCTCTTCCCGCGGGGGTGATGGTGAGACGGAAACCGGAGGATACCACAGGGCGCATGTGGAGGAATGCGTGTGGGAGGGAGGAGTCGAGGTCGCGCAGGGTGGAAACCGTGGGACAAAGAGAGCAATGCGAACACACGGAAACTTGGAAAGCGGCGCGTGACAGGAATCTCGATGGGGAGGAGGGTTGGTTTTAAGGGTGGGAGGAAAAGAGAGGGAAGATCGGCGGCTCGTCGAAGGGGAAAACTTTTGCGGCCAGCCCAGCGTCCCAATCTTGTGGCACATGCCACGCACAGTACAACAACATGCTTCAGAGACTGCGCGCCGCGCTGCGCAACCGCACCCATACAGCTGGGGGCTGCTGTGCTGCTTTCTGCAGCTTAACCACAGAAGTCTTGGTCAAATCACCAACCCGTGGTCCTCGTCGTCGACTGCATCAGAAATTCAGGGACACGGGGAGTATCCATTCAGAACCCAGGAACGTTGTAAGTTTGTGTGGAGTTGACCGGGACCGTCCCTGATTCCGCACAGCGTCGCCCCCCAGTCGGCCAGAAACCCCCCCCCATCTCCAATCCTTTGGCGCGGCGCTGGGCTGGGGCAGAATGTTTCCGCAATGTCGTCATATCCCTGTGTTAGCGTCTTTTCCCGAATGCAATCTCTCATTCGCTGGGCTGAGGTCCGATCATGCGTTCGTCAGCATCTGTATTTTCGCTGCCGTCAAATCTCTCTGGGTTTCCGTTATCATTGCGGTGTTTGACTAAGACATGCTGTGCTATCGATATCATATTCAGAAAGTGACATTCGTCGAGATAAGGTGGGAACTCTCCAGCTTTATCTGCAGGGACGATATGCCTGAGAGGGCAATTTTATGCGGGGTTATTCGATACGTTTCCCCCATATCGCTCATCCCAATCTGCCAATCTCGCTATCAGACTCTGACAGCCGCTGTGCGAATGGGCCCCAAGGGTGGCCTTTGTGAGGGGAAAATGATGGGACTGCTGGAACCTGTGGGCCACTTCGCAGGCTGCGGCGTTGTGCGCTCGATTGTATGTAAAGTCAGCCAATGAACATTAGGCGGACTCATCACCTTGGGTCATGGTTCGGTGGCCAACCTCCCTCCCCTGGGTTTTCCATTCGCCTTTCGGTGAGAGACCGACAAAGGCCCAAGACTAAGATGGCGCGATGCTGGGGGCGAATCCTAGGGTATCCCAAGACCCATAGACTCTGCCTGGCAGCCCAGCAGTGCCAGCGGGAATTAAATAACGGAAAACTTTGTCTTTATGTCATCTAAACATACGACAGTAGCCAATCACTATTGTCGGTTGCAAGAAAACGGTGCAAAAACTTAGAACGACCAACGAGCGTGTCTCAAAAAGCTCCCAATTATCCACTTAATATGCAGCCGCCAGTCACTGACCGACCAAGGGATGTGGGCACTGGTTTCCAACGGGCGAAATCCAAATTAGTGAACTCCACAAGGTTCGCAGGTGCGGAGGGCTCGTTCTGCTGCTGGGTGAAGTGCCTCACAACAACGAGCGGTCGTTGAAAGAAGCTCAGCATCCAAGGTCGTCCATTCAAGAGCCGATCAGCAAGCATCGATAAGACTCTGGATGGGTATTGAGCCGCATTGTCCTGTTGGACAGAATAACACGTTGCTAGGCGTTTGCTGGGCGTGCCTTTGAGTTTGTCGGGATCCAAGGAACCCCAAGAAAACCACCAACGGCCAAGGGGGGAAACCCTGACACAGGGGACAGCGCGATGTTATTTGCCAAGGCCTTGTCTTTCCCTTGGAGGAGTGGAGAATGGCACAGCACTCTTGGCCGAGTCTCTTACGGCGTTGTTACTCCCGACTGCTTGATTGGAACGGAACCTGGTGTGGGGGCTCTCAACACCGTACGGCCCCACTGAGTGCGGAACCGACAGTGTCCACTTCCGGTCTTCAATACCTGCCGATGACCCGTTTTGCTTGGCTTGGCGCCTACTGCATGCTGCAAAAGGCGCGCAAGCGTTACAGGGGCTTTGGGGGAAGAATGGGAAAATGACGTAGGTTATGCGCTGTAGGCGACGAATAATTGCGTGTGCAACACTCGGGCATCCATGCTCGTGTCAGACGACTTGTTCCCGTAAGGAGGGATACGCATCACCTTCAGCAGCGCAAGGGAGGCTGGCTGGCCAGCTGGAACGCAGGGCTCCCGCCACTCGGCTGGCTTCGGCTACATAGTTGAGTCCGGTCGAAGTACCCCGTCGCGTTTTCGAATTATCTAATGCCAACATCGTCTTCCTGAATCTTGGCTCAATTCATAGTTTTGCAGATGGCTCTCCAACCTTTGCCAGTCACGTCGGACAGTTTGCCGTCGATACGGTGCGAGGGGTAATAACTCTCTTGTATCGAAACAGAGGTGTCTTGAAGGTTTCATGTCGTGATTGTCAGAAATGAGGCCATTGTCACCATCCTAGTTATGAAGCATCATGGGATTGGGATTGGTTTACGTCATTCACATTTAAGCGGGCAGCCTTCTTGAAACACGGTAGTATGAACGAGTACTTCGTACTGCATCGCCCAGCAACCAAACATTCTCCTGAACTATGAGGCAACGCCAAGTATCCCAACTTTACAACCAAATCATTGCCGGGTCGACTTTCAGACCCGTCGAATCATTGTGGTTCACACAGCAACTCACTATTTGATAAAGTTGCTAGACTTGTGAAATTACTTGCTAGTTTCTCAATTGAGACGTCGATTTTGCAATTCTCGGACCAATCCTCTGACGCGTCAGATAGCTTTTATCATGTGCTAGGGCGATCCATCCACCTAGTTCAATCTCTACGAATGTTCTACCGATAAAGGCTCAAGACTTGCTTGGAATTCGTGTTGTCGTAGAGTCACCACTTAGGGTGGAAAAGACATAAGGAAAACGGCTTAGATTTCTACGTGCAGGATTGCCTTGTCCGAAACGAATAAATACGTATCCTGCGTGGTGGATCCGCACGAAGGGACCGGACTAATAGTTAATCCGGGCCCGGCGCAAATCTCACAAGGCTGCGCGATGCGCTTGAGGGCATCGCGACACGTGTTCAATAGCATATTTAGAATTACAAGTCGGCGACTACTGTAACCCTCCTGAGGTGTTGCCACCGTAGATCAACGTAGGTGCTCGCCAAAGACTCAACGTTGCCAGCCCACAATGACTTGGTCATTAAGCATTTGATGAACTAGTTGAACTGGCGATGACTTCAATCTCTATTTCTAAGTACAGTTACCAAGTGGTTTCGCCCTGCCTTTATACTTCTTCCTTTTATATCATCCAAAGTTGCTTGTTTGTTCTTTCGAATCTATCGTTCCGATGCTGTTAGTCAGCCTATAGGTAAATCAGAGGTTCTATTATGAGTCAATTACCATGGACTGTTGTGCCAAAGGCATGTAAAACTTGCGCATTTAATATCATTGAATCGCGAAGTTGATCCCGCAAGCCTGTTTGGTACGGCCCATGAGATGGTAGCAAGCAGAACGAAAAGTTTTCAACCATGGGAACGGTTGCGATTGCGGTATTTCTGAAGTCATCGCGGTACACAACTCGGGCAACAACGTTGAGGGCAGCTGACTACAATAGCATGGGAGGCATTTCAGACATGCCTCATTAGCCAGGGTTGCGGCAAGGCCGCTAGCCAATCACATCACAACGCACTTATCGTATTCTCGCTTACAGAAGGATTACGGGTGAACAACGGCTTGCATCCTCAGGTTCGGGCAACTGCGGACGGCAGTCACCATTAGCGCCTGGTCTTTGTAGCCAGCACGCGCTGACCCGAACGCTCATTTTGGGTCAGCTGCCTAATGCGACCCTCGGGCCCTATAAACCGTGAGCCGCACGTCAGCGATACATCACGAGCTAAACATAAGACTTTTGCCAGAGCCTTGCTGCAACGTTCGAAGCCAAGCTTGCATCACCCTGTCCTCACTGATCATTTTCACCTTTGGTGAAAGATCTCCCACCTCCCTGAGCAAGACCAAGCGCATCATGGATCAGCTCGCTGCCCAAGCCGATCTGCCCCCGGAATATGTGGAGGATGTGGCTAACGTCCATGAAAGCCTGCCCCCGGACACTCTCCGCTTGGCCGGGCGCTTTATCCACTCCGCTACCTCACGCGACGCCGACGCGCCGGGACTCTACGAAATCAACAGCCAGATAGACTTTTTGAGAGAGACTGACAGACTGGTTGAATTCAGTCGCATCGACTACTCGGTCAGGAGACGCATCGCAAATGCGGTCTCCCTCCCGGAGATCATCTCACATCCAAGACACGTCTTCAACCTGGAACGACCAACAGCAATTGTACAAGAGGCATTTTTGTACTATATCAAGCCTGTTTCTCGCAGCGGTTTAGGTAGCATCGGACTCAAGTTCTCCAAAATCGGCAAGAGTGTGTGTAAAGCATGGCGCGTCGGGCGCAAGGCCAGTAACAGGAATGAATACGAGGCTCGGGAGCTTTTGTTCGACGTCCGGCACAACAATGATGTGTTGGACTGGCTTGATGGGCAAAACACCCGGATCGCGGTGGAATATTCGAAGGACAACATGCACAGTCTCAATATCTTAGTGCCCATGGACCAGGCAGTACGAGATGCCCTCGTTGCTGCGTGGTGCGTGAGGTTATGGAACACTCTGGCTGTGCAATTTCATAAACGGCGAACCTGGAAAGATGGTGAGTATCCTTTTCTCGATTGTTTTGAGATCATACTAACGTTGTTGCCACGTGCTTGAAGTCAAACACATCATGCAAACTTGCACAGCTGGTCTGCCAAAGTGAGAACATCTGACCCGATAAGAGCGATATGGTTTCTTGGAGGAAGCCCGGTAATTTGCGAACATTAAACAAAAGATACCCTTCAAATCCAAGTGTCACGTAGTATTACTCCTGTCCATGCTGTTCCTGTTGATGCTCGGATCCGAACGACACCATACATAACGGAGATCCACTTTTCTACTCGGAGCGGCCGACGCCGATGCCGGCATGAAAAGTCACCACGTCACCGGAGTTCTTCCGGTAAAATTTGCACCCCACGCAAACAGCCAGGAACAGCGCTCTTATGGTCTGACATCATCGGCGCCATTCGCAATGCTGCATTCATAGTTCCAGACATATTGTTTGATTTTCTTTCCGCGATCAATTATCTTACGGTGGCAATCATACACGAACCCACCATCTGAGTTCCTCCTCGTCTGACTCAGCTGCGCCGAAAACCCTCTTTCCCCCTGCAAGACCACCGTCGCAGCCCGCCCCGCTTGTTACCGATACTCCTGCGTACCACCCCTCTCATCTCGCCTTGCTGCGGAAGTCCAACATTCAGTATGGACGGACCCTACGCTCGAGAGTTGGCCACTGCCATCGCTGCCATTCAGCACGCTGCTAGACTCAGCCGACGCGTACTCGTCGCCTCTGACAAAGGCGTCGTAACCAAAGAGGACCTGAGCCCAGTCACCGTTGCCGACTTTGCTATCCAGGCGCTGCTGACCAGCACACTGCATGCCGCTTTCCCCGACGACAAGTTCGTGGGCGAAGAGTCTGCGGCAGACCTCAGAGAAAACCCCAAGCTTTGCGAATCAGTGTGGGCGCTTCTGCAGCAGGTCGCAAGCGAAAAGGAAGAAGATTCACTATGCAAGCTGCCGGCGTCGCCAGAGGAGATGTGCGATATGATTGACTGGTGCGGTCTTGGCGAGCCTTCACCAACTGGTCGGTTCTGGGTCTTTGACCCGATCGACGGAACCAAAACCTTCGTCAGGGGCGAGCTTTATGCCATCAATGTTTGTCTCATGGAGGATGGAAAGCAGAGCGTGGGCATCGTTGGCTTGCCGTTGTTGTCGGCGGATGCTAAAGCGCCAATCAACAACGACTCCATCGACCCCACTGGCACGGGCAGTATCATGTTCGCTGTCAGGTCCCACGGCACCTTCATCCGGCCGCTACCCGGCCCGATCGATCTGCAGCCGACAAAGATCCCCCGTCACGCCGATGTCGCCACGCAGACCCTGGTTTCGGTAACTTGCATCGAGGGCTCCGAGTCCGGGGCCCCTGGGATTCACCAAAAAGTTGCTGAGCGTCTCGGCGTTGCGTACCCGGGCAATGACTTGCTCGGCTGGGTCCTGCGTTGGACTGTGCTGGGTCTGGGTCAGGCAAACTGTACGTTCTGGGCGTACAGACGGCGGGACCGCCTGGCGAAGATCTGGGATCACGCGGGCGCCATGTTGTTATTTGAGGAAGTCGGCGGTAAGGTCACCGATGTTGACGGAAACCCAGTGAACTTGACGGCGGGGCGGAAAATGGTGGCTAATTATGGATTCATCGCTGCACCGCCATCAGTTCATGCCCGGGTGTTGGAGGCTGTGAGGGAGACGTTGAAGGAAGATGGCTTGCACGAGCTTTTGGGCTAGAACTGCGATCGAGGATGAATATGGCGTTCAGAGGGTTATTCGCATTTACGAGTTTTGTTATTATTCATGCCCGAATTCAAGTTCAAGAATTGAGCCTCAGCTGCCGAGATGATATTGATCCGTTAAGACATTCCTACCCTTGTCAGTAAACCCACAAGTTAACAAGTGAGGAGGCGATAACTATTATGACTTAATCACAATACTTAGGGCCTCAAATAACATTCTTATAGTGTGTTATGTATACTTCATGTAGTTAAGTTTTCATTACGAAATCAGGTAACTTGGTATATTTTGTACGCAATAATTCGGAACGTGGAAAGAGGTAAGACAGAGACATGGCTCCTCAAGACATAGAGCGCTCTCATTTTTAACAAGCTAACTGTGTCAATGACTCTTCAAGTAAAATCTGATAAAGGCAGTAAAGGAAGTTGCCTTTGATTCTCCTGTTACTACTTCGTCATCAAAACTGATCGACCTCTCCTTCAATTCCGAATCCAAAGGCCGGTCTTGGTTGAAGCTGAGATCCGCTGGACTCACAGTTCTTCTGTGTCAGCATTCCATATCCAAGTCTCATCGCTCTTCTATCCTTCCGAGACTTTGGCCATCCCCAAACCCGCTTATCCACAGCAGTTCCTCTTGTCGCCTCGGCAATGCTGGAAAACCGCGTACCCCTGGAGATACCACCATTTTTACTGATCGAAAGGGTACCGGCTGTGACTCCCAGTAGCGCCAGCAGAAGCAGTACCCCATATACACTTAACAGAATAGAAGCGCGATAGTGATATCGTACCGCAGGGCGAGACCGGGTGCAGGGATACAGATAGTCTGATTCTGGACCGACCCCTTGGCGGCGGATCCCTGTTTGCTCGTCCAATTTTGCCGCCCATACCACCGCCTGAAACCGCGGTCTAGCGAACATAGACATTAGTAAGTTACCGTACCAGGTCTCTATTAGCTCGATAATGTTAGGGCGTACGAAGTGGAATCGATGATCAATCAAGCTGGTCTGAACGACGCCTGTTTCTTCAACCTTGCCGGGTTCTCGAATAGTACCATTTAGCTTTGAACGTAAAAATAAACCCATTGAATGATATCCTGCTGTTCGTCTATATGCTTTGACGTCTTGTGGTAGAACATAGTTGCTTTCGGGAACTGCGACGGTCTTGTCGAGGGTGCCATCGTTCGCATCCAGGTCTGGAACCAATGAAGTGTTGATGATGGGAGATAGGAACTTCCGACTTTTGATAGTGGGTAGCTGCATTCCATCTCTATAGATGAGCTCCGCGGTATAATTGGCTTCGTAGTGTTCGCACGCGATAAGGACTGGGGTAAATGCTTCGTGGTTTTGAACGGGCTCGCTACTATTGAGATATACGGACGTGAAGGCGTCGGCAAATTCAGAGTAGCCAATCCAGATAACTGGCTCCGTCCGAAAAGCTCCAAGATGTTTGGGATATGGTGGCTCCATCAGTGGTATTCCTCCCTTTTTCATTTGGGCCATCTGCGGGAACGCATATTCTCCAAGAAGGGTATGTGCAATATAAGTGTAGTTGCCATTTGGTGCAAGTTCGTCCATGGAAAACGGAGGCGCCACAGTTCCTGAGCTTTGGGTCAGGACCAACTCCTTTTGAGTCCCTCTTCCGACTTCTGTACATCTGTAAGCGGGGCCCACAAAGTCAATCTCAACAGTGCAGTTCCAACCCCGCTCACACACTTCGAAGGTGTTTTCCTGGTCTACAATTGGTCGTTGCAGGTAAGTACTTGCATGCAGGAATTCCTCAGCGTTTTCACTTGGTGCTGTGTAATAATCGAAGAAATTCGGATCAGACTTGTTGCTGCTCGTGTTGTTCCAGTAGCTCAGGGACATTTGGCTTAGATTCTCAATCTTTCCTCCCTTTCGCCAGTCTGTCGTATCCTCAAACCTAAAGTTCAAAGAGCGGACTCCAGGGCAAGTCGTGTTTTGGACCTCCATCCCAGGAACTGCAATCAACGTGTTTGTTGATAAAATAACAGCCAGCGGTGATATCCTGACCCATCGATGTTAGGTGTCAAGCTGACAAGTGGGATTACGAGACTCACCAACAGAAAATGGCCAATGCCGCAGCAGTCTTGGCTTTACTGAGAAATTCCAAATTAAGCAAAGAAAATGGTGTCTCGGGAGCCGCAAACATGTCATCTATGGTAGTAAGGCTGAGAAATCTCGTCCGAACTACTACCCAGACCTGTTCCCGGAAGGCCGAAAGCACTGCATTGGCCACGCTTGCTTTGGCTGCAAAGGCCAGTGCAGTACCATACCGCATGCTGGTAAGCTGTTCATCGTCATGGACAAGTCGACCGTTTAGAGACTGGTAATATGAATGATGGCCAATTGCAAAAGCCATCCCAATTGAAAAGAACAGATACATGTTCCAAGAAGAGTTCCACAGGTCTCGTGGCAAAAACCACGGCTCCCACCATTTAACGTTGCCACGAAACACTGTCGGAGTGAACTGGGCGGGTTCATCACTTAAAATGTTGATGCGCTTAGGAACCAGCACCTCGCGAGAGTCGTATGCCCCATCTATAACTGTGTCATCGTCTTCAGGTGTTGAGGTTGATGTTACTTGGGAGTTTCCGTATCGCGAGATATCCGGCGATTTCTGAGTAAATTGGCTCATTACCGTCTCCTCAGAAAACATCTTTGCTTGTGGGCTTGCAACTGACAAGGATATTATCCAGTTTATGATGAGCTCTTGTTCCCTGTGGATAAGAAACGGATGCTCTTGCGTTTGCGGGGGCAAGGCTTTACATAGTGTGTAATTCTTGCTCTCTTCATTGCAGCTGCCAAGAACCCGCGAATAATCGCCAGTAAGCCGCCGAGGTTCCACAACATTTGTTTTACGGAAACATAATCAATAAACTCGATGTTGGTTACGTCTCATTGGTTGCCGTCCTAGGCACACCTTTTCCACTGCTGCAAAGCACATGCCCGATGGGGTGTATTGGAAGTTGGACGACGTGGTAAACCGGTAATTGAGAAACCAGTCCTTCTGTCGAGAATATTGATACTACTGCAGCACAGGGTCATCTCGGCCTGCAAGTCTCAGTCACTGGGGATATATGACGCCATCCGCGCGAAATGAGCATCTTTATGCAGCTGCCCCAACCCACCACTTCAGAGACAGGTACCGAAGACAAAAAACCATCGGGATTTCAAGACTAAATAATTAGTTAAAACATAACCAATAAGCCTGTTTTAAATTTTAGTACGGATGATGGTTCGTTTAAACCCAACTCGTTACCCTAATTTAGTTTTCCAACTCAACGATAACGTGGGCCAACAAATGTGTTCTGTCAACTTCTGCGAAAGCTGTAGGGCGACACTGTGTCTTCTGCTACCAGGCCAACTGCAATTCTAGGTGTGTTATCAGCCCCAAGTGGTAGAGCTGAAGGGTTCAAAACCTGAAAATTGGTTTGGGCAGCACTTGTCCCGCTTGTTAAGGATCAATACGGGTTAGATGTGTCGCACAGAAGCTCCTAGGTGGACAAAGTGGTATCTAATTCAACGGACAGTCATTGGCTAGCTTGGAGTTATACATGAGTCTTACTTATTGACCCATCTTGGTGAATCGCAAGGTTATACTAGAAGATCCAATGGACCACTGCGTACGAGGGAATTTCAACCAAGCACGCATGTCCTCTAGAATTCACATGTTCATATTGAATAGTGTTGAGCCCTAGGGCATTGCGGCCAGCTGTTCTTTGGTTGGACGTTGCCATTCATGCAGATTATATTGCTCTCTCAATAGTCATCCGCGATAGCAACAGCTTCCCAGCCCTGTATTGAGTATGAGTGATGTACTATAGACTCCTTGACCTGAGCCAAAAGTGAGCAAAGTTGAGTAGAAGTTAAACCTGGGATGATTACCTTGAGCCTAACCCTAGTCATCTTTTTAGTCCTTACTATCCCTGTGTAGCCAGACGGCATGACTGCCTATTTTAGATGTTAAACCGTCAAGAGTTGTAGCCAACACAACTCCAGCTTGACGCCGAATTTACATCTCCCTTGCCATCCCACGATGCATGGCCAGGGTACTTACAGATCGGACGCTGCCGCAAGATACCATTGCCAACTGTGTCATTGGCGTACTTGGTGGCTACAAGCTCGTCTACCCCTTGCCCACCCTCTACCCACGCAACCAGCGCAAGCAGCGCATCGTGCTGCGTATCGTTAAGTCCAGGCACTGGAAATGCGTGTTGTCCGTTTACCTCCAAGTTGGACGAGTGCTCACTGCCCCCAAAATACCACGGCGCGTTGTACACACTCCCTGAGCAGTGCTGCATGCCCGGCACAAAGAAGAGACGGTAAAATGCGTCCAATTCCACGCCTTGTTCCGCCATCGTCATCCACGTCTCGTCGTAAAGGACCCGGCTGACATCCGTAGGGATGAGACCATCCGCGTAGCCGTGGTATTGGATCAGCTTACCGCCGCGTCCGTGAAACGATGATAGGTTGAAATTGTTCGCGTTGACGTCCCCAGGGTTGAGCCTTGCTGCTTCGACAAACGTCGAGTAGTTGAAGCTGGCCTTCCAGTCCCAATCCAGATCGTCAAATAGGTAGTTCTTTGCGTAGTCTGTCTCGTACAAACTCGGCTCATTGTTGGAACCGAATGAAGACGGCATCTGGACCTCTGACCCAAGGCCGAAGTTGGGATAGATGTATGTCAGATTGTGAACATTTGCATCCAGCTGGATTGGGGGCAAATATAGCTGCTTGAGGGTCGAAATCTGTGGCGCCGTGAGACATGCTGATCGGTTGGCCGAGCTGGCCGTGCAGATCAGCTTCTCTGGCCGGAAGCTGCAGTGCTTGGGATCCATGATAATGCCGTCAGCGATGCCATCAGACGCATCACACTGCCGCAAGACTTCTTCGCCGATGACCTCGAACATAGTCTCCGGGAGGTACCCGGGCCCGTCCTCCGGCAGGTTAATGGCGCCGACTTTGAGTTGCCACAACTGCTGGCTCGTAGACATCCACGCCGGCGCGCCAGCGATAATGCCGTCAAAATCTTCGGGGTGGTCCTGCGCCGACTTAACGCCCTGCCGCCCTCCTGTCGAGCACCCAGAATAGTAGGACTTGTCAGCCGCTCTGCCGTAGTACTTTTCCACAATTACTTTGGCCAGAACCGTCGAGCCGTGAAGACTACGGCCAGCCCAGTCGGTTTTTGTCTCGGGATTGTTGAGCGCCCAGCTCATGTCCTGTGATGTCGAGTTGTGGCCCGTCGATGTTGAGATGGTTGCGAAGCCGTACTTGGCGCCTGTGCCCATGGCATACCAGTTAATGCCCCCGGAGAAGCCGCCATTACCGACGGCGAGGAACCGCTGGTTCCACTCGTCTGGCAGAAACAGCCCAAAAGTGTACGAGGAAGTTGACGAAGACGTGACGTTGATTGTTGCCACGCAGAGTGAAGGTAGATGAGTTGCGTTCTGGGGATATGCCACGTTTCCAACCTCGCCGAAGCTGCCATTACTGCTGATGGGATAAGCCATCAACATCTCGGCTCGGTCATCTTGCGTGAGAAAGCTACCGATGTCTTGGACTGAGCAGCGAGTAGAGATTCCCTGTGAGAGACCCTCCGCGATATGGATCGCCGCCCACAGCGTAAGGCCGAGCAGACGTGGCGCAAATGGCATCATACCGACAGGACACTGAGGACGATATGCCAAGTTTCTTCCAACTCGACAACGTGGTGCACTCTCCACGCACGTCGCCTTTATAGGGAGGGGTTTGTGGTCGTTTCTGAGCGCCGTCCCCGGGCCATACCGGGATGGCTCAATCTTGTTTCCTCTTGACATGTCTTAGGTCTCTACATTTCGTAGGGCATACCCCGCCATGCATGCTGGAGGTCTGTAGGGAGCGTTGCTTAACCCCGCAATCTTGCTCCTCTAGCCCCATGCGAGTGATCAGGTGAACAGGTCTGTAAAAATGACTCGGATATGAGGTAAAACTTGATCTTAATGTAACCTTAAACGAACTCCAGGATAAACATAACCCCACATCTGCCAGCTTTGGGTGCTGGTTAAGTTGGTCTATTTGGAGCCAATTTGGGACAGTATTTTTAAGCTCATCTCGGTTGATTCACGGCACAACAGTCTGAAGCTAGGGAGCCAACAGGTAGACAACAAAAAGACAATTCAACGAGTTGAATGCGTGAAGATATCGGCGCTTTAATATCAGCACTGTTCTCATATCGATTGGAGGTATTTTCCCGCTGTATTGGATAACGACAGGTACCTTCCTTAGCAGCACTGCAAATTACCTTGTAAAAGTTGAAATTGAAGTGACCAGGGTCCTCAAACAAACCAGGTAACAAAGAGGTATAGGGAGTGTTGCGGAGTAAAAATTAGGAAGGCAAAAATGCGACCGGCTGTGCCTTGTTATAATCAGCACTATTCGCAGTCGGCTTGAAGCGACAGAGGCGGCAGGAGCATACCGATCACTATGGACCAATATCTTGTACAAGCCAGGAAACCGGTGCCTAGGTGTTAGGGAGAAAGAGGATGCCAGAAGCTGGGCCACTAGCCTGAAGGCTCTTTTCCCATCTCCTGGCTTTGGTGGCTGCGTCCTTGTCGATGACAAGAGTCGTGTAAGTTGACGTGGTTGCGAAGGAAGGGATAATTAGAGTTGGGTTTGGGTGTACAGAATCGATGCGGGTGATTAAGGTGATCCAAGTTCTGAGCAGCACCTAGTACGGTTGGTGCGAGCCTAAGCCAGAGCGGCGTTGCTGACCAACCAAACTGGGACGCTGCCGGCCAGGCCAGTGTTTTTCCTCAATGGACCCAATTGCTGCAGCGCCAACTTCTCACCAATACCACCGCATCGCCGTTGCGAATAATCCCACAATGGAATTTAATGCCTCGAATTCAGCTGTGCAAGGCTCTTCAGATACCTAAGATCTATACCGGCCCGAGCCTGTGATTGTGAACAACCGAGAGGGCGCTTCACCAAAAGCTTCACTCAACCCCTTGTGCCGGGTCCAGAGTCTGCCAATAGCCACAGACAGAAGCCTAGGTATTGCACTAACCACTTTGTACTAGCTACTCAGGGGGTGGTCAGACCTCTAAGTTCCGCTTGCTGTTTGTGGAAACTGCCATGCTCTTGGCAACTCGTCTTTTCCTTTTGATCGCCCGTACCAGGGTTAGTCCGTGTCTCTCCCGATAACTAGTCCGCCGGGACCTCTACAGTTCCTCGGCCCATCGTTGCAAGACCAACTTACCTCGGGCCGGGATTCCTTCAGCATTCCGACCAATTCAGCACTCCATCGCCAGCTCCAGCATTCTTCTAGTGACCCAGCAATACGGTGCCGTTAGCTACGCACTAGGTTCCCAAGCGTACTCGCTTTCATTGGCCTCGCCGGTGAGGGCGGCAGCTTTAATGTGAATTTCATCGCGTTGACTGTGAATCAGGCGAAGCCACCTCTATACGCCAGAATGAGTCCTGTGGTGAAGTAAGGAGGTTGCCCACCTGCTTGTAAAGTACGTTGGCCCTAGGTAAGTCTAAGATCCTTGAAACGGGCATAACATGAGCTATCTTAGTCGTACTCGCCTTAGAACATATGCCGAATAAGTATTGTATGCGAGCTGCAAAGGATGTTTTGGGTTAGGCTTGACAAATCAATTCAGCAACATTTGTAGACTGACCTGCTCTGCAGCACTATCGATAGGGGGGGGAAAAGGATGTGTTGAGCTATAAATGCACCAAAGTCATGTTAGCTTGTGGCCAACTCGGGAATGCTGGCTAGAAAAGTAGAAGCGAAATGACACAGTGCTCTGCGATAGGGATTCATCACAATTACAGCGAGCCAGGGATCCAAGTCATGATGCCGAGCCGTGGGCGACACTACAACAAGTCTGTGATAGCGCACGAAGCACTACGCGTTTAAAGTCACGTATATCACTAGTACAAAGAAGGCAAAGCGGTGTCTCTGATACCAAATACCCCTCGGCTAGGCTCCCCGGCTTGCATGCTAGTTCGGATGTTGATCAAGCTAAACATAGTCGCTAGCCACTTGTGAGTCTGCAGCATCATGATGCCCGCCGTTATGAAATATTCGTTCAATCGCGGTGATCCTGAACCTACTTGATTGGCCGAACAATTGAATTTCGAAACTTCTAGATACTGTAGTTTTCCAAGGACAGATATTATACCTCCCGTTTCCCATACTGGACCAGGAGTTGCTTCAGGCATGAGACCGTTGCGCCTTGTGAGTACCTCCCCAAAGGAGAGGGGGGGTGTGTCGCCCGATGTGGCGCGAGCGAACAAAGAACTACTGGCCATTAGATTCCCAATGCATGTCCTTATCCGTTTTCGTCAATGTCTTGTATTACTCGCCGTTGATGTCGAAACAGAGCCATCATTGCGTCTCTGAGACTCCATATGAAGGTAAACCTTGCCTCCTTCACCTTACCCGTTCTTGACGCAGGCACAGAGCTTCGTCCACTTCTTTGCAGTGAATACCATGATGCCATATGGGCTAAGAGGCCTGATGCTGACATCCGCTTGCACTGCTGCGGCAACATCGTTTCAGAAACCAAGAGAAATTTCACCAGTGGCATTCATAGCAAAAACTCCGGAGTGCTCAGTAGGTAACAGTCTTGTTCATTTCCCGATGGCCATTCATCCAATTTCTGGTGCCTGACTGTCTTCAAAGTCCATTGCTGATACCTCTTTTCCGTCGGTAGTTGCCATGTTTTCTTGAGGTAGTGCAAACAGCAGGATGTGGCAATAACCCACTCGCAGACTGTGTCTGTATGAACATATCACTTCAGGCCCGTGCCTCGGAATGCGTGCAGACGTCTTGCAACTTCGAAGAGCAAATCCGTAAGCCCTGGAAACACACCGACTGCTCTTTCATTTCCTGAGCAAGGCAATTAGCTGACTTATTTTGGGCTCGTCGCATTAGTTACCGCCCAAGTATCGCGAAAGCTTTGTAACGGCTACCCCATCCCAGAACAACGTCGCAACTTCTGCCGAGTGTTCTTCGTCGCTCTGCCTACGTTAACAGCTATTGTTGTCATCCTCAGATGTGTATCAAGGCGGATGGCCAAGATCAATCTTTGGTGGGATGACTGGACGGCATTAATTGCTTTGGTGAGTCATCTGGACAGATGCTATGCACTAGGCAGCGCGGGTTCAATACTGACAAAATTAGTTCTTTCTGCTTCTTACAGTTGGTTGCGGTGTTACACGTAAGACATCTCTTACCGTGTTGACTTTTTCATAAGCTCCATTACTAAACCAACCATTTCTAAGATGTTCAGCTTGGCTTCGGCCTTCACTACTGGCACGTGGAACCGGGGAACGCAAAACCCATTCTTCAGGTTCGCAGTCCCTCAGTCCTGCTTAAATCTGCCACTAACATGTCTAAAAGTTGTTCTACGCAACACAGATGTTCTATGTCATGAAACAGTGAAGCATTTTCTTTCTATTATTATAGTAAAGGCGATGTACTGACTGTGTCTTAGAGTCGCAGCGAAAGTTTCAATCTGCGCCTTATATCTGCGCATTTTCGTCGACCGATGGTCCCGTATTGCTGTCATTGGCCTCCTCGTGTCTCTTGTTTTTCAACATTTCTTGTTCTTATTTCTGGTATTGTTTCAATGCACACCTATCCAGCTGATATGGGATCGGTCAATCGCTGGCTCCTGTCTCAATATCACGGCGATTGGCTATGCAGGGGCGGCGCTCACCATCACTTATGACTTCATCCTTATAGTTCTGCCATTGCCGCAACTTATGAAGCTGAGTACAAGGAAGCGCAAGAAAGTGGTTCCGATACTTTTGTTGACTTTGGGCTCGGTGTAAGTAAACAATCATGAATGCTGCCGAAATTTGAGATTCCTAGATAGCTGACCGCGCAAAGTGCGTGCGTTGCGAGCATGATCCGTCTTAAGTACTTGGTCTCATTTGCCAATACTTTTGATGCGACCTGTAAGCATCTTCAACCTACTAATTGCTCTGCTTAATACTGATACCTTTAGGGGATAACGTCGAAATCGTCATCTGGTCTACCCTCGAGATTAACCTGGCGATGATTTGTGGCAGCCTTCCCGCGTTACGGCCACTGTTTAACAAAGCGAGAGATGTAATGGGATCGCGCAGGCATCGAGCACGCAACGGATCCACTGCGGAATCAGGGGATCAGACGATGTTGGCCGGTTTCAGCCAGTCCTGCGGGTCTAGTCACCTCTATCCCTTACCGGAGTCTCCGCACAAACCGGAAGAGCTAGCGTGCATCGTAATCAAATCCAGCACTGATGGCTAGACGCAGTTATCTTTCTTAGTACGTTCATTGCACCAACCGTACTACTACTGCTTATAATACATATACTATATTGCGTACGTAACTTCCACATCGAGGATACTGTATTTCGAACTGAATTTGGCTCTTTGTCCTATTGGGAATGTGGTCCATCAGTTACGTTTGAATCAACGATGTCAATGAACCGGAAGTCAGAGTATCCCATCATATTACCTATACGGATTTACAAAATTTCCAAATAGTTATCTTCCAGAGAGCTTTACTGGACTTACCTGAATCATGCTGGATCGTAACCAGCCGCCAGAAGGGAGCTGGAAATCCACTGCATGACGGGTTTGCGGCTGTTGGGTTGCGTGGGGCTGTACTACATCTGGACAGTATCTTGGTCTTCTAGACAACGGAAAGCCATGTATCTTGGGTTTTGAGATTTTTTCCAGTTTTGAATTGCCTCACTTCATGTTGATTTTACCCCGGAGCTTCCCAGCGAGCCAGACATGTCGTGAATTGTATGTCAAACGGCAAGAGGTTTCAACGCACACTCTTCTGCCTGTTCGCTTTTCTCACGTTGACAGCATCCCACTTATAGCAACCTCAAGTCTTCTAATTGAGGACTCGCGCTGATGTGCTGTGATTCATGTACGTCGGAATACCGCGGATGATAATCCGTATCATGCAGTTTGACAGGAGACTAACCGCCAGTCAACAACAACATTAAATAGTGATGGTTGAATTGAACTTTTCTAGTGCTGAGATAATCACAAACAGTCTTCAGGTTTTGAATTACTATGTGACAGCAGCTGATAGCTACTTGTTTCTGTAACATTCCAGACCGCAGCGCTTCTTAATTGGGAGCAATAATGACCTACGTGATTGCTGTGGTATCCGCGGAGCACCGAAAGGCGGGGGTTACGCCCATGTACCTGGTCTCAGCAACTGATTTGACACGCTTGGTGAGTCTGGTTTCAGAAATCATTAAGCTTGAATTGTTATAGAGCTGAGCTTGAAAAAGACATGACATTGGATCAACTTTTTCGCCTGGCCCCTATTTCTCGAGGTACGCGATGCAACTTTGCAAAACAACCCCTACTAGTGTTCAGACGATGTATAAAACCCGAGACCTAGCAGATCACATTCCACTACGAAGTTAATATAATCGTCACAGCGGCTGTAAAAATGGGTTAGAGCCTCGATCATGTCGGTCCTGGTTCTACTTCACCGCGCATTCAGCTTGATTCATACTACGTTCAGTAATCTCCTTCATATTTAACCAACCAAACTGCTGTGCAATAATTTCCATTCGACTAAAACAAAATGAAGTTCTTTGGTATTATCTTGAATTTGTTTGCCACCGGCATTCTCGCCCAGCAAAGGTAAGTGTGGACTTGCCTTTCAAGCCCCAGGAGTGCCCCAGTTGGTTTTTACGCACCTTTCCGGCTAGATGGTCTCTGGACGTGAACCATTCTTCTGGCTGACTTATACGAATACTAAAAATGCGCCTGATAACTGTGGCTTTCCTCATGGTCCCACCTGCCAGTCTCTTGGCAAAGGAGCCGATGGCCTTGAGCAGTTTGCGGACGACGGTTGTTGCCTTCTTCCTGCTCGTTGTTGGGACGGGGGAGGAGGCGAGGCATGCGAGCGCGTGAGCATTGCCGCTGCCAGTGGTAACACAAATAACGACGGCAACAACCAGGGCGAGAGGTAAACAAGAACAAAGCGAACAACAGAGGAAGCATCTAGACAACAGAACATCATGGACTTGGCAGTGAACCATTTAACGACAAAGTTCAGTACCAGGGTGTTGACTCTCGCTTGGCGAAGTTGAGTGGTATTGTGAATAGCAGATAAATAGTTGAATAATTATTCGACAGAATATCAGTGACTTCACATTTCGTGTTTTGTTGTTTGCGACTGTTGCGACAATATGGAATCTCTGGTCGGATGACTCACCATTGACTCTGATATTCTTTCTACTATGCCAATTGCTATATATTGCCCAAGTACAATTGTATTTCAATTGGGCCTTTATCAACGGTGTTGAATGCAAAAGCACCTCGAATCTACTTGTTGCCTTCCAAGTACAACTCATACTCGTAGCTAGAGAACAGAAATGGAGCAACACCCTTCAAGTCGTTCTCAAAGAGAGGCATGCTGGCGTAGTACTGTAGAATGAGTCAGTGATAGGTCGAGTAGAAGCGTGGATTCGACTTCAATTACCTCGAAAGTGCCGTTGGAGCTCAAGCTGCCAGTCTGCACAGTCCAACCCCAGACGAGAGCATTGTCGCTCTTGCGTGTGTCGACGAAATTGTCCGTCATCAGCTTGTATCCGCTAAGTGCAGTCTTGAGGTACTGGTCTCCTTTGATATAGCCAAGGCGAACACTCTTCAGCAAACTGTACACGAACATGGCGGAGCCAGAACTCTCAATGTAGTTACCCCACTGTCCCTCGGTGCCAGGGGTCATGACCAGCCACCAGCCCTTAGTTTTCTTGTCCTGAGCAGCGACGACGGCATCGGAGACGGACTGGAGATACTTGATCAAACGCTCGCGGCCGGGATGATTCTCTGGGAAGAGCTCGATAACGTCGACAAGAGCCATAATGTACCAGCCCACAGCACGGCCCCACACGTGCGGAGAGGCGCCTGTCTCCGGGTCGGCCCAGATTGCCGTCTTGCTCCAGTCGAAGCCGTGCAGCGGAAGGCCGTTGGTGCGGTTGCGGTCGACGGTAGTTCCGGCGTCGATGAGGTCGAACTGGAGTGCGATATCGTCCCAAGCAGTGGAGTTGTCGGGCTCAAACTCGCGGGTCCAGCGGGCGTAGAAGACGTCGAGCATGTAGATGCCATCCAGCCACATTTGGTCAATGTAAACGGGGTAGCGGTGGTAAAAGCCACCGTCGGGCGTACGACCTGTGCGGTCAATCTGGTTGCGCAGGGTTTGAGCGGCCGTCTTGTAGATCTCGTCACCTGTTGCGTTGTAGATGTCCAAAAAGGTGTGGCCAAAGCGAATGTCATCGATTGAGTTACTGTTATTGTACAGCAGAATCTCTCCATTCTGCGCCGGGTAAAGGAGTATCTCCGTGGCGTGTTTGACGTAATCGTAGTATTTCTGGTCGCCGGTCCGCTCAAATGCCCGCAAGACACCCGAGTAAAATGCTGAGATGGTGTAAGCGTGGGTAGGCTCGACACCGTGCTTGATCTGGGAGTCTGCCATCCATGTCAGATAGCGAGGCTCGCCATCCAGCTTTCCGGGCTTAATCTTCTCCTGGGGGGCGATTGAGAACCATCCGTTTGGCAGCGAGATGGCTGCCGATGATAGGGAGGCGCTGGCCAGCGCGGTGGCGGCCATGGAGGTGATCTTCATGATGAGATCAAGTTGCCGGCTAGATGCTGTTCCCGAAGACTCTGCAGAACAATAGCAAGCTGGTGAACATGAGGTCGCATTGACGACTACATGATGACCTATTTATAAGCTGCTGCCTGATGATAGAAAGGTCTCTGGATTTTCCCAAATGTCATGAAGTCGCCATTCTCCAGGTTCCCCTCACCAGTTCAAGGTCGGCCGAGAGAATACCAGCCCAGTGACTTGCTCAGTTCCATCAGCTTATCCGATGCATATCTATGAGCAACAGCCTCAGCGGAGTACCATTCTTGGCATCTCAACGAGCCATAACTATTAGCCATGATGTCAAAAGCCGAGGACCGAGTGGCTGGTGGCCGTTGGGATCTAGACGGAAAAGCAGGTACTACCTAAAATTGCGGGGTCTGTCCTTGTGTCCAACTCTGGGTTTGCGGGGGAGAGGTTGGGTGGACGAGTCCGTCGCGGGGAACCGCAAGAGCTTGCCCTTATGCTTATTTTCTACCGGGGAGCCCCATGCCAAATGGAGTTGAGCTTTCATTGAACGACATTTGTCGTCATCTTGGCTAATATCTCGCCGTCAGTCACTGGCATGAAACAACGAATGCTGCTCAGGACTTCATCGAGATCAAATCGAGCTTGACACCCTCCCACACCCCGGCGCCTTACGCGGACGTCTGTACGACATCACAGGTGCCGGGCCGGGACGGCAGTCATCGACCGGGGCGGGATGGCTGCCTGCCGTAGGTTATGATCGTGTCTCAATACTACTGGATTCGAAAGACCGTGTCTGCACTGGTAATTCCTCCGGTTATTTCGGCGATCGACCATTTACCAGTTTATACACCAATCAGAGATGCCGGGTCCGAATCGGGGTTTTTAGAAAAGAAGTAATAGATAGAAGTATGAGTCGGTCACATCCTCGGTTGGTATTAAGCCGGCCGGCCTGCATATAATCCTTGGCACTGCCTCCGACCTGACTGGACGGTGACAGCTGTTCAGATGTATGCAGGATGCAGCATCGCCATTTCGCCAAGGCAATTTCCTAGGACTTCTTCCATCGCCGGGCCGCATCTTCACTTTTCCGCTCAGATTGACGGCCCGCTGCCAAGGGTCTTTTCCGCGCCGCTCGAGAGGAGCGGCCATCCCAGGGTCATATCCAAACGAACTAGATCTCTCCTCGTTCTCCTTGCAACGTTAAAAATGAGAGACTGGGTGCCGGTCCGACTTCTGTCCGCATTTCCTGTCCTGAGGCTTGTACGGAGTCGGCGACTGCACCTCGTATGTAGTTAGGTTGCCAAAGTCCCATGACTTCAAATGCATGCGCGAAACAAATTTTAAACAGATCAGAGTGGCTTTGTTCATTTCTCTCAGAGATTGGTCGTGTCTAATTCCTTAGGTTTGAATGATGAGTCTCAGCTTGTCGAAGCAAGCTTCAGAATCCCAGTTAGAAAAACCCTTCTTTATCACGGATGTTTGTGAACTATTGTTTGGTTAATTATGAGCAGCTAATCTTTGCAACCCCAGCTGTTATCATGCCACGAATTTTTCAGTGGCAATTTCCTGCTTTCCACTCGATGCTTCTCAATCTACACAGGCATGTGTGCTGAGAGAGTGCTCTCGACAAGACTAGGACCGAAAGTACCATACCAGCATCCTGGCCTTGTACACCTTGGTGGGAATGGCCGCACTTTTTGCCTGCATAAGCGTATTGATGCTTTTTTGTAATAACTGCGAGTTTGTTGATCACTTTGTTCCTGGGATGCATTGAGATCTCAGCGAATACGACTACCAAGCAGCTTGTGCAAAGCGACTACTTGAGCCTTGGAATGAATCACGGACAAGCAAGTGTGTCATCTTGCAATTCTTGAAACTAACTTACCCAACTCGATAAGTCATTCGCTTACGATGAAAACGGCTCAATACTTGATCTTTCAAAGTAAGTTGAGCTGTCCACAATCGCCGGTTTGTCACGAAGCATGCTATTCTAATCATCCGAGGTGATTTTGACACCCTCTCATAGCGCTCCGTGCTCAGTATCGTTGTCCAAGCCGAAGGGTGTTCGCCAAGCGCTTTCATCGAGTTGTGGCATATAGAGCGATAAACACATATTGCAACTTCAATCGATCTAAAGATCAATCAGTCGAAAACTTTACTCCTCTTGAGCAAACCCAAAGGAATCGAATTGAAGCTGTTTCCTCCGTATGCAAGTCTCATTGCATGTATGAGTTCAATCAAGAGGATATGTCGCAATTTCTCATAAATTTGATTACGTACAAGTCCCAAAATGTTCACAACGGCCGCACTGATTGGATCTCTTGATATCATCTCGTCTCAATCATGGGGGAGCGGGTCCCCCCGTCCGATCAAATCCCGGCCGAGCGGGCCCGCGTCCGATTCCATCACCCAGATTGCCGAGAGCGGGCAGAAAGTTGCCGCACGGCATTGGAGCCCCGTCCGCAAACTTTCAAAAAGCCTCACTGACCAGCTCCACCCGCCCAATCACGTCAACTCGTCCTCGACTCCAGCCGTACATCTCTTGTTACTTTCCCTGTTCCCAGAACACTTCGCCCAACATCTACATCCAGCTCGGCCCAGACATCAACAAGGTTCTCCAAAATGGCGGAACAACGAACTATTCACCAGCCGATTCACCCCTCCGTCCGTGCCCAGCTGGACCCGGAGTACGTCGCCCTGCATGACTCCATCATCCAGTACATGGAGCCCTCCGAGGCCCAGCCCTGGGACCCCGCCTCGCGCCACAGACCCAACCCCCTGGCGCACACGACGCAGAAGCTGTCGCCCGTGGGCAAGACGTGGGACGAGGAGCTCGGCGGTGGCGTCCAGGCGCGCGTGTTCGTGCCCGAGGGTGAGGCGCCCCCTGGAGGGTGGCCCTGCTTGGTCTGGCTTCACGGCGGCGGCTGGGTGAACGGTGGTTTGGACAGCGAGAATGGCTTCTTGACACACGTTTGCAAATGTCAGCCCCCTCCTCCTATGATCTTGAAAAGTTTGTCCACATGGAGTGTTATTGATAGGCTGGATAGATGTCCGATGCGTGGTCGTCACCGTCAACTACCGCCACGCCCCTGAGCACGTCTATCCCGCCGCCGTAGACGACTGCCTCGCCGGTCTGAAGTGGATCCTCGAGCCGACGCAAGCGTCCCGGCTCAACATCAACACAAGCCTCGTCACAATCGGAGGCGTCTCAGCGTTGGTCGACCCCTTCCCCCTTTTTCATCCGCACAAATCCCCCTCCCTAAGCATCTAACACCCCCTATCAGAGGCGGCAACCTCGCCGCGATCCTCACCATGAAAGCCTCCCTCGCGAACATCACGCCCGCGCCCATTTCCCAGCTCCTCATCTGCCCCGTCATCGACAGCACCGCCACCGCGGAGACGGGCTGGGCCACTTCCAAGCACGTCCCCTGGCTGACGCCCGGCCGTATGGCGTGGTACCAGAACCTCTACTTCTCGCGCCCCGAGGACAAGACGCAGTGGGAGGCCTCGCCGTGCTTCGCTCCTAAAGAGGTCCTCGCCCGCAGCCCCAGGACGTGGCTTGCCGTCGCCGAGGTGGACCTGCTCACGCCCGAGGGCCTCAAGTATGCAGAGCAGTTGAAGGATGCTGGGGTGGAAGTTCAGACGGAGGTATACAAGGGCGCGACGCACTCTGTTCTTGTGCTTGCCGGGTTAGTATCCTCCAACTCCAGTGCTTTCGACTACAGTTTCTCTGACCTTCAGATTAGTGTCCATCAGATCAGCAGGAAGATAGTTCACGACGCCTGCGCCGTGCTTGCAGAGGGTTTTGGTTCAACATATGATCCTGCCTCTGCCCCTATCTTGTCCCAGCAGGAGTAGCCTGCTGACCGTAAGAAGACAAACCAGCCGGAATCGGTCCATGTGCACAGATCGACCCATGTTTTGAAGACTTGTTTTGCAAAGGGCTGTTTTGTCATAAGAATAGAATGAAACATTTTATCTATAAGCTATATACCATCAAGGCTCCAAGCAACTCCTGTTGTTGTATGTCAAAGTAAACGATGCAAGTTGGGTGCCAGAAATACTAGCTGGTCCACCAGTCTATTATGCTGTAAAAGAGAAAAGGAATCTAGACCGACTGCGAGTTCGATGCGACACCCTACGAAGCAGTAAGGAGTTTCTGCAACTCAGCAAACCGAACCGGCTTCGGCAAGAAAACGTCAAAGCCGGATGTCTCAGCATCCCGTCGGGCGTCCGAGCTTGCCAGGCCGGTCAAAGCAACAACGGTCGTAGCCTGCAGCTTGTGCTCCCGCTCGTACTCTCGTATCCTCTTGGTCGCCTCGAACCCATTCATGACCGGCATGCTGATGTCCATGAGTACAAAGTCAAACTGTCGGCGCTTGCTGGCGGACGCCGGGGTCGACGCGCTCGAGGCCGCGATGAATTTATCCAGCGCTTCCTGTCCGTTCTCGGCTTGCTCATACGAGAAGCCACATTTCTTCATAAACATGACGAGGAGCTTGAGGTTGATTTGGTTGTCGTCGACGAGCAGGACGTGAAGTGTGACGTGTTTCTGCTCAACGATGACGGGCTGGCCGCCGTTCAACGCTGGTGACAGCGCGAGGGCGCCCAGTGGCTTGATCAGGGGTTGTGCTGACATTGCCGGTTCCAGTTCGGACGGCTTGGCGTCTTGGTGGAGAGGAGTTCCGACCCTTTCAACCTCCTGGGCCTGCTCTTGGTGGGCGGATAGAGATCCGGCTGGGATCCTCGACTTCCCGTCGTTCTTCTCCAAGTCTTCCGCGCGTTTGAGGCAGTGGCTGAAGACCTTTGCCAATTTCCGTGGGCCACAACTAAATGTAGTGTCAGCCAAGATGGGGAACTTGTAGCCCGGTGGACGGTAAAACACTCACGGTTGGGGGATTACTTCCACAATCTCGGAAAATTCCATCAAAAGCTTGCTGTGCTCCTGCAGAATCCGCACCGCTTCTTCAGCATTCGGGCTGACGATAATGAAGGGGGACTTCCTGCGTTTCAAAGCCCTCTGCGAGTTCTCCCTGAACCGCTTCTCAAGGATCTCTACAGAGGGCGGCTCGGAGTACAAAAATAGATCGGCGTCTTTGGGGTTGGCCGGATCTTCTTTATCAACCTTCATGTGGAACCACTCGGTGCAAGTCTCAGTGAGAATTCCGTTCAACTTGGTCGCCGGTGCGCTTAGCGGCCGCGACCCCGAACCATTTCCGCCCTCTAAATGCACGACTTGCAACCCCTTGGTCTGTTCGATAGCGTTGCGCATCGCCTCGTCGGGTTCACGAGATGCTTCGTCAGAAACGGGCGAGAAGCTGAGATGTACATCAATCTCAGTGCCTCTGTTCTGTTCCGACCTGACCTCGAGGCTTCCTCTGAGGGAGTCGACAATCTGCTTGACAATACTCAGACCCAGTCCAGTACCAGGTTGGAAAGAATCCTCCTGGCTGAAGGGGAGGAACAGCCGGGTCTGCTGGAATTCTTCCGACATGCCCTTGCCAGAATCTGCTACACGTATCAAAGCGTCAATCTTTGACCCTTCGGTCCTGGCTTGGCCGCTAAGGGAGACGAGGACGAATCCCGACGTGGTGTACTTCAGAGCGTTGCCAAAGAGGTTCATTATGATTCTTCGGAGGGCGCCGGGTTGCGTTTTCACCAACCAAGGCGTCTTTGGGTCGATGTCAATCAAGACTGAAACCAAGCCCTTGGACCCTTGGGGCTGGAAGTTGCCCACCGATCTGACATTATTCGACTCGTTGACACTGATGCTGGGCTTGGGTCCGTCAAATGGACCAGCTCCTACCAGCTTCTTGAAAGCATGACCAGCGGCGATGGCGTCAACGACCTCTTCGACGAGCACAGCTAGGTCCACGACGGACGTCATGCTCAAGCTTTCCAGGGAATCCGAAGTAATAGCAACAGGTCTGTTCAGGTTTTGTCTTGCACGCCTCCTCATCTGCGCCCGGCCAAGCCTGTTGATCTTGCTGTAGTCGAGCACATGGTTGAGGGTGTCGAGCAGGGTCTTGCCGCAGGTGGCGATGGAGCTAATGAGGCCAGACTGGTAGGCATCGGTGCTGGTGTCTTGAAGAAGTTCGGCGGAGCCCAGGATTCCGTGCAACGGGCTGCGCAACTCGTGGCTCATACTGGCGATGAAGGTGGTTTTTGCGGCCTCGTTTTTCTGGCTGTTGATGCGTCCGACCTGGGTCATGATGCTGTTGCTGAATGCCCGGAGATAGGATAGGTCTTGGTCGAGGTTCATCATACGGCCCGTAACCGATGTCCACAGGAAGCAGCCGCCAGCAAGCTTGTCTTCGCCGTAGTCGAACAAGGGCACGAAAACGACAGTCTTTGCTCCTGGGATCTTTTTGAGAAGCTCTTCATGAACCATTTTGACCTTTCGCCGTCTACCCTCCGATCTATCGACGGGAACAGCCCCATCGACGCCCATGGTTTCCCTGTCGCTGGCGCTGTCATCGCCCGAAGAGACACCGACGCCGGCTTCGGTGAAAGAAAACGTCTTCCCCATGGGGAACATGGAGAAGTACTTCTCGAGAATACCGAGTGACAGGGCTGGGCCCTGTTCGATGCGAGCGCGCGCCCGTTCATCGGCCACGGAGAAGCTCAGTATCTTGCAGGGCCTCGAAGACGGCGACGTGTCCGAGTCGGAACTGTCGAGACCGGAGCCCGAAGTAGCAGGCCGAGCAACATCCTCCTCATCCGAAGACTGGTTTCTTCCAGACTTGGCCCGGCTCGCTGGCGTGGAGTTCGTTGTTGCTGTGGCGCCAAAGAGAGCCACACCATCAGCGAGAGTGGAGTGACGAAGGACATCGGCTGCCCGGTTGAAGAGTTTCGACAAGCCGTCGGCCCTAGGCTGGGGTCCCTTCTTCGGCGACGGCGGTGTCTCGGAGACGGGAGGCGATGGCGGCCTCTCGGACATGGAAGGCGCCGGCTCGGCCAACTGGGCCGACTGACGGGATGCTGACGACTCTCTTGATCGGGCTTGAGCTCGAGCCTCGGTATTGCGAAAGTAAGAGTTTGAGCGTGGGATCGGACGCCTTGTCGAAACGAGTGCCATGTCTGGCGGGCGTATCGTCGAAGGGCTCCGCGGGATCTCGTCCTTGACCGCGGTGGGATCTTCGTTGAGAGCCGAGCACCCCTCGATGAAGGTCGCCAGGCCACGCACGATCCGCTCACCCTTGAAGCGATCGACCCGGTCCCGCGCCCATTCCAAGTGCTCCATGGCGGTCTGGGCGACGCCCTGCATGAAGCGAATCTCATCCGCAGTCAGTCCATCGTGAGGTTTCTCATCGGAGACGGCAAAGGAACCGATCTTGTGGCCGCTGCGTGAGATGATGGGCACGCCGGCGTAGAAACGCACGCCAGGCTCGGACAGCACGTACGGCCGGTTGCAGAAGCGTGAGTCGAGACGACAGTCGTTGACGATGAGGCCGGTGGCGGTATACGGCTTACCCCTGTGATCGAGGCCGGTGCAAGTGTTTACCAAGGAGTGTTCGCAAACAGCATCCGGACGCGATAAGATGGCGGCGCCGACTAGTGAAGATTATAGGTGTTAGCACATCAGCTCCAAACACACAAGCCATCTCCTCAGCCTCTCGGGACGAGGGCATGGAGGGGAGAAAGCCGAAGCCAAACGTGCCAAGTCGACATGATGGTGGTGCTCCAGAAGCAGCCGGGGCAGTGACATGTTGTGGGCAGAGGCTACGTACGCCACAAATCGGCATTGGGACTGGTGGACCGGTCCTCATCATTGTTCAAGCCGTCGCTCTGGTGGTCTTGCAGGTCATCAAGGTCTCCGAGCTGAATAATGCGGGTGGCCTCGGCGAGGATCGTCTGAGTGGTGGAATCAATCAGCGATACCATGGCACGCTTGACGTTTAGTCGCAGGACGGCCAGCTGGGCAAAGGCCGTCAGTGCCTTATCGGACGAGGCCTTGGGCTTGAAGCCCGTGCCGTGTAAGTCGGGGGCGGCGATGCTGTCAACATTGAGGGCAACATTGAGCGACGACCCCTGAGCAACCTGCCAGCTCTGGAGATATCGCTGCACCTCACGTTCACGCTGCGCTTCGGACATCGGATGAGATGAGAAGAATGCGCGCACACGACACTGCAGGGGGTGGCGCTAGAGCACGAGTAGATGAGTGAGTGACGTGTGTCGGGGGGCCTGTCTCCAGTGCTGTGGTGTTGAGGCAGCGACGGCGGCTCGTCACGTCTGCCCTCAACCTCGATTCTTTGACTTTCTTGCTTGTTCACCTGGGGGTTTTTTTGTTGTGTTTTTACCTTCCTCGGGATAGATAGGCGGCGAGAGGCCTGGCGGGGTGACAAGACTAGGAGGAAACAGTCGTGGGCCTAGCGTGGCGGCCTCGGTAAGCGCTGGGGGCAAGGGGACGTTTCCCATGAGCCTTACCCGTTCGGGTGCGGTTGTGGCAGGCGAGACGAAGAAAAATCAAACCTTGGCGAGCTTCTTGGTGATGGAATTACATCATACCTCCATCAACCGGGTCCACAGCCTCAGGGATTCCACGTTCTAGATTGGCCTATGAAACGCGGTCCAGCGCGGTTGACCAAGACGGCAACGGACTAAGCCAATGACTCGGAAGGATGTTATTTCCTATTCCCTCTCACGATCTCGATCCTCTGCGGGGAGCATCGAGCTGAGTGGTCCTGTAGCCAATTGACGCATTGGCGCTTTGCCGCAATTTCTGCAGAGAACATTCCTATCGATCGACAAAGCCTGACATTCCAGCACACGCACCTTGATCTTGAATTCTGAGCAGTCATTTATATGGCTTGGGGGCATGAATACTAGTGTTGGTTCCCCATGCGTACATCCCCAACTGCAACCGCGAAGTCCAAGTCTTGATTAGCCTACTACGGTATTCGACTGTAGTGTACATATACTACACATGGTAGAACCCGCCTGACTCGATCGTTAAAGTGGACCAGAGAGTTGCCTGTGCGCCATTGCCGCCGCTTGCGCCTGCCAATCTCAGCAAGTGCTCCTCGGCCGGGTAGCTCGATAGCGAGCTTCGCCGCTGAGACTCTTTTCAGTGACATCGCAGCCCTTACGCAACTCAATGTCTCCAACCCCAACGAGAAAAGAGACAAGAGACGCAAAAGGCAACCACAACGTGCTTAGTTTGGGCCCTAGCAAGCACAGAACCTTGTTGAGGTAGCCCAATGCAGCACCTTCTCCCGACCTCTTCCCAACTCTAATCCTTGGCGAATTCGTAGGTAATTGTGCGTCTCTCAAGTCGTCAGCAGTCCACGCTTCCCCTAGCCTATTTCGTGTAGTCCTTGAAGTTTGTGCAGACCAAGTTTCGTATGCTGCAGCGATTACTACAGGCTCAACAACCAACAACCAATTGCATTTTGTAATCATGAATTATGTGGAGAAGGTTCATACAGACAATGATACAGAACCGCAACTCATCTGTTCTCTCAATCTCCAGAGCCACACACAATCTGGTCATCGCGAGGTGTGAAGGTCTTACCCACATCTCGACTAGGGTATGAGAACACATCAGTACATGGTTATGCAGAGGTGGTGTAAGCCCATGTTTAACAGAACAAGACGTGGGGGTTGTTTTCACGTGGTGAAACATAAAACTATTACGAATATCCATAATGATCACGTACTCGGCAGGTACTATCTAGTCGCTGGCCCGTTTGTGTTCTTTGATGAGTTCGAGGCGTTCGCGACCTCATACCCAGACCGCACTGAGCCAAGATAGAACCTGAAGTCGGTCTCTGCTGAACCGAAACCAAGCCGGAAAGCACACTGTTCTCTCAGAACGTTGATGGCATTATGCGCAAAACAGTTTCAACTACTTCAACCCCGCGGAATGAGATGCAGGGATTATCGTGCGTTGACCAGTGTATGATACATTCGATAACCCGAGGTTCATCAACACTACTAGATCAGGGATTCTAGACTTTATTCATCAAGCTGAGCCAAGCAGTGTCGTGTGAAGAGAGAAGCAGCTGCTATGTGCCGGCAAACATTCAAACATGTCAACTCCTACGGTCACAAAAAGTAATGAGGTACGCAAAGCCCTTTTTAGTCTCTACGGCGAATGAGGCCCCCAAGTTTTGTGTATATGCCTCGTTTTGTTAGACAAGGTGTTCATTTTTATTGAAATTGAGTGGATGAAATAAGATGCCGGGTCTCATGCCAAAAAAGGAATTTCTCGTCAAAGACGACGAATGAAGAGAGACATTACTAGAGTTAGCCTCGCGCCTCTCCCGCTTGGCGTCGCAACGGCAAGTGAGTCACGTCCTGACTAACAACCCGGGCTTTTACACAACATCAACGCCCTCAACCGTCAAAAACCCCCACAACCTCTGTCCTCAGATTGCAACACCTCAGCCCAGGGACCGGCCACCAACATGGCCTCATCACCCTACACCGTCCTCGTCACCGGATCGTCCGGCCACCTCGGCGCCGCCCTCATGCTCACGCTCCCCTCGCAGGGCCACACCCCCTTGGGCATCGACATCCTCCCCTCGGAGACGACTACCGTCGTCGGCTCCGTCACGGACCGCCCCCTCGTCGCCGCCGTTCTCGCCCAGAACCCTTCCATCTCACACATTGTCCACGCAGCGACCCTGCACAAGCCCCACGTCGAGTCGCACCCAAAGTCCGCCTTTGTCGACACAAACATCACCGGCACCCTCGTCCTCCTCGAGGAGGCCGCCGCCCTGGGCCCCGCGCGCATCGCGTCCTTCGTCTTCGTCTCGACGACCTCGGCGTTTGGCGGCGCCCTGTCCCCGGCCCCGGGACGGCCCGCCGCCTGGATCGACGAGTCCGTCGTCCCCGTCCCCAAGAATATCTACGGCGCGACAAAGTGCGCGGCCGAGGACCTCTGCGCCCTCGCCCACCGCCAGTCCTCCCTCCCCGTGCTCGTCCTCCGCACGTCTCGCTTCTTCCCCGAGGCCGACGACGACGAGGACCGCCGCGCCGCCATGGCCGACGCGAACCTCAAGGTCTGCGAGCTGGCCTACCGCCGGGCGGACATCGCCGACGTCGTCTCCGCCGTGGTGTGCGCCATGGCGAGGGCGGCCGACATCGGCTTCGCGAAGTACATCGTCTCCGCCCCGCCGCCGTTCTCGCGGGCCGACGACGCGGACGGAGGGGCCCCGGCGCTTCTGCGGCGCTTGGATGCAGACGCGGGCGCCGTTTTTCGGGAGGCCGTGCCCGGGTGCGCGGCTGTGTTTGAGAAGCTTGGATGGAGGTTCCTGGACCGGCTGGACCGGGTGTACGACTCTTCGAGGGCGGTCAGGGAGCTCGGGTGGAGGCCCGAGTGGACTTTTGAAAAGGCCATTGAGAAGCTCGCCCGAGGGGAGGACTGGAGGAGTGAGCTGACGCACAGGGTCGGGAAGAGGGGCTATCATGCCGTTCCAACGGGTGTGTATACCACGCGGTGAGAGGTCGCGGACGATGGCGGCTATGGCAGCATGTGCAGATGAATTACATATCTGGTATTCAAAGTCTATATGTGCTTCATAAAGATATCCGACGAGAAAAAGGGGCAAATGGGTACTCGAACAAAACCGCCAATATGTGCAATGCAGCGTATCTCTCGTATGCAAGGCTATGCAAGCGCACCATTCTCCTTTTGACTCACGACCCCAAGCTCACGCCCCAGATCCAGTATTTGCGACGCAACCGCCTCCACGTCCCACGTCTTGATCGGGACGCGGTGTGCGCCATCCCATTCAACCAGCCGCGTTGTCCCCGGCTGGCAGTACTGCTTCAACAACCTCCGGTGATGGTCCAGCCCGGCGTCCTTAAGGCCGTGCACATGGATCGTCGGGAGCTTGAGGATGTGATCGTTGGACGAGCCGTTTGGCCAGTCATGGAACTCGACGCTTGCCTCGGCGGCATCACCGACACCCTGCGCCGCCTCTAACCGGTCGTCCAGCACGATCAATGGCGCCCGCCCGGCCAGCAACACTCCGAACTTCCAGTCCGCCGAGCCGCCCGCCGACGCGATGCGCTTGCCGTACTTCTGCTTGAGCATCTGCTGCGTGTACATCAAGCTCGCACTGATCTTGGCTCCCTGGCTGAAGCCCAACAGACCGACCCACTCGCCCGTGGCGCCGAGGGCATCGTCGTCGTCCATGGCCATGCGCAGCTGGAAGTGGATCTCGGCCGAGGCTGTCTCGGCGTCGACGGCCTGGTGCTCGGGGAGCCATCGCAGCCAGCGACGGAACGGCCCATAGTCGCCGTAGACGGAGACGATGTCGTGGTGCGGGGCGCAGATGAAGGGCCCGTCGACAAAGACGAGACGGAAGTCGTTCTTGAGGCGGGAGATGAGAGCCCGGCACTGAACCTTGAAGACGGATGCGTTGACGCCGCCGCCGTGGAGGCAGAGGATGCGCGGGAGGTGGAGGGTGGGGTCAGGACCCGGCGGAAGCGACGTTGCGCTTGGCATTGTTTTCCCGGGGGGTGGGTTGAGGTCGAGGTATGGTCTCTCTCGGGTATCGTGTAATAGCGAGAAGGGCGAGGTGTGTCGATGAAGAGTTTGATGCAAGGGGAAGACAGATTTTTTCGGGACCGAAGAGTTGAAGATCGGGTACTTGGAGAGGAGAAGGAGAGAATACAAAGAGCGAGGAAGACGCGAGTGAGAGAGGAGGATGCAGGACCGGTCACCTCTTTACTCTAATCGAAAAGGAAGGGAGAGCCATCCGTCAGCAAGCTCTACCTTGCGCTCGCCCGTTCACGGCTCTCTCTTGGTGTCTTCGACGCCCACCTTTGCTTTGCGCAGGGGCAGCAAACAGAGCGCCAATGTGGGGCGATGGATTTGGCCTTTGTCCGTCGCTTCACCGGCCGGAGCTCCGAAAAGGATCTGGCACTGGCGCCGGTCTCTTGTCACTTTCGGTCTACTGCTTTGCTGACCTCCCAGAGACCTCCTAGAGAAAGCAGTAAGACGAGGGATTTGGCTCGGCGATCAGCGTAAGGGCTTGGCCGAATCCGTCAATAGTCAAGATGCCTCGGCGGGCGGTGGCAGCGGAGGGGCAAGGCCGCCCTTAGAAAAAGGCAATTGCGTCGGATAGATCGTGAGGCCCGTCGTCCAACGATTCCGTCTCCCAGCTGAAACGTTTCCGCGTTGGTGCACCCAGTTTCGAATAACTTTATGAGAGACAACTTTGCGAAAGAGGCAGACGAACTGCCGGATGTTGCCCTTTAGAGGGAAAAACGTGATACTGCTGAACCCGGTGGGACGGTCGAGCGATTGCAACGCCGAACATCAGATACTCAAAGAAGCCTGAGGAGAAATGAGATGAAGCACACGGAAAGCTTGTTTAACACAAATGACTCGGAGTGGAAGCGGAATGCGCTTCGTGTGCAGAGGACGGGTAAGGCGCAATCCAAGATGACCGGGAGGCAAGGCGGTTCGCAACAAGGTAGTGTACAACTCGGCGGGCCCTTCGTCTTCCTCGCTGCCCGCTGCATCAGTTCGCCGGACACTTGTTGGGAGACGTCCGAGGGGCTTGCCCAACACCCTTGGCAACGTCCGGTCCGAGACCCACGCTTATCAACGACCTGTCAGTTTTTCGAGTCTCAGCAGTGACTCGGTGAAAACAGAGCGTGAAGAATAATTAATAAACCCGAACGTCTCGCCATCTCATATGCTTCGCATTCGACGCAGCTTTGATTATCGGATCGGTCGCTGCTGCTGCACCAGCAAGCTGAAAGTCGAAGCCGGGAATCCCGTTCGGCGTTCAATCCCCGACCGACTTGTTTGCTTGATTCCCGAGTCCCGAAATGGTTGCTCATCTTTGCCGCTAGGGATGCGAAGTCCGTTCAGCCTTGGTCCGAATTACCACCGTGGTTTGCTATTTAGTCACTTGGCTTCCCCGTCATAGGCTTGCTTATCGTTATCGGACCGTCATGTTCCAGGGTCCATTGAGCGCCGGTCATCCGTCTGTCTCTGGCTGCGCTGGCTCTCCGTCGCTTGACCTAACTGGGACGACGAGAAACGCGTCAGCAGCACGGGAAGTAAGTTTGGCAGACTGATTCAAGACCCCCAAGCTGTCAGCCCAAATCCGAATTGAAAACAAGAGGCGACAGCACAACAATCCGCAAAGTATCCGCACGGAATAAGGTTGGTTGAGTGGTTCTGAGGGGGGAAAGACGTGATGTGGAGATGGATGGGTATGATGGAAGGTAATGGACGACCTGAGTGTTGGGGAGGGAGGGACGGGGAGGGAAGGCTTCAGTGAGCAGGGATGACACACTGACTCGTTCGTGTCTCTGTTCGTTCTTCTGCGCTAGCAGCGACTCAGCCACACACTCGTATCGCACTCGCCCCATGTGCCCCAGATTCCACCCGAGCATCAGCCACACCATGACGTTGCGGACCTAGTGCCCCTCGCCCGAGGCCGTTTCCCCTCTTTCCCTGCTTGCTTGGTGTACCTACCTAGCTCCTATGAGCTGGCAGAGCAGCGGGGTACTGGTGGTGGTGCTCGTGCTGCTGTCCACGTCGCGATGACACGACTTTGCACCCGAGAGGCCTCACTGCAAATATCAGGATTTTCCGTCTTGTACATACTTTTCCAACCGAGCCACAGTAGATTACAATCCATCTGAGCCTCGACAAGCTAGGTACAAGATCCACGTTGACGACACTTCTGCGCCACACGAGCAATTTGCACAACTCACCAAACCCATCGGTCTCGCCGTGACGAAAGCTCCACATCAGCTCCTTACGCCTACAGACCTACATAAGCAGTTACGCCCACAGCCCATTGTCCCAAGACCGGTCGAATCCACCATAGATCTCTCAACGCATCCTCAAGATACCCAAAGTTCGCATCGCTTGTTTTGTCTTCCTTCTTTGATACCCAATCAATCAACCGGACACGACTCAACACACTACAGTCGATAGACCATCTTCCCATAATGTCAGGCACAAACCCCGAGAAGCCTCCCATCCAGCCGGAGCAGCAGCTCTACCCCCATCCGACCGGCGACAACAACTACCAACAACAGCAACCGCCTCAGTACGCCTCCGGCGCGACGCAGTACAACCCTGATCAGAAGAGCGAGCTTCCCGGCGGCCACGCCAGCCAGGCCCAGCACTTCCCCCCTCCGCCGCCTGGCCCGCCTCCTGCGAACCAGCCACAGTTCACACATGCTCCCCAACCGCAGCAGCAGTCATACGGTAGCGCCACACCCCAGCAACAATACAACCAGACGTCGTCGCAGCAGCAGCAGCAGCAGCAGCAGCAGCACTACTCCCAAGCTCCGCTAGGCCAACATGCTCCCGGCCAGCACGCCGAGGGCGCCGTCCCCGGCTACAACCCCGCGGACCACGGCGCCGGCCACCACTATGCGCAGTTCGACGCACCCCCGGGCAGTGCGGCACCGGGCCACATGCAAGGCGGCCCCTATACGGACCCCGCGGCAGCGCACGCAGCCTACATTGCCCCCGTCAATGCTTCGACGGATCCCCTGAACCCTCAGAAGGAGAAGAAGGGATGGGGCGAGCGCCTCTCCCAGATCGGCATGAAGGCCGCCGTCCCCATCAACGCGTTGGCCAACAAGATGGGCTCGCAGAGCTTCCTGCCGACCACTATGGACAAGGAGTGCGAGAAGGCCGCCAAAATCCTCAGGAGCTTCTGCAGTAAGTTTAAACCACCCCGTATACCTACAGCGTGTTGTTCACCGCTGACAACGTCACAGAGGACGGCATCACATCCGACGTGCCCCTGCAGACACAAGCTTCCGAGCACCTCGAGCCCGGTAAGCATGCTGAGGGCCACGGCTCGCGGCCCACGACGCCGAACAAGGAAAAGGTTCGCAAGGAGCAGAAGGCCATTGTCAAGATCCCCTCCAAGGTCATCAACAAGGCCGTCGGCCTGGCCATCTTCACCACCGCCAGAGCCGGCTTCAACTTCTCCGGCGCTACCGGCTCCGGTGTGCTCATCTCTCGTCTCCCAGATGGATCGTGGAGCCCGCCGTCCGGCATCCAGGTACACGCCCTAGGCGCTGGATTCATGATCGGAATCGACATCTATGACTGCGTATGCGTCATCAACAGCCGCGAGGCTCTCGCTGCCTTCATGAGCACGCGTGTCTCTTTGGGTCCTGATGTCGCCGTCGTCGCCGGTCCATACGGTGCCGGTGGCGTTTTGGACGTCGGCGCCTCTTTCGGTGGAAAGAACCCCGAAGACAAGAGGACGGCCGAACAGGCAGACACGAAGCCTGTTGACGACGGCAAGCTCAAGCCCGACGAGAAGCAGAAGCGCAGAAGCAGCAGCTCCTCCATCAAGCCTGTCTTTTCCTACGTCAAGTCTCGTGGCTTCTACGCGGGTATCCAAGTCGACGGCACCGTCGTCACGGAGAGGAAGGACGCCAACGCGGCCTTTTACGGTCAAAAGGTCACTGTCGACCAGATCGTCAGAGGTCAGGTTCCTCCTCAGGGCCCCGGTGGTATGTGGCCCACAGGTGCGCAGGCTCTGTACGAGGCTCTTCGCACTGCCGAGCAGCAGAAGCCTCTTCCGGAAGTCCACCTCCCTCAAGCAACCACCGGCCAAGTCCCCCCTCAGGGTTCTATTCCTCAGCAACAGCAGCAGTACGGCGGTCAGCAGCCCCAATACGGCGGCGGCAGACCCGAAGGAACCGGCGTTCCGGCCTATGGCCAACCTCAATACACCCACTCAGAGGGTGGTCCCCTAGGATCGCATCCACCCGGTCAGGGCCCCACTGCCTCTGGAGCTCTGAACCGAGAGGAGCAGCTCCCGGGCTACGTCGAGGACGGCGTGACGCGTCCCGGCGTGGGCGACCACAAGGGTCATTACCAGTAGATGAGGAGGCCGATATGGTGCGACTTTGGTATGGAAGTTACGTAGGCTGAAGATATCCCCATGGAGTTGTGGCATTTTGCAATTATACTAGGTAGCCGAATATAATCCTAACGAACACTGCCTTGTGTAGCCCGATCGATGTGTGAAAGCATTAAGCAGCTGACTGGACCTACCGCGCTCCTGTGGCATGTCATCCACATCTGCATCCACCGGACGGCGGCCGAAGTGTGCCGGGCACTGGTGGTACCGTCCCGAAGACGGCATGAAAACATGCATGTGGCCGATATAACGCGCCCTTGCAGCTTGATAAGTCCGGCCTTCTATACTCCGGTGTGGCACGACGTGAGATACGCCTAGTGCATCAAGGAACGCCGATGCGGCAGTGGACAGGGCCGCTGCAAGCTCGGAGTAGGACAGAAAACGGTCACGACATTCAGCGTTTTGTGTGTTTGCCCTTGTGCACCCGGACAAACGACAAGCGGGAGCAGGCGAGAGAGCCCACGCAATCGTCCATATCGAGGTCGGCAGTAGACATGGACGGCGCCTTCTGGCTCCGTCCCATCGAAAGCTACAGCGACAGTGAGTTTTTGATCCGACGGACCGCGGAGAGACGGTGATTTTACTGGTCTGCAATCCTTACGGGGAGCTTGAATGACCTATGTGGCTTCATCTTGCATGCTGCACCGTTGTTCCAAGCGTGCTTCATAAATATTGTATGCATGTCTGGTTGGCCGCGTGGTTCGCGCTAGACTGCCATGTTTCAACCGCCGCCAAGGCGTCCCGAGGTATGCATAGGTGATTGGAAAAGCGAGAAGGGACTCCTGCGGCAACAAGACAAATACAGAAGAAGAAAGGCAAAGAACAAGCAATGATTGGTACTCACAAGTCCCCGAATCGAGGACGTTGCAACGGCAGGGGAGGAATCATGCAGGCATGCCAAGTGCCGGATGTAAATGAGGTCCAAACCAACTAGCACTTTGCCAGACCATGATTATTGCTTGGGCTGGGTGTTTGACGTCTGTCATTCATGGCAAAGCGACGTCTGGGCTGCCAAGCGACACTCTACAATCAGCAAAATCGAGACTGCATTATTGCGAATTACTTCGAATGGAACTAACTGGCGGCCGGGCCAGTCGTTGATCAAAGGGGCGAGGGAAGCCGAGCTACCGAGTGATACCAGCAGATCGTGATATCCGCAAAGCGGGATCAAGGATACCGGTGCGGCGCAGCCCCAGAATCCACGGTTGGGTCATGTACCGGCCGTCTGTCGTCGGCTCCCGCAGAGTCAGAGGTTGAGTAGACATAGGTTCAATGTCAATCAATCCGGAGCCGCCGTCCACTGTTGGTTAGAGACGCAATAGGGAACTGCGTTGTGCTAGTAGGGCGAGCCGATCATCGAGAGCTCTGAAACGACTCGATTGACGATCTGCAGGGGTTGGGAATGTCGACACAATTCGGACGACGTTCATCGTGCGATTGTCTTGTCTTGGTCCTAAAAAAAGCGACAAGAGAAGCCGCCAGGCCGGTTCTCGGCTGGCTCAGCCCCAGGAGCTTAGCCCTTGTGGTTATTTCACGAGTTCCCCGCCGGCAGTGGAATCTTGGGTGCGATTCTAGCATTCCGCCTGTTGACCAACGACGCGGGACGTTGCATTTCTGACAATTGTCTGGACTCTGCCGGTCTCGGCTGGCCGTAGAACCAGAACACGGAAAGTTGTGTCCTGGCCTGATTCCCCAGACAAGCTGGGCAGAATTCCAGCCAGAGCCGTGATCAGTGGGTTGGTGGAGGAACTTGCAGGCTGGATTCCGCGCGCAGAGTTGTGGAAAGGACGTCATCGGCTCCACGGCGATGAGACGTCCGGGATGTGCAGGTCTTTGTCAAGTCAGGTCTCGAGTCTCGACGTTGCTTGCTTCGGCCTTTCGCCGGCGGCTCAGGGCCCCCCCCCCCTTTTTTCGCCTCTTCAACCTCCAGTTGCCCACAACCCCTTCATCTGACATCCCCACGCCAAGGAAACGGTCTCTGGAACTGGCTCTGGCCGAAGTGGTGTGCAACTGGAGACTGGTCCGTAAAGTCGTGCCAGACCCATCACAATGTCTTTGACAGTGGGCAGATGGGCAGGCCGATCGACTGTTTGCCCCCAGTTCTGCCGCCCGTTTCCCTCGCCCCCTGCTTCGCTCTGGGGATTTAGGGGTGTACTCTGTGTCCGTTGTACGATTCGCACGCGACAGCGACCAGTTCGTCGGTTCGGGTGTCATCTTATCATTTACGATTGTTCTTGCATTCTTTAGGACGATTAAGCTCATCGCCAAGTCCAACTGTTTTGCAGTGACTGGCCGGGTAGAGCTGGCACATTTAGCTTTTTGTCTCTAAGTTTCCCGTCTGTCGGGGTATTAGATGGAATGGTCAGAAGCGGGAGGTGCGCTACGCTGCGCCAAAATTCACGGCGTCGAGCCGAGAGTCTGATGGGCTGGGCCAGCTGCCGCTCCAAGCACGCGCCATTGTTTTGGGTAGGGTGTCTTCCATCATGGCTAGAAAAGGGACAAAGACTGCGTGGCTGCTGTCAGAGAAATGCTGATCGGCCGCAGTTCGCAGCAGGATCCGCGTCATGTTCCCGTTGAAGGAGAAAGGGATCCAACGGTACCGGCACACTCCCTGAACCGGGAGGGTCACTGTCAATTGGGGTGCCCGGGAAGTTCAGAGTCGCGAGATGATTTGTTGCAGGGGTGAGCAGCATTGACGGTGGACCTCCCAGCCCAGCCTCTGTCCCTTTATGGGGAGCCCGGTTCAGTTGCAGGGCAGCAGAGCTGTCAACCAGCCAGGAAGAGGTGAGCAGCACCACTTAAGCAGCCTGGCTCTTCACGATTGTCTTTGGTTGATGTCGATCTCGCCGTGATGGAACATGTGGTTGGCCACAGCGACATGTTCAGCAGCTAAGCGCTCCGCAGCCGTTGAGGGCGGAAAGAGGGGTTGGCTGATGGGCCCAAGGATAACGGCTGAAGATCCGGCCCCCTTTGGCCTGCTTGGGGCCGCCCGGTGACCATCTGGAAGAGGCCGGGCACCACTGATCGGGTTCCGGCTCGAGGTCAGAGACGAGATGGGAATGGCAGTCTTGAACTTGCGGTCGTGGTGTTCAAGGTAAAGACGGAGGCTGGGCTGATGCTGGTGTTGTTTTTGTTGGCTACGCAGGTGTTTGGCCACTCGGTGGAGGCAACGGCTAGCATTGGACCAAGACTGGATGACGACGCGTAAGGTGACCCGTTTTTTTCTGTGTTGCGAAAAATAGCAACTTGCGTGTCGTGTGTATCCTGCTTTCTGGTAGACAGAGGGTTTCATTCGGAGTAGTTCTTCATAGCTGACGGGTGGCAGACAGCAGAAACAGTGGGCTCTAGCGCAGGCTGTGCTTCTGTATAGCGGGTACGAAGCGCGCGAGGTTTCTTGTAGGTAGCAGGCCAGCACAGCGCTGCGTCCATACACAGTAGGGCAGGCTCCAGTCAATAGCTCGTGTTAAATGCATTGTACAGTAGTGGATGGATCGAGGTTGTTGGGCAGGACCGATGACGATGGCAAAGCAGAATGCATCAGAGTCATGACAGCCGCCGAGGCAGCGACTCGGTCGGTCAATCGGAATGCAGGGCCATTGACCTCTGAGAACCTGGCAGCTGAACGGAAGAGCCTCCGCACACTACAGCAGGTGCCTTGTTTGGCCCGACTGGCACACACCAGACAAGGCCAGGACCGGCAGAGGCGACTCAGACCCCACGAGGTTGAGGGAGATTCTTCTTCCTCGCCCAGCTTGCGTTGGACGGATGTCAGAGACGGCAGGTTTGGGATCGAGACAAATCGGCCACACGATCAGCGGCACCGTATTATGGACGCATTGGACTGTAGTGCTATGTAGATTGAGTAGCGAGTATAGTTGTTCGTGCCACCGACGAAGATGGGGTCTTCGTGGGTACACGTCGGTGCTTTACAGTAGGGTGACCGAAGTGTCAATACGGGTTGGAGACCCGGTGGTCCCTGGAGGGATATGATGATGCCATGGGCAGTCTAACTCCGTTGGGCTGATTTGGGGAGCCGCGTTGCGATACGAAAGAAACGGAGACGTGGGTGTGGGTTGGGTGGAAGGGAACGGCATCGAAGCAGCAGATTGATGAAATCTGGGCGGGTTGGGGTGGCCATGGTTTGCAAAGGAAATATTAAGATTGGAGTCGCTCGGCACATGGGAAGGATGTGCAAGGAAGAAGTGTGAGATTGCGGCGTGGCTCGCGGGTACGACTGCGGTACTTGACGGGAAGCGGTAATTTCTGTGGAGTCAGAATGTAGATTTGGGTTCCTTGGCTCCCCCCCCCCCCCAAATTTTGCCTTGTCGAGTCGTTCGTACCTTTGGTCCCTTCACAAGATTCAGTGAGCAGGAAGAGGGAAAAAGAAAAGAAGAAAAGGAGGAAGGAAGGGGAGGGTGGGCCGAAGCAGCAGCTATCGAGACCCCTGACAAGGGAGTGAAGGGAAGGAAGTGAGTCGAGGAAGCCCCTGGAAGCAAGAGACGCCAGCGGCCAATTACCAGTGTCCATTTGTGATTTTTTCCTTCTCTCTACTGTGGTATACTTTTCCCACTTCACAGATTGCAGGTGTGTGCCTTCCAATCGTGTGCTCCTGCCTCGAGCACGTTTGCAGCGCCACGAGATGGCGATTGGATCTGATGGTCCGTGGGCCAATGAGACGGCACGTATCATAGCGTTGTGGACCCCAATTCCCGAGAATGCGAACTCTGATACGGGTTGATTCGTCATTTTGTTCAATTTTGCATCTCTTGATGAGCCCGTATCTTGTTCCAATGCATTGGCACAATGTTCCGTTGATAGACACTGATAGACAGCAACGGCTGCGACTCGAGACAGGCCGAGAGGCTTGAGAGCGGACTTTACATAACCATGCTTTGTGTCCATCTCTCATAAGCCCACTAATTCCACGGGTATCTTGGTTCGACTCCAATCTTGGCTCTGGACGCTAAGCAGCGCCCATTCAAGGGGGACTCGGTGCTGGTTCGCAGCACAGAGCACCGGACTGGGAACGCAAGTCAGGATCAAACGCCGTTGCCAACGCCGTGTCGACGGGAATGTCAGTCAAAGAGCAGATCGCCCAGTATCTAAGACACGCTCTAACGCTTTAGTGCGTCCAGCCACGGGACACAGGTCGTAAGTGTGTGTGTTTGAGGTTGACAAGACGACGAGAATCGGCCATCGTTTTTCACCGTGCTTTCGAATCGTTCTTCATCGATAACCTCTCATGCTGGGCGACTAGCCATCCATGATCCGTGGCAACAATCACCTCCGGATACGGGTCGCCTAGACATGCTCGGCACGGGTAGCAGGCAGTTTGAACAAGAGTGACAATCCAAGAAACACCCCAAACGCTGCCGTGCCCAGCCCGCGACGGCGATAAAGGCAGATGGGATTGCTGGGCTCTCGCCGTCACGGTGCCGTAACGACTTTGAAGTCCCGCTTCTGGTCGAGGCGAACGATAACGCTGAGCGCTAGGCTGCGGGGCCATGGCAGCAGCACACCGGGGGGAGAGGGAGGGAGGGGGAAAATATGTGGATGGAGTCTTGCCGCGGCGTCGTGGTCCATGTCCTAGGTGAGATATCCCGGCGCATGTCTTGTCCGCACTCTTTGAGCCCCCACCGGCATCATTTCCCGCCCCGCCACATCCCGGTCCTGACCAGTCAATTCTCTTGGTCCTTCCCCATCCCTGGTCGCGCGGGCTGGACCTCTCTTTCCCACGGCCTCCCACCACCACCACCACCCATGAACACCTCCTTCTCACAGTGCCACACGCACCCAACACACACACCTCCAGTATCCTCTCCCAGGACTGTCACCTGGCAGTCTCGAGCGAAACCCTGCGTGCGCTGGAAGTTGGCGGAGATGCTTGGGGTGAGTCTCGGAGGCGCGGTGGGATGAGATGACACGGCGAGAACAGACGTCGAGTCGTGCCATGGGGAGGTGCAAAGACGGCTGCAGACGCATGCGTGCGCAATCCACCAACATCAGACCGAACGCCTGTTGTTGCTAAATGCTGTCGCTGCTGCTGCTGCATGTTCCATGTTCCATGTTGCCGCGTGTGCACCCAGCACGAGGCGAGTTGCGGGTGACGGACAGCTGACGACGGTCTCTGGGAATAGAAGCACTGGCTCTTACAGTGTATGATGAGCAGCAGCCAGCCCGGTGACTGAGGGAGGTGAGTCGGTCGACGGTTGATTCGTCCCGCCCTGTCAACCTCCAACTCGGTTGCAAATTCCCATGCAAGACGCGACCTGCAGGTCCCGTTTCCGCGCCAAGGACCGTCCCAGGTTCCCCTGCCTCTGCTTAGCGTCCAGTCCGTGGCGTTTCTCTCTGTCTTGTCAGTCCTCTCGGTCGCTCTCTTGCCTGTTACCAGTACCTTCGCGCACTGCATTGCCTCTCGTCACTCTCTCCGTCACCCTGCCTCAATTCACCTTGGCTGTGGCCCCGGCAGCCTCTGGCGGGCGGCGGACGGCGGCGTCATCGGCGTCGTAGTCGTCGACGGCGACTGGCAGTCTGGACCGGTGGCTGATGGCACTGACAAGCCCAGCGAGGCGACGACGTCTTGTGCCTCAAGGTAAACGCCGAGATTTCCCATCTGAGAAGGCACCTGCCACCCATCCCCTATTTCTCTCTCCTGCTCCCCTTGTATCCGAACACATAGTCTTCTCTCCTAATACGTGCTATAGCACTGTGACATGCCCAAATGCAGCCGGTGCCAGTCCCGGACTGGATGGGAAGTGATGGGCCTTTTTTCTTCAACACGGCAGGCCACCCCTGTGCGTCCAATTTAATTCCAATCATCCATGCCACCTGCGTTCCCACGCTCTCATCGCTTCATTCGCGGCCACGGCCATACCGACCAATCTTGGTCCAGTTCCTCTTCTCCCCCCTAGTGCTGGTTTTATGTGAGGTAGCGGGCGGGACAGACAGAGAGCTGATTGACAGGAAGGGGAAGACTGGTTCTGCTGCTAGTATAGATCCTGTCCCTTCCTGTCCAGTCCCTCTTTTATTTCCTTCCCATCCCACTCCCCGTTCCCACACCCATTCCTTCCTGCTCCACGCCCTTGCCCTTTTCCTGGCTATCCCATCCGATTCAAACCTCACCCCCCCCCCCCCCCCCCCCCCCCCCCCCCGGGCCCTTGAACCTGCCTTTCCACCCCCAAAGTTGTCCCCAGTCCGTCACTCTACGCCGTACGAACAGTCTCCTCTACGTACAGTAGTAGCAGTGTATGTAGTGCAAGACCTTGCCGTCTGGGACCTGTCTCTCCTAATTATCCTAGCCTCCCGTTCGGAAAGCGTACGCACTATTCGTACGCCTTGCACCAGGGGACCCTCTTTTCGTTCTTCCAGACCTCTTCTACCTCTTCTTCCCTCATCTCCCGCCCTTCCCCTCCAGCTCTTTTCCTCCTCTTTCGTCTCTCCAGCTCACGACGAATCTGGATCGCCAGCCTGTGTCTGCCTTTTCGGTTCCCTTTGCAGCAGAGATCACAATCAGCAGCTTTCCCGATCACTTGCCGGTCCTATGATCGTGTCACTCGCTCAGCAACACTGCTAGTTACTATCTTTAGTACCTGCGTTTTCTTCTTCTTTCCTATGCCGTCTTCTCCTTGAGGCGCCTTTCCCAACCAAACACGCTTTGCTACCTATTGTCGAGCTCTCTCGTCCGAACCTCCACTGCTTTGTACCTCACACAAAGAGAGACCACCCAAGATCCCGACGACCTCTCATCGACGGCTACGTGTATTTTTCAAACCTCCCCGCCTTCACAAAGAACGACTCCCACTCACAACCGTCAAGCTGGACGAAAAACAGTTCGACACCTTCCTCCGGACAATGGGAGCTAAGCTGCCTGGTCCGCATCGCGCCTGCAGTATGCGTAACCCACTCACGAGAATGCTGCTTTTTGCAGTCGTCGTCTTGGTCATTATGGCCCTCACTCTAAGGAACGACGCCATCGATGTCCGTGGTCGCATCATGAAGACGGGAGCCGGCGTCAAGTCGTCCATCACACACCAACAGCCCCTGGATGCCGTCACTTCCCACGCGTCCTCGTCTCTCTCCGACAAGATCCCCGCGGAGCCCGCTCCCTCATCGACTCATGTCATGAACTGCGATGTCGACATCGATCACCTCAAGACCCTCAAGGACAAGTATGGCCTCGCCGACAAGATCCACTACTTCAAGCGCTACGTCACCTTCAACCGCAAGCCCATCCAGCGCAAGGGCTACACTGTTTTGGACCAGGACTTCCTTCCCAAGAAGTTCAAGACTGTTGACATGACCAAGTCTTACCCTCCCGAGGAATGCGTGGCCCCTCTGGAAGTTCCTGTCACTCAGTCCCCCTACCCTGCCACTGTCAACGCCTCGGACTTCATGTTCGCCGTTTCTACTACCTACAAGCGTTTCAATGACCCCAAGACGAGCCCGATCAAGGAGTGGTCTCACTGGCTCACCGACAGCAACGGCAAGTCCAATGGCGGCAAGCTTCTTCTCTTGCTTCTCGACGCCAGCGACGCCGAGCTCAAGGACGCCAGCGACAGGCTCAAGAGAGTCGGTATTGACGCCGACGTGGCACACTCTGATCCCTCCATGGAGATGGCGGTTCGCTACCTGACCCTCGTCCCTTACCTCTACAACCACCCCGAGCGGAAGACAAGAAAGTGGCTCGTCACTTGCGATGATGACACTTACTTCCCCAGCATGCACGGTCTCATCGATAAGTTTACCACTTTCGACCACCTGGACCCCCTCTACATCGGAACCCTCTCCGAGGACGTCAACGCCATTCATCGACACGGATCCCAGGCTTTCGGCGGTGCTGGTGTCTTCCTCAGCGTTCCCCTCGCGGCTGCCATCAACCAGCTTTACGAGTCTTGTAAAACGGAGCAGAAGGTCAAGGAGGCCAACTCTGGCTGGGGTCCTCAGGGCGACATCCTTCTCCGTAAGTGTATCTACGAAAACACCGAGGTTCGCCTCACAAACTTGTGGGAGTTGTGGCAGCTTGACCTGTACGGCGACCCGGCTGGCTTCTACGAGTCTGGCATCAAGCCTTTGAGCTTGCACCACTACAAGGGCGGTGGCTGGCACTTCGCCAAGCCTTTCCAGTCCTCAAAGGTCGCCCACGCTTGTGGCGAGGACTGCTCATACCAACGATTCATTACCGCCGACGATTTCATTATCGCCAACGGCTTTAGCATTGCCCACTACCCGCAGGGCATTGACTTCAACCTCGACCAGATGGAGCGAACCTTCACCCCCGCCCCGATGACATTGGTTGGAACTTGGACTACATGTTCGGTCCCCAGCGCAGATCTCTGCACAAGACCGGCCGGAAGATCGCCTGGGAGCTCCAAGAAGCTCACGTGCAGGAAGATGGATCCGTCCTTCAGGTCTACACGCGGAGAAAGGACGACGAGCGCTGGGTCGAGGAGGACGGCGAGCCGATGAGCAAGATCGATGGCATCATTGAGCTTGTCTGGATTCCCTCGACATGAAGTGACCCCCTGCCGAGCACGACGATACGACACGGACAGAGATCTTTTTGCGACCTCTCGCCCCATGATACAACGGGCCCGATGATTCTGGCATTGCAAGGGGCAAAGATGGAGAAGCACATTTAAAAGCTCATCTGAAGCATTTCGTCAGTCCAGGACATCCTGGCCTATTTTGACACGCTAGGGGCCTTCAGCCGAAATAGCACGGGCCCGTTTCGATCCCAACGCCAGCAGAAAAAGTCAATCTGGCAGTCAACATGGACAGATTGCAATGCGCAGGGCCATCGCATTTCCACCTTTCCGGGACAACACGACAACACCCCTGGACAGCATCATAATTATAATCCGCCGAACGCGATACCCCTATTTTATCCACAAGACTCTTATTCGATTCGACTCGCGTTCCCGACTTCGGCATACGGCTCGCAAAGAGCATCGGCGTTTGAGAGTGATAGTGGGCACCTTTACCATTGAAAGCATTCTGGCAAACGCTACGCACTTTTTTTTCTTTTCCTTTTCCTTTCTACTACTACTACTGTGGCATTGCATTGCACATAGATGGATTGCTTAGGATGGATCTAGCAATCGGTACATAGACCTGTTATTGACAGGCCCGGACGTTTGGAGTCATGATAAGGACGTTGGGTGTCCTTTTTTGGAGGTCAACCACCAGGTTTGATTTTAGGTGCAAGGAAAGGCAGTCAACGGTGCCTTGTAGAGTTTAGAGCACGTGTATACCACCAATGATACGAAATGTTCGAAATGTTCCAAAAAAAAAAAAAAAAAGATTCCAAGAATTACGCATGCATTACCGGGAAACTTTGTTAAACTACTTCATACCACGGGATTGCCTGCTGAAGAGGCTTTCAATGGGATGAACCGCTTTGGCCTGGTCGACCAGGCCTAAATGTAGTACATCATCAGGCACTTACCTCAGCCCGTCTCAGCCACACCTCGCCCCACTTGACGCATGTTCAAGCCACATCGCATCTGGGCCCCGCCAACGTCAGTTGCGTTAGCGCAGTGCGGGCTGCTTCTTCCATGTTTCGAGAAATGAAGTCATGAGGCTTCTATGGTAGCTCGAAGCTCTCCAACGCCGTATTCCCAACGCTGCGAGGTGTCATTTCAAGATGGCGACGTGAGTAACCCATTGTCTTCTCCAACGCCTGAGTGGTTTGCTGACTGTTACGTCATGACTAGTATATCCAACATCCTGTCGCTGCCCTTCCGCAAGTCCACCCAGCTGTCGCTTTCCTCGACGATACGACAGTACATCAACACCAAATATGACCAGCACCCGGACATGTTTCGCCAGGACCTCGAGGTCATTGACGCCCTGCGACGCGATGCGGTCAACGTGAGGGAGCCGCATCCTAGCGGTATCAAGAAGCTCCAGGCGTACGCGGGACAGCTGGTGTGGATTGGCGGCAAATTTCCAATCGACGTATGTCCCCCGACGCTTTCATGATGGTGCGAATCTTTTGGGTTGCTGATACGACCGTCTGTTAGATCGGCGCCGAGTTTACGTGGTACCCGGCTCTGGGCTACAACACCGAACGGCCGATGGTGCGAAACAATCTCAAGTACGAACTCATGAACATCCTCTACAACCTCGCCTCCCTCTACTCCCAGCTCGCTGTCGCGCAGTCACGAACAGGCACCGAAGGCCTGAAGAACGCCGCTGGATACTTCGCCTCGGCGTCTGGGGTGTTGGAGCACATGCAAAAGGAAATCCTACCCGAGCTGCGCATGTCTGATCCTCCCGAGGACATGGACGCCAACACCCTCGAGTCGCTCTCGTATCTGCTTCTGGCGCAGTCCCAAGAGTGCTTCTGGCAAAAGGCCGTTATGGACGGGTACAAGGATGCCATCATCGCTCGTCTCGCCGCTCGCGTGTCGGACCTCTACAACATGGCGGGGGAGGCTGCGATGAAGAGCGAGGCCATTAGTTCGGCATGGATCCACCACATGAGCGCAAAGCACCATCACTTCGCCGGCGCTGCACAATATCGTGCCGCATGCGACTGTCTCGAGAAGAGGAGATACGGTGAAGAGGTCGCTCGTTTGCAGGACGCTGTGGGTTGCGTTAATGAAGGTCTGAAGGAGAGTCGTGGTGGCTACCTCAACAAGGCGGTGCTTGAGGATCTGAACGGTCTGAAGCGCAAGGTTGAGGAAGATTTGAAGCGGGCCGAGAAGGACAACGACGTGATCTACCTTCGTAAGTGTTGATAACCCAGGGACTGGACAGGCGCTTGAGCTAACTTTTTAAGAACCCGTCCCGCCAAAGTCGGAACTCAAGATTCTCGATAGAGCCAACATGGCTGTCGCCAGGGTGCCTCCGCAAGTGGCCAACCCCTTCGACTACCTCGGAGACCAGGCCGAGTTTGGCCCTGCACTATTTACAAAACTCGTTCCGTTCTCCGTCCACGCTGCTATTACGATATACGAGCAACTCCGCGATCGCATCGTAAACGAGAACATTATCGGACAGATGGAAACACAAACCGAAAAGCTGCATGCTATGCTGAGCTCTATCAATCTACCCGGCTCACTACAGGCCCTAGAAAAGCCGCTGGGCCTGCCGCACAGTCTGGTGCATCATGCGGAGGAGATACGGCAAGCGGATGCCATCGGCCGCATTCAGCGGGCGTTTTCAGATATCGACAAGTTGCGAACTGCCGATCTCGCAGTCTTCAACGAAGGCAAGGCGATCCTCGCGGCAGAGGAGGAGGAAGACAACCGAATGAGACGGAAGTACGGCACCGATCGGTGGTCCAGACCTGATAGTCGAAGCGACCCCCAAGGAAGCCGGTTCTGGGCTCAGGTGGCTGAGATTGAGGGCTACTTTGCGAGCAGTACGAGCAGTGATGCTGTGGTCCGAGAGAAATACAGGGAGGTCCAAGATCTTCTCGAAATGCTATCTGGATCGGACCGGGAAATCATGGATTACGTGCCTTCATCCAGGCGGATGGACATCCCAGAGCCCTTGAAGCCGGTGATAGGAAGGCTTCGTGGAGCTTATAACGACGTCCTCCGACTTGAGTCCAAGAGGAGAAAGAAGGCAGAGGCGCTGCGAGAGAAGGCCAGAACGGATGATATCAAGCCGGATATTCTCAAAGAAGCAGCACGCCTCGAGAGGACGTACCCGACGACGGCCATCGTGCCGGCGCACTTCGAAGACTTCTTTGAGAAGCGTCTTGACAAGCTGTACGATGCCGAGATTGAGGCTGTCGCGAAGGAAGAAGATGAGCAGGAGCGACTCATGTCTGAGGTTCAGAGAGTCAATCGGGAGTTCGAGAGTCAGAAGCGAAATCTGGCAAGCGGCAGCCGCGAGCGCGAGCAGGCGCTGCAAAGGCTTGACAACGCCTACTACAAGTACAAGGAGATTGTCAACAATGTCGACGTTGGACGAAAGTTCTATAATGACTTGAGCAAGGTGGTGGGCCAGAATTTCCGGGATCCGGTCAAGGCGTGGGCTGCGGAACGGCGGATGGATGCCAAGAGCCTCGAAGAGTAAGTCGGTCTTTCCAGCGTGACGGACACCGATGCTAACTATGCGCCAGAGAGGTCAGCATGCCGCCACTCAGCTCCCTCAACATCAACAGATCGCCGGTCCACTCTCCGACTGGCTCAAGCTACGACCCACGGTCTCAGTCTTACTTCAGCGCAAGCGTCGTTCCCGGCACGGCGCCACAACAGCAGCAGCAAGCCCCTACACGGCATGAGGTACACTCGCCCCTAGAGGCTCACATCCAATCATGGGCCGGCTCGACCGTCGAGCCTCAGCACCCGAGACCCGCAGCCGCCATGTCCAGCATGTGGCAGCCCGACATGGGCATCAAGTTTGGGGGCCAGCCCGGTGCACCGGCACCGGCACCTGCATCAGCCAGCGGACAGCCGCCGGTGCAGAACACGGCGAACCAGCCGCCGCAGCCCCAGGGAGGTACATGGAATCCCGGGTCGGGGATCAAGTTCGGATAGGACACAGAACGGTTCCCACCGCCCAGAGGAAGGAGGTAGTAGGTTGTGATTTTGTTTGATCTTGGGGGGTGAGCGATCAGTTCGGCGTTGGTGGGTTTGTGTCGTCTTGCTAGATGTATCATAGATCCGTCGCTAAGCACGCCTTGGTTGGTGAATTCTAAAGAAATGCATACTATCATCTTGCGAGATTTGGCAATGTAAGTGCTGGGCGCTTGAGGAGGGCGCCTGAACTCCGTCGGGTATTATATTGAGTCGTCTTCCATTCCACATCTATAATCTGTCCACGGACCTGCCATCTACCTGTGCAAGCAACACAAAACCATGAAAGGTCACCGTCGCACCCGGATTGGATGCCTGACCTCGCCTGTCTTTCGTTGAGCAGACGATGGTATTTGCCATCGGATGATACATCTCTTGGACGGTACCACTAGGAGAAATTACACTGCTGCCTCGCGTGCCGTTGGCTTTCTCAACTGCGTGAAGATCGTATCATGAGGGTACATCTTAAGTCAGGATTTGAGTGTGCGTCTCGTGGCTAATGTGAACAAAACAAAAAAGGACAGAGGGTATGCATGCATCATACCTGGCACAAGCCCTTGGAACTTATCGCTTACGAAATCACGAGGCATAAGCGCCGAGAGTTCTGGGCAGCACTTGAATAGGTAGTTAGATTACACGAAACATTCCGAGAATCAGTGTCGGAGACAAAGTGACGGGCGTTACCGATTTTAACGCTCAATCATAGGAATCTTGAAGATCCAAGAGTGCATATTGTTGAGTCATCGCACTTAAGGGTAGTTTTCTAGAGTTGTTGGGAGTTATGTTAGACCTGGCTTTTAGTACCCGATGCATGCACAAACAGTACAAACATAACCGCTTCAAAAAGAGTTGCCGTTTTGTGTGGCCAAAGTCAGATGTTGACCGCCATAACATATTGCTGCCGCCATAATAGTGCAGCATCTTGAATGCTCATCATATTCGCTTTTAGAAACTGGTGTTCTATAGTCACTTAGTGTCCCACCATGGCCTGCGCGGTTTCGTTGTATCTGTTCCCGTGCGGCTTGGCCGCATCAATGATCCTCCGCATCTCTTTCTTCTCCTCCTCGGTCAGCTCGACGTCTCTCGACGCCCAGTTCTCTTCCAGCCTCTTGGCCTTGGTCGTTCCCGGAATAGGAATCATGTTCTGGGCAGCGACCCAAGCGAGAGCAATCTGCGGCAGAGAGCATCCCTTGCGAACGGCGAGCTTCTTGATCTCGTCGACGATAGCCTTGTTCTTGTAAAAGTTCTCGCCTTGGAACTTGGGGCCTTTTTTTTGCGAAACGCGCGTCAGTAAACCTCTCCGATGTTGGTTATGCAGGGTTTGGACGATGACTTACTTCCACGTCGGAAATCGGTAGGGGCGAAGTCGTCGGGGCTCTTGTACTGGAAATCGTCGACGAGCCAGCCGTGGCCCAACGGGCTGTAGGCGACGTATGCCACGCCAAGCTCTCTGGCAGTCTCGATCAGCCCGTCGGTCTCGTGGATGGTCTCAAAAGCCGAGTACTCTGCCTGAACGGCATCGATCTTGGCAACTGAGGTTTGTTAGTGTAAGTTTGGCTGATTTGGCGAGGAGACTTACTTGAGTTTGCTTTGCGCAAAGTGTCAGCTGAACACTCGGAAAGGCCAATATACTTGGTCTTTCCAGCCTTGCGAATCTCATCAAGGGCTGGGATCGACTCCTCGAGCGGCGTCTCTGATAGCAGTATCAGCAGGGGTTAAGTCTTTTGATGGAAGCTGAGCGACTTACTAGGGTCGATTCGATGGAGGTAGTAGAGATCAGGAGTGAATCCGAGTCTCTCGATCGTCCCCTCGATGTATTTCTTGATGTGGGAAGCAGAGTTGGTGACAGTCATGCCTTCTTCAAAAACAGCGAACCCACATTTGGACGCGACTATGTGAAGTCGTGTCAGTCAAACGGATTAACATACTAAAAGAGACCACCAATGCGTACTGAAAACTTTGTCGCGGACGTTGTGCTTTCTGATAAAGTCGCCCAAGAGCTTTTCATTGACACCAGCCTGGTAGACTACCTGGTTATGAGTTCGTCAGCATTTCTCAGCTAACCAAGCGGAAGGAACAGCATGAATTATTCAAAAGAACCATCAGCAATTTGGTGACCTACTGCTGTATCCCAAAAAGTGCATCCAAGCTCGATGGCCTTTAGAAGCACGGGTTCGGCCTCCTCCAAGGTAAGGTTGCTCCCCAGACCAAAGCTCAGGCCCATTGCACCGAAGCCGGGCGAGTTGACTTGGATATCTTGGAAGGAGAATGTCTTGACCATTGTGTCGGTTGCATTTGTTTGAATAATTTACGGGTGCTGTGAAGATTTGTGAGGTTGCGATGATGCCGAGCCTTTGGGGGTTGCACTCGGGGCATATAAGTCGACTTGGTGAATGTGTCGCGTATGACGTATTGCTACGATCCAGCAGCCATCGAAGCAGTTCCGGCGATAATCAATTACCTGCGACCGGCTGACATACCGAAAGTGGATCTGATGATCTTCGTCCCACTATTTCATTAGATACCTGTCTCAAAACCTACCAACATATGATCAAACTGTACACAACCTCCAGTTGGCCGGAGTTAAGATTGTTCCTCCGGGCGTCTGGATTCAAGCAATTGAGGTCGAAAAATAAAGACGTTACACAAATCGGTAAGTGTCCGTTGGCACCGCATGAGTCGCAGTTGGGTGTTACTGCATACATCGTAGTAGAACGTAGATGTTTGCCGAATCGCTTCCGTTGGCCCACTCGCCAGTGTTAGAGAGCGGGCTCCGCGGTACGCAGATTAGAAGCGTGGGCAAGAATCCGCACATTCCTGTCCAATACTCGTTATTTGAGTCTCGGACTTGTGTTTATGTCTATCCGTCATACGGGCTATTGTCCACTGTGAAGTACTTTTAGTGTCCAGTTTCGTTACATACTATACGTATGAAACCGGGCACTCATCCCAGTTCTCGTAATCCAACATACGCGCAGTGTGAAACATCTATCTCGTCCAATAATATTGCTTTTGTGTAGACTACAGCTCAAAGATGATATTCAATGATCTGGTTTGAGTACGGAGAGTCATCTCTTTCGTCTCTTCTACCAAGTTTCCCATCATCCCTATTTCCCTTGTCTTGGGCGTCTTGAACAGCCCAAACAGTGCTTTGATCTTTCACTTGACTTGGTCTCATTGAATATCATGAAACCCGGAGAAAGAAAGAGGGGGTGACAGAGAACCACGAAAAACTTACATTCAGTTTTTGCTGTTAAATCTGCACATGCCAAAATACGTTATTCTTTGGTGACGCAAAACAAGTGCCGTAATGACTCCATAGTAAGCAAGCATTCCATTCTTGGAGCTTGCGTTAACTGTCTTGCCACTCTTTTACGGTGGGCCCAACTACCCACTATGCTACTTTGCAATGAATCGTGAAGACCTCAAGCTGACATTTCGGATTTAAGCGCTGTATTTCCTAGGTTCGCAAATCTTGAAAAGTAGCTCTTCCTCGTTGCGAGACTTCTAAAGTTTCACTATCCCACCATGCTCTATCTCCAACTTTCGTTACAAGCGATAACTAGATGTTTGAAATGCCCAGTCCTCAATTACTGGGGTTGTTAGCTCTTTCTTGCTTGCCCTCGGTCCTGTCAATCCCGACGAGCCACTACAACTGGCAGAATGGTACCAACGTCACCACCTTGGAACTCGTTCCAGGGACCCAGTCGCTGGAGAATATCGCAGTTCAGAGAAATGGCAACATTCTAGTCACGTCTGTCGCTTCGTCAACGCTGTTCGGGCTGTCGTCCCGGGGCGAACATCCACCAATCCCGGTTGCCCAAGTTCCCGTTGTGACTGGGCTCCTCGGAATCACTGAGCTTGAGAAGGATATCTTTTACGTCATCGGTTCCAACTTGACATCGACTGAAAATTCGAACGGAGTGTGGAGAGTTGACCTTCGCGACTTCCAAGTTTCTTGGAACAGTACCATCCTTCAACCGGCTTCAGTCTCTTTGGTTGCACAAGTCCCATCGGCTCTGCAGCTCAATGGCATGACCCGTCTCTCCAGAAACGACACCAAGAATCTTCTCATTTCAGATTCTTCTCGAGGCACAATTATCCGTCTAGATGTTGACACGGGAGAGTACGAAACGGTCATCAAAGAGCCGGAGATGGCTTCGTTAGCTACGGGCTTAGGGATCGGCGTGAATGGGATTCGGATCCACAACAACGACCTCTATTTCGTAAGCTTGGATCAGGGTATCTTTGCCAGAGTACCAATTTCTCTCGCAAGCGGAGTGACGATTGGTCCTGTGGAAACACTTGCCTCCAACATTACCTTCGGCGATGACTTTGCCCTGTCAGACGACGGCAAGCAGGCGTACGTTGCCACAAATGGCCCTCACGAGGTTATTGGAGTCGATTTGGTTCGCGGGGGCAAGTTCGTCGTCGCCTCGTCGCCTCTGCTAGGATCTGCGTCCTCGGTCGCCCAAGGACTACATGACGCCCGTAAGGTTTTATACGTGACCGGTGCTACATCTTTGGGAAACAGTACAATCGGCCACGTATCCAGCATATCACTGGAGTGCAAAGCCCTAGCTGAAAGTTTAGGTTCCTCTGCTCTTTCGCAGTAGTACCAACATAACGATATCAACATAAACTAAATGTAGCCCTTATCTCGACTTCATGACGTTCGAAGTCCTAATAAATAAAGAGCACTCAATAAAATACGTTTCGCTTTGAGATCGTGGTCTCTATGAATGCTGACTTATGTTGATTGTCTATTCCACTAAATAATATTGTATACTCTTATTGCAGCAAGGAAACAAGACCCCCTCGAACAAATATTGAACCTACCTGATTAAGACGATGGTTCCGTAGGGTGCCTGATGCATATAAGGGTCTCTAGCCAATGGTCTTGCTTCTATCTACCCACCAGCTATGTAAAGGGGGTGCAGCTGAGCAGAGAAGATTTATAGGGGTATCCAAGAGAAAACGATCAATGACCTCTGGTGCCGCGGCGTCGATTTCGTCCAACCGGAAAAGCTGTAGACCGTAATCTTGTAACAATTTCGAGATCTTCGGTGCTACCCCTGGAACCTTGAAAAGTCGCCAACTTCTTTCTAGTAGCCCACTGTTCGACAAAGCATCTCTGATATGCTGTGTACTCGCCGATGCTATTAGAGTCAGTGGGTTGGTGGACCTAGTTATGGCTACGTTAGAAGTGATGCACTTACACACGCCGTACTTCTCCATTTCCAGCTCCGTCTCCATAATGCGGTACTTTGTAAACATGGGGTTGGTAGTCTCCAGCTTCCTTGATTGGATGTGCATGTTGTAAAGCGTGATCTCAAACGGCGCGCCGTGCGTGGCCCATGCTGTCCAAAAGTCCTGGTTGTGAACCATTTCGACATACTGGACGAGATCGTCGAGAACAGCCTTCTCAAATACCCACTCTTGACTCTCCAAGTTCCAAAATTTCGGACCAAATGAATCAATCGGCCGATTGAGTACACCTGCCGAAGCCCTCATTGTATCGCGCATCATGTCATGGTTTGTGTGGCTTGATCTCCACACTGTTGGGGCTTTGACGTAGGTGTTGAATGTTTGGCGCATGCTGAACGGCTGCACAGCGATGGACTCCGAATCCAACCATAGTCCGTAGTCGTAATCCAGCGTCAGGGCTGCTGCCAACTTTTTAATCGTTTGGTATTCGTACTTTCCACGTTCTCTAAGCAGCGCTGATGTATCTTCCTTCGTGATGCCATCACTTATCAACGAGTGGAACACTGGTGGGAGTATGTCGAATAGATTGACGATTTTGATATTCGGCTTCGGTCCGTTGAAGTTCTTCGGCGGTACAGGGAAGATGCCAAATTTCTCTCCACAGGCCTCCAGGCCGTTCAACATATTATTGAACATATCAGCTTCACCGGAATCCGACACAATCACATGGATGTCGATTTCGGTGTAGTCAGTGCAGAGGCACATAAAAGACTGAAGGAAATCAATGGCGAGCTGCATGTGTTTTCTCTAGGCATTGTCAGTAGTTGACGCATGATGAAGAGTTGGGCAACGGAAGCTTACGTAGGTTGGCAAGACAATGATGTACTTAAGTCCGCTAAAATCCACCGACTGCGAGACTCCATCGTTTGTTGGCTTATTTGCGTGATTGATTAAGTCGTTCGTATCGGCATGTGTCTTGCCGGTGTAGTTGCCAAATAGAGAGGGAGGGCGAATCTCGAAGTGCGGCCACAAGTCATAGCTGAAAATCCCCACCAAGATAACGACGCAGGTCAGGCAACAAAAATACAGGATGCGTGTCTCTTTTAGTTGCATCGGGATGCCCTTCCTCGAAATCATGTTTGTTTGTCAGAAGAGTTGCCGAGTAAGAAAGCATGCGCACTGTCGAACAGAAACTGCTAACTCACGTGCTTTATAGTATACAACGGAAGTCATCATTTAAGCATCGTAACTTCCCATAATAAACTGCTTTTTGTGCCTCAGGTTTTGTTTAAATCTTAGTCTAGGGTAGATGGACTTGTGGTGAGGGGTTTGAGCATCGTGGCAGGATTGTGAGAGATGCTGATGTGCATTGATCTCTTTGAGGATAGTGAACAGATTGAAGTTCGTCTCAAGAGACCGTACTAACTTTATGAATGAAACGCTTGATCTTCGTACACTCGGTTGGGCAGACCAATCCGGACGACTCACACTCAACCCTCTACCGATCGCCACTTGTCATGTTATGATATCGACTAAAAGATCCATCCCCGCATCCGAATTGAAAGGCTTTCCTTGCAAACTTTCTTTCTCCAACCAAACTGAATCGCCCGTTGTTTCCTTCGTGAGGCTTTCTAAGCTTCTGAAAGTTCCATACGCGCGGATATTCGTCAGCTCACATTGTAGTGTCACATAGGGCTTCCATCGGACGACTTGGACGATCTTTGGCTCCGTGAACAGGCTAACCCCTGACAGCCTGACTTCATTTACCGACCTGCTCATGATGCAAGTATGGTGGTATTCCGTATGGATATATGCCATTATCTGCACTGGTCTGGTTCCATCTCAACAGCTGCCTAACCGGTAATAATTTGAGAGTAAAGTTTGAGTTGACTGCAATGTAGCCTTCTATGGTTCAATTCTGCTCCTTGAACTCTGCGCGAGGGAGAAAGGCTGCCCTCCAATGGTTCGACACTGTTACTGAACTTCATCCACTACAGCACCTTAAAAGACTGGCACATGCCTGTGACCCTTACGCGTATCAATGGCTTGTTAGAGTTCCCTGGTCGTCGTTCGTCCTCGCTCTCGCTCTCCATTCCGGGGTTCTTTATATTCCCCGTTCACTCCAAAATCTTAAGAATGCTAACTTAGGAATTACTGCGATCGAGAACAATTTTGAGGTACAATAGCCGAGCGCCTCAAAGTCCATCCTTCGTCGCGTGGTCACTGAGCGAAATTTGACTCTTTTACAACTCCTCCCCAGCATTCTCTACTCCCTCGTCGGCGTGGCTCTTCTGCTCCAAGTACCGTTCCTTGATCGGAACGCGTTCGTACGCATCGTAACCTCCAGCTCTCTGATACCAGTATGCGACCACATCGTATAGACATTTGTTACCGTGACCCCAGTCGTTGGGCTTGTACTTTTCGATGTACGCCTCGAAGCTCTTGTGAAAAGGTACATTATCACACACATGGAAGCGGCAAACCGATGTATGGCCGTTAGCATCCAACTCAATAAAAGGCTGGCAAGCATAGGCACTTTCGAACATGGGAAATGGCGGTTCCGCTGCCCATGCGTAGCCAACGTAATCTTCTGAGCCTGTGCCGAATGTTGATGGAAACTTTTCACCGTCCACAAAGAACTTCTCGTCCCCTTCTCCCCACCACCAATCAATGGATTTCTCGCCCCCGACGCCATACCACCAGTCGTTTGCTGGGACCTTGGGATCTTTCCAGTGGTTCCAGATGTGCATCTGTACACCACAGAACCGACCTGGCCCATTGTCCAACATCAAAAGGGGCCAATCAATTTCTCGACCTTCTTTGATAGGCTTTTCGAGGAATGCGTCCCGGTGCCATTTTGCATGAAACCGCAACATTTCCTTGGCTGACTTCTCAAGCGGACGATGGCAGATGGTGAACAAGAGCTTCTGCTCCTTGCTGCCGTCATTGTTCACCTTGAGCACGGCGCGGTCGGAAAATGGCATAAACCAGTGGCTGTAGAAGCCACCGCCATCTGTCGATCCTTGAGGGAGGGATCGATATGTTTGTATTCCGGGGACGCTGCCGAAAAAGTCTCCAAGAGGAGCCCAAACGCTTGGTGACTTGTCATGGTCCCAAGTAATCTGGAAGACAAGTTCTCGTAGGACTTGGGCTGTATGTTCGGGATCCTGAGGAAGATCCAAGGGCACAATGCGCAGTCCGGTGATGGCTCGATTGCCCTTAAGCTCTCGTACGTTGTGGGTTTTTCCAGGAGGTATAGTGATCGTAAATGTTTCCAGCGTGTCACCTTTCGACCGAGGGAGCGCAGACCAGCCACGCCGACTCAGCTCACGGTCGGCCGCGGCCAGTGCCAGACATGCTTCTCGATCAAAGGTACCGTCGAAGTACGGCAGTTTTGTATGTTTTGGGAATGAAGTGTACGTGAAATGATAGTAGGCTCCCCAACCCGGTCCAAAACGGATCTTTGCGTACTTGTTATATGGAATGGGAATAAAACTATTGCGACCGCGCGATAGAGTTGGGGCGATTGAGGGAAAATTGTGCGGCATGTTTTGGAAGCGATCGAAAAAGTCCCGAAACGGCATGTCGATGGCAGGCTTGCCGTTATGTTCATCGTCAATAAAAATCTGAATACGACCAACATCGGGCATAGCAGACCAGGTGCGCCAAATGACACCGGGTCCATATTGCTCAAAGGCGACGACCCACTGGCCTTCTTCGCGAATGATGCCATTGCCGTCATCGTTGGCATCCCAGTCAATGTACTTGTCTTCTTTGGGATCATAGCGAGACCGCCGGTCATAGCTCGACATACAGCCGCCGCGCTCCCCTTGGGACGGCGGCTCAGCAAGTTGCTCGAGATCGTAGAGCTGGCGGACGATATCAGGATAGGTCATTTGCATTTTAACTGAGCTTGGAGTAAAGACAATCCAAAATGAGGGGCAATCAAGCGCGGTCCGATCGGTGACAAAGGTAACCTTTTTATTATCCATCCCATAGGGCCGGTGCAAAACTGCGTGCGGCCACGCATGACTAGTTTAGAGTTTGTAGAACATGGGATTGTCCGCCCTACAGTATTGCCCTTCAATGCTGGTCATGAAACTGGATGACGTCCCAGCTGAGTTGATGTTCTGCTCCGCAGAGTCACATAAATTTTCTCGTCCACACAGAGGGACCACGGGGGAAGACGCCTTGTTTTGTTGTCCAAAGGAAGAACGGAGGGCCGGGGGCAGTGCGGCTTTCATGGAGTTCGCCACTAACTTGCTAAGGAGTTGATTAGCTTCAATCTAGAAGCTCATAAAGTTCAGCAAGGCCCTCATGGCCAGTAGTTGACATTCTGAAGAGCAGCACCGCGTTCAAAGTGAGGCTGAAGGCAATTAAATTCACTTTGAAGAGTAGTGGAGCGCTTAGAGAAGGTGCTTTACTTTATATTCAGGCTGACTACGTCCCTTCTTCCAGCGTCCGAAGTATTATACACAACGATGAAACTCTTCAGGCGCATGCTATGGAATGGTTCTCTTGCGTTCGTCTTTACTCCTCCTGCGCTATCTATAGTTAAGATCTAGGTTCTTGGTTGACTATGTCTATCAGGTTATTTTTGGTTTTATGTAGTCACTTGCGCCTGCTTCTTGGGTCTATTGCGAGGATAATTCGCCTTTCTTTCATCGCAGTTTCTTTTCCTGCCAGGTCGAGCAAAGCTCCAAAGATGGCTGTTGATAGCGTACATCATATCACAAGTGTGGTTCGTATTAGTTTCAACAGCTTCAATGATGTCCCTGCACAGGGTTTTGGTCACCTTGCAGACACCCTCGACACCTGCGCTGTGGGTTATCTGGGACATGATACTCCAGGTTCCAAAGCAACTCTGCGACGTTCAACGAAGCTGAAGAACCTCGAAATGATGTGTTTATGGACCTTTACCCTTGGGATCGCAAAGACTCATGAGGACCTCAACTGCTTCGTCGTATCTTCACCTAGGCTGAAAACAATCGAGTTCATCTGCTGGTATACCACCAAGCCGGTATCTGGAAATAACGGTCATAATTGGGAAACCTATTTTAAATGTTGCCTTGTTGGAAGTGTAGAAATCACCAAACACTCTTGACGCTTTGTCTCTCCATTTTTACCAAAGGATGCGAATTCTGGACCTTCGACCGCTCACAAAGGGCTTGCTTTACAGTGATCCGACTCGAAATCTCATCGAGAAACGAGATAGAGTTCTTCTCATGATATTTGCATCATTCGGGTTCTGAAATAGATTCCAAACCGTGGTTTCTGAAGCTGTCCGAGGAGTGGCTTTCAAGTTGGCCAATACAGAAACTTCGCAGACGCCGTCATTTGAACCAGCGCAAGTATATAGGATGTAGAGAAGTAGCATATGAACTGCCTGACTCTCTAACTTTTACTCGAAGTGTTCTCAAGAGCATCATGTATCGTTGCCGGTCTCAATGGGCACTGTTATTTGGTGCTGCCTCAAGAACTTGTCAATAACGGCTTGGATGATTTGTTCAAGAAGTGGAATCAGGATATCGATTCCGAGATATCGATTCCGAGAGGTGTTGCCACGGGTACATTCTGTATGTCTTGAATAAGAAGCGTTCTGAGTCATGCCCTCATGCGGCGTTACGTGGTGAGTTACGCTGTGCAAGGCTGTCTAACAAGGACTCGAGGCTTAGACACAAGTTCACAACCAGCTCACTAATAGAGCGGAGCCTACAACGAGCGCGCGGTTGGATCCCCATTGGGAAATCTAGCGGCCTCATGAACGTGGTGCAAATTGACGAACAGAATATCGGATGCGAGTAATGCTTTCAGAGTTTCTACACACCTCACAGTGCACTCTGACTCTGTAATTCCTCTATCCCGTTTACCCACCGCCCTCAGTAAACCCCCGGGATGATGGTCCACTTCCTCCTCACCTTCTCCTCCCCAAACTGCTCCACATACCACCGCCTGCCACTCCGCGCCCTCGGGAACATGACAAAGATCTCGTTCAGGAAGAACGCCCGCCCGGGAACGCTCCACCCGCTCGCCATCCAGAACCCGAACCACTCGACCCACTCGCAAAAGTAGTGCGGGAACAGCATGTACCGGAACAGCATCGCCTCGGGGATGCGGTAGTGCTTGTCTACGCTGACCTTGGCGGCGCCGTCCCGCTTCTGCTGCCTCGCGACCTTTTCCTGGCGCCGCTGCTCCGCCCGGCGGATCTCCCGGAGCTCCTCGTCGTGGAAGTAGTTGCCGGCGAGGCCGACGTAGAAGATGGCGATGCCGGCGACGAACTGCGCCACGCCGCCGAAGCCGAGGGCCTTGTCCCATTGGGACTGGGTGGTGGGGCCGTAGGCGGCGAGGTAGCTGCCCAGGCAGGTGCCGTTCATGAGCTGGAAGGACAGCGCGGAGAGGGCGACGAGGATGTGGATGGGCGACATGGAAGGCTGGATGATGGGGAAGATGACGGCGCGGTAGGCGTAGTGGATCGTCTGTGATGACTCGCTGTTAGCCGTGAATCAGGCCCAAGGGGATTAGAGAAGGGAGTTCGTACGAATAACCCAGCAAGCACTTTGTTCTGCCACGGCAGGTCATGGATCCCGACCTGCCCGGGCAAGGTGTTCATCATGTACAGCAGCGTCATGACGCCAGGGATCTCCATCAAGAACCACGCGACGCGGCCGGGGACGTTGAGGCGGCTCTGGACCGAGGTCTTGCCCATGCCGTACCAGCTCACGACATACTGCAGTGAGCCGAACTGTCGATCGAAACATGCATGTTAGCAGCGGTTCAGGGAGACGATGCGAACCGGAAAACCAGCAGGAAGAGAGGGGCATGGCCGACGTACCACGGGCCAGGAGAGCTGCCACACGGTCGTGATGGTCTCCCAATTTTCCCGCGTCGGCGGGAACCACCCCTCGATCAGAGACATGGTGGTCGATTCGTCGAGACGATTGAATGTTGAATACCGAGCAATGAGACCGTGTGGGGTTGGATAATCAATAAGAGTCCAGTTCGAGTCGTCCTGGCACAGTTCTCTGTTTGCGTGATGTCCCTCGAGCTCCGTGTCCCCCCACCGCGACACATGCAATGCGAGTCAATGACATCAAAGTACGGTAGCTCCGGGGCGGGAACTGGGACGACGACGCGTTGAACCCCTGCAGGGCCGCCCATGCTCCTGACACACCGCTTTTCCCCTCTGGGCATGCTGGCGGCGGGGTTCCTAAGCTAGATACCCTGCGAATCGGGAGGGTTCCCCATGTGCTCCTCTGTAGCTCCCCCTTGCAGATCCATTACAGCTCTGATTGGCGATGCGCAAACCTACTCGCCTCCTGGTCACGGTCCGGGGAAACGGCATTTCCATCTTCATAAGCTCTTTGATTCATCACTATTAATCCTAAGCCATGATTCCAACGCCATCCGCTGAAAGAAGATGTTTGTACAGGAAAATAGAAATTTGACTTGCAGCTCTGTTTCGCTTCGCTAAGAGGCGCAGAATATCCATGCCGCACGAAAAACCAGTGTCACAAAAACGCCCTTTTATGAAAGCGCCGAAGCTCTTCTTTCTTGCTGTCTTCACATGACGATGCAATCCCTTTCCCTCCCCCTTGCGAGCTTCCAACCGCTCCGCCAGGCCCCATTACCCGGCCTCGACCACCGCCCACCATCGGTCGAGAAGGCGAAAGCGGGAATGATGGCCCGGCGGCGCCATTACCGTGCCGCCCGACAGTTGGGCTACTTGCGTGATGATGAGGATGCCCAGGAGGCGGTTCGTACTTCGCTGCCGCCTGCGCCTGCTCGTAAGTGGGAGGGGCATCGTCCAACCCTTCGTCGGCTGGCCGGTTCACACCTTGTCGGCGTGCAGGGACGATCGGCGGCACAAGTGGCCGCACCAACTGAGGTGGTTGACCCGGCTGGCGGCCTGAGGACGGCGGAACAGTGGTGTTGCTGTTAGAATTGCGCCGGCTGCCTTGAGAGGCTGTCGAGTTGGCATTGCTATTGCTTCGTGCAGCGCCCGCTCGTACAGCCTGCCTGTTGGCAGAACGTCTGGTCGTGGGCCCTTGCTGCAAACGGGCCTGCTGCTCAATGTACTGTTCGCTAAGCATGCTCTCCCGTCGACGAGCAGACTGTTCCGCTCTATGGCGCTGTTCTTCCTCCTCCTGTAGCTGAAGAGCAAGCGCCAGATCCCGATCCTCCTGTTCGTGGTTGGGCGATAGTGGTGTTTCATCTCGCTGTGACGGCGCCTCAAGGTTCCTCTGACGGCCGCGGCCTTGCACAGTCGTCCAGTTTCCTCCGTTTTCATTCCCGGTGTCGATTCTGGGTCGGCTGGCGGCATTGTTGCGTACACTCGGCTGCCCCCGGGAGCTGCCTTGCGAAGGCTCGCCCTCGCCGCCCACAATGCGAAAATCGCCAGAGTAGTATTCGGTACGCTCGCCATTCACGTCAGCCAGCGATTCCCAGACAACTTCGTCGTGGGTAGCATAGCCCGCATCGGTGACGAGCACAAGCAGTTGATGTGTTGAAGGGTGCCGGTAGAGAGTGGAAAAGTGGTCGTTCCGGAAAAGAATGGCAAAGGACCCAGGCTTCATGGCTTTCGTGATGACTTCGAGGCCCGATGGCGTCAGCTGCGTCGCAGAAGTTTCTAGGAACGCTTTTATCGCCTGAATGTCTGAGTATATCTCCTCTTCTTCCTCCGTCAGCGTGCCCAACTTCTCCTGGAGCTCCTCGTCCCGAAAGAGGAGCGTCTGCACATCTTCAAACGAGGCAGCCTGGCGTTCGAAAGCAGCATAAGCCGGGTCAACCTTGGATGGCAGCCATCCGTGGATCAGCGGGATGGCGAAAGCAGCGTATAGTGCCATCTCCTTTGTATCTTCAAAAGTTCCAGGGATCAAGTCGTCGCGCTCAGTTGGATGCAGGTGGGTTAGTGAAGTGCGCTTGAAGGCCTTGACAATCTCAGGAGTCGGGACGAAGCGCGGATTGACGTTCATGCCCGTATGGAGCCCCTTCAGGAATTCGTAAAGCAAAGAAACGTCGGGTAATGACTCTTGCGTTCTCCTCATAAGCTCATCGACAACGGCGTCCAGCAAATACCCAAGGCTGATCTGTTCCCGAGAGCGGAGGACCTGAACAAGTGCCGTATCTGATAGAGATGGCGGGGTCGTCAGCGTAAGCGCGTTGACCAGGGCTAGCAGCGGACACGGCCCGTTGGCGTTCTGCACGAGGATGGGCGAGACCCGCGGGTTCTTCTCAGCGCTGTGATCGTACCAGGCGATGTTCTTGATCTGGTAGGTCTCGGACTTGCCGTCGACGGGGCGTGGTGGCTGTCGGGGCGGGAGTTCTTCGTCATTTCGTGGTGGTAAGGCTGGAGGTGCCTTTTCATCTGTAAACTGCTGAGACGCCTCATTGCTCTGCTCAGTTACCTGCGACCTGCCCGGCGGCGGGCCAGCAGGCGGTTCAACATCAATGAGGTTCCAATCGTCCATGGGAGCGTCCTCGACGGTGGGAGGGGGTACGACGGGGGCGGAAGCTTTTCCTTTGCCCTTGTTCTGTGAGCCAAGGTCATCCCATGCATGCTGGTCTTGGGCAACATCGTTGTTGATCGGTTGCGGTGACTCTGCCGGCTTCTTCGTCTGGTTCTCTGGCAGCTCGTCCCACGCCGGCGAGGCAGGCTCCGAGGGCAGAGACAACAACGCCGGGGATGTTGATATTGCGGGCAGCTTCGGGTCTTGAGAAGTAGCCCAGGCATTGCGTTCCGATTCTCCGCTGTCCTGTGTGCGCAGAGACTGCTGCGCGCTGACGACGGCGGCTTTTTGGGCATGCTGGTCGAGAGCTGGTTGCCACGGGTTATTGCTCATCTCGCCGGTGCTCATCTGCGACAAAGGTTGCAGCGGGGGCATTGCCGGGGGGCTGTTGGCCGGCGGCGACGTTGAGTTGGAGTCAGCGCGAACGTCCTTCCTCTTGAATGGATTTGTATCGGATCGTGCAGGCGGTGGCCCCGGCCGCAGCACCAGCGGAACGCCGTCTGGGTCGGTTGTTGGCACGGCGGCGGTTGGTGGCCGGCTGCCTTCGACATCGTCCCAAACACCGTTGCTCATCTGGGGACCATGTGTGGCAACCCCCCCGGGCTTCAGCGATTCGGGGACATCTTGCGACGTCATTTGCTGGTTCAGGGCAGCGGCGCCCTTTTGCTGAGGAGCATCGTCCCAAACACTCCCTGCGTCGGTCGACGGGGAGTCGGTGGCACTCCATAGCTCCTTTCGCATGTCTTGTACGCGCGGGACGGCGTTGGTGTCGACGTAGGCATCGTCGGAGACGGGCTTGCGGGTAACCATGTCGACGAGGGTCCCGAGGTCTCGGACTGGAGGGTATTAGATGTCTTCGTAGGAGAGCCGTTTGCTCGTCGCAAGCTAGCAAAAAGACGAAAATGCGCAGCTCAGAGTGTCGTCGGATTGCGGAAAATGGGAATGGAAGCAGTTGGAGCTGCAGGCGGGGTTGGGATCGTTCGGCAAGCGGGCTGGGCGAGGTAGTGAGATTGAAGCTCCAGGAGGTGTCGTCATTCGGGTGGGCTGTTAATAGCAAACCTCTGGATTATTGCAAGCAATCAGCTGCCCGAAAGGGTATAAAACGGCCACCAACAGGGTCCCGGGGACCGTTGGGAGGGAGAGTTAATCAGGTGGCTTGTCTCTGTTCCCCCGGCCTCTTGGGAAGCTGACAACGACAGGCGGCCAAAAAGAATGAAGCAAAATGTTTTGGAGGGTTGCAGGAAGATTGGCACAACTTTGGTTTGGGGAGGAAGAGAGAGTGAGGGTGAGAGTGAGAGTCTGAGAGTCTGAGCCTGCTGCAAGTCAGAGGAACCTGGAAAGCGAAGCAAGCCAAGACCACCCTGTGCACCAGCTGCGGGCGGCGGCGGCAAGAGCAAGCCCAGCGCAATTGCAGTGGAATTCAGAGGCCCACGCAACGCAACGCAGCGCAGTACCTACACAGGACATGGACATGGACGAGTGGCGGTGCGCCTTCCCCCCCACCACCAATTGGAGGTGCAGACGGGTAAGCTGGAAAAGGCACAATGGTGTACGTATCTGATTCCGCGCTCTTTCTTGGGGGTTATGTTTACTCCTTTGAACAAGACTTCATTCAATGTTCAGAAACTTAGAGCCGGGACGCAGCTACCGTGACTCGACTGGACGAAGGCGTTTTGAGACTCGAAACGAGACACGCTGTTCGCACCCATCGCAGGACAAGTTTCAACAACTTTTGCATCGAACTGCTACGACCGCTTGACAGCTTCCCTCGAGCTAGGACTCGACCAAGTGGGCCGCTGGACGCAGGCCGGGCGGCACAAGCACCTCGAGTTACGCGGACAGGGAACCGCAGCAGCAATCAACACTCCCTGATAGAGCTCACGTTACGGCCACTGACGGGCGACCAGCGGCAATTGTCTACAGTAGAGGGCTGGCTGCCCGCCGCCATTGCCGTGGGAAGATCCCTGGGTGCCCCGAGTCGTGGAAGGGGACGAGACGGGGGCCGCCAGGCAACAGGATACGGGGCGCCTCAACGTTGCAGGAATCATATGAGACCTGGGCATGGAGAAGGACTGGCGCCCGCCTCATTTCACGGCGGCTACCTGCAATACCGCCGGACGAAGGCAATGCACAAAAACATTGACCTGGTTGGGGGAGGATTTGCATGGTGACGACGACAACAACCTCACGGCTTATTCACCCGTGATTCAATGCGCCCTCGAGCAGGTACTTCGCCATGAGCTACGGATTGAGTGGGAGCTTCACCCGCCGAAGCTTGCGCGTCCACTCACCATTACGCCCACCCACCAGCCACCCGCTTGTCTGAAGCTCAGCTGGCGGCGTCGCGATACGGAGAGGTGACTGGAAGAGCCACCACAGATGAGTGTGCAGCAGATCCGGAAAAGAAGAGCCTGACCTTGGTCCTGATCAGTTATGTAACGCCCGAGTAAAAAGACTGTGGGAACACAGAACATGGAAGAAACGATACCCCCCGTCGGCCGATGACATGAGGCTGTGGCGCCGGATGTCACAGCCACATTGGAAATATGCGTACTCGCCAGTCTGACCCACACCTCACACTTCCTCCGCGTCCAGCCACTCGCTACTCATGGGTAGCCCCCGCGCAATGACGCAGCGGGTCCCCGCGGTGCTCCGTGCCCGAGACTTTTCGGACAGGGACAGACCCCGCGTCGCCGTCCGTCGTCCCCATTCCCAACGGGGAGCTCTTCTAACAGCCCATTACCAGCACACTGAGGTGCACGCGTTAAGGGCTGGCTACCGACGCTCGCCCAAGCATCCGTACACGCATAGAGCCCTCACACATCATCTGGCTCTCAGCCCTCTTCGATTCCAAAGAGGCCCGAGCCTCCGTTTCAAGACGGGGCCCATGACGGGGAGAGGGCCACACCCGGCTTAGGCCATGTGGTGGAGGGCTAGGTCCCGTTCTGGAGCTCGCTCTACTATGTACGAGCCAACAATCCGTCGTTCATGGTTCATTGGATCCTTGAAGAGCTGGGCCCGTCGGGCATGAACCGGTCTAGCATAAATTTCCTTTCAAAGCATTTAGGGGCGTTAGTAAAGGACTGGACGATACTTGCCCACATGAACCTTGTTCGAATCGATGTCACTCGATTTCCCTCGATGCCCGATCCGTCTCGGCACCGCTTTCCTCGAACACGTTCCATACCGCCCGTTCGTGCGGCAATGGGACGGTTTGACGCTAGGGATGTGTCCGCACATGCTTGCTCGGACACACATAACACATCTTTCTATGCTTCGATCGTGATCCTCACACCACCCTTCTCTCTTGGCATCTTCAACTTGTCTTGTTCAGAGACGGAACGTTGGCCTACATCTCACTCAGGACACCGGTTCTGAGTAATGACAGAACCTTGGACCGCAAGGGATACGCGGTTGGCTAAGGTCTCCGTTCTGCGCGATCTGAACCTTGAGCAAACCTTTCATTCTCTTATTTCGACTCTTGACCCCGGCGTGCTGTCGCGGCATCCGATCCGTATCTTGCGCCATCATGCCTAGCTGTCATGGAGAAAAGGTAGGGAAATGGCACGAAATCAGCCCACCTGGCCATTGTTCGTATTGGCATCCGGGGGTCCAAACTTTAGTCCGAACCCTTTCCGGTCCGAATGCTCCGTCGCTCCGGCGCCCATATCGACCTCACAGGACGCGTATGTTGATCCAAGAAAGTACGGAACACATATGATGGTTAAGCAACGACTTCCTGAGAGATGGAATTGCAAATGAAGTGCGATTGATACTGCGGCCTCGACTTGGCAGCTTTAACATCAGCACAATTGATCCTGTAGCTACCTCAGCCTTGGACAACATTGTCCAGCACGACCCAGCCCTGAACTCGTACGAAAGGTCAATGGGAAGCCTGGTCCGAATAGCTTTGGAATCATCTACTAGCATTCACGTTCTTCAGACCAGAATCAAAGTCGTTCAATTACGAAGGCGCCATGCAATAACCCCTTGGATTTTCCTGCCGCAGCTGGGCGGCCACAGAGGTGCGTTTTCCTCAGTGGCACCATCGAAGAAGAATCTGCTCCAAGAAGCCGGACATAATAGTTGCTGTGGTGGACCCATTCTCAAGGTTTCGACGTCCAGAAGCTCAATGATGTCAATGTAATCCCCACGGTTCTGTTTCTCGTAATGGGAGCATCATTCTAGGCCAAGTCCCATGTTTGTTTCCTCCAGACTCTTCTTCACCGTACCCTTTATGGACAGGATATTAGCAACATATAGCAATATAACCTTATCAGCCAATTACCAGCTGTTCATGATGTATAACTGTAACATTGCCTCCCGAAAATGATCCCTTAGTTGTCGTGGGGAACTACGAGCGCACCGTGAAAGCCCACAAACTCCCAACAACACGATCGAGGTAGTAGGCGGGAAGAAGTTCTAAGAAAAGTCCTGGAACCCAGAGACTTCTACACCTCGGGCTATGAGTGACTGCCAAACCCAAGCTGTCAGTATGTTTTCGCCCGCGGCGACTAGCCTTGTCAGGTCGACTTCCTCCTTCGGGTCGTCCCAGTACACAAAGGTATACGATTCTATAAGGGGTTCGGGAAAGTAAGGATAATATGTGTTTGACCCGGGCTCATCAAGCCGTTTCCTCTTACAGAGCATCCACGATGGCTCAAACGACGGACAGAGATTCAAGGCGAGAGACGAGGAGAATCATGTAAATCACACTTTCTAGGCAGCACCGCACCTGAACTTTCGCCTAGGAGACTTGCACGACGCTGTTGACCATAAAAATGACGGACCCGAGTGACGAGGAGTGTGATACAGAATATATAGAATATTGTGTCGCAAAAGAGAAAATGCCCTGACACGGATTTCCAACAATGCTATGAATCTCATCTCTTCCTGAGAACGCCCAATTAGACCAGGGAAAAAGCCCTCTACCTCATCCTCACCTCCCTTTCGACCGGCCATTTCTCAGCCGACCCGCATGAAATACTCCCAATTCTTATACAGCCCTTTGGGGGGTACACATCCACCTCTCGATTAAGTCTACTATGACCTCCCCACGCGGAACGTCTCCAGCCTCTTACACGACGGCATCTCAAACGCATCGGCCTGGCGCATCTTCTCCGGGTCCTGGAAGAACCACCCGCTCGCCGAGTCGTACATGCGCTGCCTCGCCATCAACTCGTTCTCGCACTCGAACCGCAGCGTCCGCACCAGGTTGTTCTCCGCCGTCTGGTCCAGCTGGCTGAGCTTGCCCTTGGTAAAGCTCTCGACCTCCTTGGGGTTGACAAAGTACTTGACGTTCAGCTTCGGCGTCGTCCGACCCAGTGTGTTGGCGCCCTTGGGGCTGTCGTAGACGATGCTCGGCGCCACGGGCCCGCCGCCGCTAAAGAGGCTCGAGATGAGCGGGAACACAAAGAGCAGCAGGATCGGCAAGAGACCCATGAGCGTCGACAGACCGCCGCCCTCCTGCTCCGTCGCCTCGCGCGGTCTCCTCCGCGGCCTCGCACCGCCAAATTGGTGTACCCTGACTCCTGGCCCGCCGCCAAAGTTGAAGACAAATTGAGGTCCTGTGTCGAAGCCACCTGCATATCGCCATTAGCATCTCTAGGTCTCTGGTCACGCAAGTCGCAAGTCTCACCTCCTCCAAACGGACCTCCGCCAAACCCACCGCCGCCGCCGCCGAAGAACCGTTGGAACATCTCCTCGGGCGTCATCTCCTCCATGCCTCCGCCTCCAAACCCACCACCACCTCCTCCTCCGCCTCCGCCGCCGCCGCCTTGCCGTCTTCCGAACCCGCTGAACGGATTCTGCGCCTGTGCCTGTCCGAACCGCGAGTCCGGGTCCGTCCCGAAGCGGTCAAACTTCTCACGCTTCTCCTTGTCGCCCAGCACGCTGAAGGCGCGGCTGACCATCTTGAAGGCCTCGTCGGCGTGTTCGTGGCCGTTCTTGTCCGGGTGCGTCAGCAGCGACTGCTTGCGGTACGCCTTCTTGATCTCGCTCTCGGTGACGGTCGTCTTGACCTCCTCGAGGCCGAGGATGTCGTAGAAGGCCGTCGGCGAGCACTTGCGGATCCGCAGCACCGCCGCCTTTTGTTCCACCGTATATGTGCGGCCCTGGTTGCCCTGGTTGTGCTCGCGGCTGCGAGCGCTGCCGCCCGCGTCGGCACCCGAGGCTGTTGCGCTCGGCATGGTGCCGGGGATTTAATTTTTGCGTTGAGGTAGGTGTCTGTTTTGTTTCTGTGGTGTTGGTTGCCGGGGCAGATCGAGGGGTAGCTATCGAGTCGGCGGAATTGAGCAACAAGTGCGAACAGAATTTTGCGGGATTAATACCTGTTCTGATGTGCTGTGGTTCGCCAATAGACTTTTTGTGGTCGTGATGCGCAGTCGTCGGCCGATGCGATGTTGATTGGCGGCTTTCTGCCAATCTGTCAAGATAGGCGTTGCAAGGCTGGATGGAGCCTCCGGATGGATAATTCCCCCGCACCTGACCAGCTAGCTACACTGGCTCGACTCGACGCCGGTGAATCAGAGAGCGCTTCCTGGTGGAAAACGCAGACAGTGGTCGTAGGTGGGTGATTTCGTGCAGTCGATAGCCGGGGAACCAGGGAACCGCGTTACGTCGCAAGAAACGGGAAGAAGGTCGTAACGTCCCTGCCAGAAATGGAACAAGACACTCTGCAGTTGTTCCAGCCCACTCGACAGTCGTCGAAATTGACAAGACCCCCGACGCCCCGGAACTACGGACCAGATGATTGGATGCTGCTCAGGCTTACTCATCCGAGCAGGGGCCCAGCCTTATCGATAAGCCACGTCACCACATGGGGAAAGTCGCTTGCACTTGGAGCTAGCTCTGGGCTGCTCCCCATGCGTTCAGAGGGTCGACGCCAAAAAATCAGTGACGATATTCCCACTGCTCCATCAGCCCAGTCTTTGCGCCAGCGGAATCGGTCAACCAAGAACCCACGACAATGGCGTCCAACAATGGCGGACCCGACACTGAGGACGTAAAGTCCTCTATCTTTAGCAAACTCCACGACTATGGCAGTATGCACATCCGCCCTTTCGCTTTCCCCCCTCCAATCTCTCCTCTGCGTCCACTAACACCTTCACCCTCGCCAAATAGCAAACCCCCTCCCGCCCGCAATCCACGCGATCCTGATTGCCGCGCTGCACGGCCGCCCCCTCAAGATCCTCCCGTGCTCCTTCGCGCCCGCCCTACTTTTCAGCAGCTACGTCAACCTCGCCGGCTTCCCCACCGACAGCGCGGGCTTCACCTGCGCCCTCTCGGGTTTGTACGCCCTCCTCGCTCTGCGCCGCCGTCAGCCCCTGCGCAGCAAGTTCACCGCTCGCGGCCTCGTCCGCGGCACCGCCATTGGCATGGGCTTCGCCAACTCGGCTGCGGGCGCCTGGGTCTACGCCAATGGTGACCGCAAGAAGGACGAGGCCGAGAGGAAGGAGAGAAACCGCTGGGGCGGCGAGGCGTAAACTCACACGAAGAGACGGACAATAGCCCAAACATGGGAGGAAGGAGGGGAGCGTTTCATCCGGTTGGCTTACAAGATCCCAATGGACCTTACTCGGGGCACTGGTCTTGGCTCGGCTGGAGTTGAATGAAGACAGAAACGCCAAGCCAAGGTGAAGAGCTGGGGTTTGAAGAGATCGGAGATGTTGTACGATTTTAGGCGATATCTGCCATACATCGAAAGACATCGAGTCATGAGACGATCATCGACACGCGAAACGGCGACATCTGGGGATGGATCGACACACTGCATTACTTTGAAGCGCTCGGAGCCAATGCTTAACACGAAACTAGCATACAAGGGAGCCAGGTCCTTGTTAATAGGGTTATGTATAATACTGTAGAACCATCTCATAAACACACACGATGAGTGACGGCTGCCGAGGGCCTTAATTGTTGGCATAAAACAGAGTCTCTTTGCTCTGGAGGTGATCAGTTGCGCGCCTTACTAGTTGTACAATGCAGTAGAAGGAAGCCTATACACAGCAAATGCCTATTGCGGTGGCCCCAAAATATCGAGTTCAACGCCAAAAGGAGACACCTCAGCTCTTGATGAGTCTCCGGCTTCTGTCTATCAATACAAAGGAAAATTATTAAATGCAGTGGGCGTCCCGGCCCCAACAGTCAATGCTGCATCCAGGGGCTGTCCCAAGTACCAAACTTTTTGTGACCGTGTTTTCTTTGTTCCTTTTCATGTACTGCGACTGCGACTCTCATGTCTGGTCGCCCATCCTCTCACCGGTGCTGTATCTAGCCTCTCCCCGTTCGTCTTTACTGGTCTTCTTCCTCGAGTATCTGTGTAAGGTATCGTTGCTAGGCAATGGGGCCCATATTTCTTCAGGAAAGGTGTTGTGCCGTGCTGCTCCACCAAGTTCAGACTTCGGCAAACATCCGCCCAATGTCGCCAAGAATCATGCAAGGATCAGAGAGTTGTGACCGCCGGAGAAGGTCACCTCACGTCTTTGACTCGTCTGGCCGTGGTCTGCATTCTATGGCCAGAGAGCAGCCAAACAAAGATGACAAAGACACTAAACAGCGTCACCCGGACAAAGTGCCGGATCCGAAACCGCATATTCGCATCGTGAACGAACAAATTTGACAGATCCGATAGGTCAAAGTCGGTAAGATACTTAATATCGCAGTCTCTGACCTTGGGCTCGGCGTATGTCCTGTACTCGTCTACAATAGTGTTAAGCTCCCAGCCCGTCACCTTGCGGACCACGCCAACAACACACCCAGTGCGGTGCTGTAGTCAAGTTAGTGAATGAGAGTGAGATTGAGATGGTATTTGGGTGCACGTACCTTGCCGTGGTTGCAGTGGATGAGTAACGGGTGGTGCTCGCGATTGAGAACCAGCCGCAGGATGGCCTTCATTGTCCGAATAGGAATGGCCTCCTTCTTTGTGCCCTTCATGTTGAACACATGGTGACGGATGCCGTTGCCGGACATGAAGGCCGTGTAAGGCTCATCGACATCATCCTTCTGGACGAGGGTGCTTTCGAATTGGTCAGCATTGGGGTGTAAGAGAAATGTGAGTAATCAAGGATGACTTACACAATCGACTTCAACCCAAGATTCCGAATGAAGCCGAAATCCTCGGGTTTAGGATAGCTGCTGCGGTAAACGCCTGGGACAACTACACCAAAGTTGATGGGTCTCCCGTCAATGGGCAGGACTCGCTCGATGACAGAAGAAATTGGCGAAGCCATGGGTGGTTTCAGCCGGTCGTCAAAAACTTCCAGACTATCCTCGCGCCGCGCCGGAACCTTCTCTCCTAGAACGGCGGCCTTCACGTCTTCCACCACCATGGCGACTTGCTTCTGTACATGAACGTCAACCGCGGCGTCGGGAGCGGCCACAGACTCGCGCGAGCCTTGTCGTGAAGGGCCCTTGGCCTGGTACTTGTCGGCCAGCTCGAGGGGAGCAGGGTCTTCTTGCTTGGAATTGCGTCTTGTCGGGCGGTAGGTGGGATCTTCTTCTGGGTGGCCGCCCTCGTCCTCGAGGAAAAGCCTTGTACTTCTTTTGGAGACCATCGCAACAGCCATGTTGAGTGGTTTTGTGTAATTGGCTGGTATAGGCCTGGCAGAGAGATGAGTCTTGCTCGCGTGACTATTTAGGATCGTCGAATGATGTATTTCGGGGTTCGTGGGGCGATAGAGTTCAGCGCTCGGAGGAAGGTTAAGAAAGGGTAAGAGGTCGTGTGAGCAGGTCTGAATAGTGGGTGATTCAGTTGGTTCAGAACGTGTTGAAAAGCGTGTAATCGTTTCATGGGTTTCCTCCCGTGGGACAAGAGGCAGTGTTGAAAAATCGTCCCTTCGCGTGTCCTTACAGAGGACAGGCGCAGACCTGACGGACGGCAAGTTGGAAATTGAGGTCCATCTTGTCGAATGCGCGTGTAAGGGTAGTCAGTATGGCTGATGATGTCTCAAGCGGGCGACGGGTGGTGTTGCTCGGAGGGACCCTCGGTGATGAATTTGGACAAGCCGGCCGTGGAAGCGAGAGTGCGTGTGCAGTCGGTATTGGTTGTGGGAATGAGGCAGAAGTAAGGGAAGAGGGAAAAAGGGCCCTGGGCGCACGCGGGAGGAGCGGGTTAGTAAATGAGCATCGTAATGTAATGGGGTGTGGGATGGAGGATCCGCGGCGCGGTGGTGGTGGAAGTGGGTGGGACGTGGGTGCGGCGGAGAGGAAGAAGCGTGGAAGCACAGGTGCAGTGCTCCGTCGTAGACGCAGTACTACCAGAGTGCCTTACTCTACAGGTGAAGGGTGGATGACGGGTAGGGGAGTGGGCGTAGGTACCTGAGATGTTGCTTGGCTTGGCTTCGTGGGACTGCTTGGCTAAGACGAGATGAGGTGAAATGGGGAGATCTGCCTTGGGGGGTGTCTCAGGTTCAAGGTCCAAGTATTGGTCGAATATTGGAAGAGGAAAGAGAGGGGAGAAGGACGACTTAGATGGGGGAAGAGAGAGACAGCCACTACGGAGACGGACGGAGGGGGGCAGGCAGGACCAGGAAAAGAGTAAAGGAAGCACGGGGACTTTCCTGAGTGAGGGTTGAGGTACTGGCAATTTACTCTACATGTGTTGTTGGGCGAGCATACAGGTACTGGGTGTGGGGTGGTGGTGGCATCACTGGGGAAAAGAGACACGGAAGTCTACATAACGTAGTACATACATACAGCTTGACAAAGCGAAAGAGAACGAGGGACGAGAGCGCCACAGAAGCCTGGCCCAAGTTTCAGACGGCCGGGGAAAAGTACAGCACAACGAGGGAAAAAAAAACACAAGAAAAAAAAAGGCACTACAAGGGACAATGCAATGCACAAAGTGACATGCCTACCTAGGCTGTGGGGTGGGCTGGACCCGGCCACCCACTCGCGTCCGCTGCAGTCCTCAGGCCAGACTGTCGGAAAGAGAAAGAGACTCGGCCGCCTGAATGACCATCATGTACTATGGTGTGATGGGTAAGTCTTTTACCCACAACAGGTAGTTCTTGGCTTTGACCCCACAGCCAGCGAGGATTCACAGCCCAACTGGCTGAACAGTCACCTAAGTGTGCGAAGTACCAGTGCTTAGATCTGCCTGCTTGCAAGCCACAAGATACCTGACAGGGGTAAAAAACTTTGGCCTGATACCATAGTACCGCTCCTCTATGAATGGTTGGGAGGATACTCTCCAGCTGAGTGTGGGGGACATCTGCATGGACACGCCCACTAAACCACAAACAAACAAGGTGCAGACCTAGGGAGGGGCAGCCCACTGAACCGCACTTTGTAAGCTTTGGAGCCACTGCAGCCAAGCTGACCTGGAGAGGCCGTCGTCAGGGAAGGAAGAAAGGAGTTAACGGAGGAAGGAAAAGGTACGTATCTTTTCTCTAGGTATTCCTTAGGCAAGACACCTGTGTTTTTAGCACCGGCTCGGGGAGCAGGGAACATCGGTACGTACCCAGCCTTCTCCGGTCTCCCATCCACGATGTACTCCGACAGGCAGGTACTCTGTAGTGTATGCACAAGGACCCGGGGTCACTAAATCCATGGAGGAGCAACACGACACTAACACCGAGGGGAATTCAACGTCAACATCACAACTTGCATCAACCCGGTAATTGGGGAAGTTGGAACCACCCGCTGGCCGCGCAACGAGACGCGAAGAAGGAACATCAAACTGTCCCAGCGGTCCCCAAACCAGACCCCTCAACGTCTGCCACGACGGACGGGTGGACTCAGTTGACAACTGTGCCAGAGACCGCCAAGCGACCGACACATGGGGACCAACAACGACGCAACGAGACCCTCTGACTGGAGAGCAGAGGCACCGTCGGCGGCGATCCGACCACGACGCAGCCACAGATCGGCAGGCGAACACTGACGCTCAGCCACCGAGAGAGGAAGGCGGCGGCGGCCACCGATCTCTGCGCGCGCGCCTCTCTGGAACCTGCAGAGCCCGCAGACACCAGACGCCGGACCGTCATCTACTGTCATCCAGGTCTGCCGCCGCTTGCTTCAGCCGTGGGTGGTTGGACCTCCTTTCCTTTGAGCGAGCGAGGAACTCGATGATACCGTCGCTTCTTGGAGAGCTTCCGTCTTCCGCGAGTGGCGGTTTCTAGCCCAACCGAGTGTCCGTCATCCATGCTGCCTACTACACACACGGTACCAACCGCTGCCGCACGCGACGTACGTACTCTCGCGGATGTACACCAACTTCCCCCAGACTCGTTCGGCGTCGCGTCTGAGGAAAAACACGACTGGGCACGCTGCAACAGTCACTACTTCCTCGTAGCTAGTACTGCGTGTTGTAAACGACGGCCTCGGAGGATAGGGATTCTCCAAATCCGACCGCATCCACGAACAGGCGCGTGGTACACCACAGCTGTTCTCCAAGTTTAGTTCATTCAGGGGGGGTGTCGTCCTGCAGTACCTAGGCGGCTGGGGCGCTCTCACTCTGTCTCTGCATCGCCCATCTGGTCATCTTGCGTTTTTGTCGTGGCATCTCAAGAAGACTGCAGCCAGTTGGATCGCGTGAGCCACGACGACAGCCTCGTCCTTCCGCCGATCAACCAGCCCAGTCCTTTCCGTCTCTTGACAGGTGCGGGTGCAATGGGAAACCCCACGCCACTTGCTAAGAGCCGCAGCATCCTCGACTATGGATGAGATAGCCCAATCCACGGGGCCCGTCTCTCGCCTCGCCTTGCTTCGTTTCAACTCCTCACTTGTACAGATACCACCTCACCTTAATTCCGGTGCTACCTGGCGTTGCAAGATTATATCAGTCCAAGAAGTCGTAACAAGACGTCTGCTACTCCGCTCTCAGGTCCTGTCGGCCCTCGTCGCCATTCCAGAATCCCCTTGGACGGAGAAAAATGACCGCCGCCGCGAATCAGCAGACAGTCTCCCTCTGTCATCTGACGTCATCTTCTCTCGGTGCAGCCATCATCACGCGAAAACCTTGCGCTCAGTTTCACCCGAGCGTGTCGTAGTACAAACTCGCCGCGGCTTCAAGAGGTGCAGCATGATGATGATGATGATGATGATGCGAGATTACGTAAGCAAGGTGAGGAATGCCACCACAGTGCCTTGGGTCCTGTACCGCACCACTGGTACCTACCGTCAGTGACCACCAGAAAAAAGAAAGCATGGAACCAGCCTTTTGTGTTCCATTTCGTTCCCCAGCGACGGCGCATTACCTACCTCACCTGCCCTCGCTTCACCTTGGTTGCGCCTCTATCACGAAACCGGTGACGCTGCCAACCTAGCCATTAAGGAAACCTGCCTTGCCTCTCGCTCTTTCGGCTCTGGGCCCCAGAGTATTATCAAGTGGCCACTCGGATACCGGCACAGCGAATGCGCCTGGTGCACAAGTGCTGCGTGCACCAAACAGCAACATAACGTACATCGTGCTCGCGAGATTTATTGACTGGCCCCCACGTTCCACTCGGAGGACTAGGCTGATATCACTCACCGAAAGCCTCACCCCTTCACCCTGCCGCCGGACCAACTCACCTTTTCGGCACCGAACAAATTGTAAATAGAAAAAAGGTGACAACCGGCCTCGCGTTCCTACGGCTGACCAGGTACACTTCCGCGCGACAGGACCAGGCAAGCCCGACGACAGGAACCATTAATCCAGTGGTGGTTGTGGCCCCGCGGCCCCACCACGGAGGGCACCTCAGTATATGGTTTTTTTTTCTTTTCTTCATCAATATTCATCTGCATCATCCTCGTGTGTGCCACTGCCCGCAGGCCGTCGGCGAAATTCCACCCAAATTTCGGACTTGTGCCCCAGAAGGCCCTAACAGGATCAGAGTTCAACGGGGTGCAGCAATGCAGTATTAGAACGCCAAACTTGGGAGACCCCATTCCACTTCCACTTTCCCCTGTCAACGACCTACCGTAATCCAGTGGGCCACCTGCTGGGGGTGGCCAACGAGGAGAACCTCGCCCCGAAGTTCGCGCCGAGCCTTGCTTTTTGAACTGTGCGCAGTCCAGGCAGCTCGGCCGCGTGACATTGAGCGATTGCCGACGTGATGGGCGTGCCTCTGGCGCCGCACTAAGGCCCCCTCCGTCCTGCCCGCGGCACCGTCTGTCCTACTCCGTGGGTTCTAGCGTGGCCCGTAGCGTCGGTCTGCTCGGAAGCTTCATCAGCCTCTCTCTCTCCCTCCCCAATCTGGCATCTGACAGCAAGACTACCCTGACTTGACAACAGTCCAACGGCTCCGGGTTGGCCGAAGCAACCCCCTTTAGCTTCCCAATGTGGTGTCATGCAGGGTTGCCAAACACACAGGTGGATGTAGCTTCGCTTTCCATGAAGATGGGAACCAAAGAGTAGACAGCGTGAAATGCCGGTAGCGTGCATGGCCAATAAAAAGGTTAGGTGGGCTCTATTCCATCCACTCGCCCAGGCGCCCGACTACTGTTCGACGCCCGTCGATATACCGTCCCCAAATCTATACCTCTTTTAAAAAAAAAGAAAAAAAAGGAGGAAAGCAGACCGATGGACGGACGCGGCCCTCTGTCGTACAACCCATCGCGCGCCGCCCAGATGTGGTCTGCCTCTCGATGCAGCCCTATTCCATGTTTTACAACGCCGGTGAACAAACGCCAATCAGTGCTTCGTGTTACTCATCTCATATATTTCCCACAGGTCCCATGGTGCCACTTCGCTCATGTCCTCCCGTCTTCGCTCTCTCTCTCACTCAGCAAGCCGCATTCCACATCTCGTGCGCAAGCATCGCGCCAATGACAGAAGCGCCTTGCACACTCGACGTCGGCATGCGGTTTCCCCATATCTGGAGCGCAAAGTGACATGCCACCGCCAGCTCGCCGATGCCCAACGACGTATTGATGATGGATGCCCAGCTGGGCGTCTTCTCGTTGCGCATGTCCTTGATCGCGTCGCCTGTGAGGTGAATGGCGATGGCCATGTTGAGGACCATGGCGCCAAACATCACGTCCCGACTGTACGGATATGACGCAGAACTCGCATGGATCCACGCGCCGAAGAGGATTGCCAAGGTGAAAACGTCCAGCAGCCGGTTGTTGCGTAGACCACCCGTTCTTGCCGAAGGCCCCGAACTTGTATGCTCGGCGTTGTTTCCCGATTCGCCGTTCTCCCCCTCCTCCGGTTCGTCTTGGCTCAGCGTGAAGCTTGTATTGAGCAGATCGGCCAACGAGCTTCGCGGGTCGCTTGGATTGGACGCCGAGGGCGCAAAGAACTTGGGCTGTGCGAATGCCACCTTGCTCGCACCCCTATTTTCGTCATCTGTGGGCGCGCTTGTCCCGGACGCATTCGGGTTGCCGATGGAGAATATTGACTTCTTTTCGACCGGTTTCGCGAGTATTTTGGGGCCGTTACGAAGCTTTTGCGCGGGCGGAATCGGTGCGGGAGGCACCTTGTACCAGAACGGGCTGGAGTTCGGACCTGGATCAGGCTGGCCAAACACTTGGTTCGGTGCCTTTGGAGGCCCAAAATCGTTGAATGCGCGGTGCTTTGATTGCGTGGGAGACCAGTCCATTTCTTCCGCGTATTGCGGCTGCGCTGGTTTCTGCGGTGTCCCTAAGCCAACATTGCGGGCGCTCGATCGATGCTGCAATTCCCGCTGAAAAAGTGCCGGTGAACCAGAGCCAACACTGGTTGGACTTGGGGGAATTCTCGGCCTTGGGCTAGACTCGGCCAAAATATCGTCCAAAAGGTTTGCCATATTCTTGTTGTCATCCTCACGGTGGTGTGGTTGCTGTTGCTGTGGTCTTGGTGGTGATGCCATCGGCGTGCTGGTCGTCTGAAATAGCGGCGTCGTGTCGATGCGTACAGACCGTTGAGCGAGGATGTATATCTGAGGTCTGGATTAGCAATGTCTTTTGCCAGTAGAGACTGATCATACTCACGGCCAGCATGAGAACCGCCATCAAGCCGTGAAGACTGATTTGGGCGCTCCCTTCAGTTGCGCGGTCCCCTTTAAGCTCGGCCATTCTCATGGCCAAGAACCTCGTAAACAAGATCAGTCCTTGAAATGTGTACCAGTGCGAAAGCCCGAGGATGTGCCGTGAGAAGCCACGAAACACCTGGACGAACTTGGGATTCCACCAGATGCTGACGGCATTCGCCCACAAGCTCCAGTGTATCAGCCGCTCGGGGCTGGGAAGAAGTAATGTCAAGGCAACATAGAGCCTCTGGGCAATTGTTGTTTCGGCATCGGGGTCTCGCATCGGACCTTCGTCCATCTGTGTCGCAAAGACGACTGCCAGGGAGGCAACATGCCACATGTATTGACACGCAATTCCCCCGAACCAAAGCCATTTTCCCACCTTCGACGCGATGTCCAACGACGTTAGTTCCTTGGGGACGACGCGATTCTTCCGGCTCCTATCCATCATGCGCCGCAAGTGGTCGGTTCTGGCTGTGTATCCTGCTTGGTCCAGCTGGGCTTGAACTTTGGGCTCGCATTGAGCGCAGATCTGAGGATATCGCTGTTCGAGTCGCCGACGGAATTTGTACATGTTCTTCTCCAGTTCAGCATAGTCGGGGTGGTCGGGGTCTTCAGGCAGATATTGCGCTAGGGAGCTGGTGAAGAGGTGCTGGTTCTTGAGACATGTCGGGCAGAAGATGCTCTGGGACGGGCTGGTGAAATCGGGGGAATGTGACCGCGCTGTCGCGTACGTCGTCGTAGCAGGTACAGACGTTGTCTTGGCCACGGGTGGATCGGTGATGTCGCCTCGCTATAGATCGTCAGGTAAAGTCACGATGCGCCGTGGGGTGACTTACCTCGTCCAGATAGTTGTTCGCATCGCAATAGAGGCAGAGGAACTCGCGAAGCAAGCCATCGTACCTTGTAGATGAGCGCTTTCCGCAGTAGAAACAGGTTAGTAACCTGCCACTTCTCAACTTGGCCATGTCGCTTTGAGGTTCCAGGCTCCTCGGGCCACACAAAGCATTTATGCAGATGGACGGGATGATTGTCTCGATATTGTTGTAGCCAGGAACTTTCTCGGTTCTGCCGGGCGGTCTGGGAGTGCTCCTGGGTGAACGCAGGGGAAGGTGCAGGGATCCTGGAGGACCAGCAAGCAGGAACATGAGGTCATCCACTTTTGCTGTCAGGAACCTACCGCAAGATACGCTAACAGACCAAGCCAGACCGGAGCTGCCAGCGCCTTGGGATGGTATTCCGCAGGGAGTTATAGCACCTCCCCACAATTATTAGCCACATTGAGCCGCTGTGAGCTGTGCACTAACAAATTATTGGACTGGCCTCATTTTCACATCATATCAGAACTCAGGTGTAAGGATACGGTGTTTGATCAATCTTCACGGCGAGAGTTTATTGTAAGAGAAAAACCACTACTCTAAAGACGCTACAACTGGACCTGTGCAGAAGAAAGTCTTTCAGCTCGAGAATAAGACTAAACTGAAAGAGCGAGCTCGGCTCACGTGGTGAGTTGCATTCTGATCTTCACAACACGTTGCTGATATGGTCTCAGAACCCAAGCACATCTCTCCATCTCTCTTCAAAGAGGCATAGGAGTGGCATGTAGACAGGAAGCCAACTCTGTAACTTGTCTTTGATATGGCAGCCGCATCCACGCTGGTTGGCATTGCCTCTGCCTTCTGTGTACTTGGCCTGGGGCTCATGCTACGTTCTTCTTGGAAGGCTTTGCTCGTAACCCTTCTGTTTGGTGTTATTTCACTCCTCATTTTCGTCACGGTGTGTACACAAGCATCCAGAGTCCCAGCCCACATTGGCTAATGATACCGTATAGGCTCGCCATCTTCAAATCCAACAAAATCGACTGAGACGCCCTGTCTTATTGTCTGATGTTGCTGCCAAAAACTCTACAGGTCACGGCCTCCTGAGAGGTGCCTACTTCCTGGTCGTGCTGGGCTCGGGTGGGCATACTAAAGAGATGCTTGCCATGATGGAGATTGGCTTTCCAAACGCCCCCAGCATGCATCGACGTTACCTCACATCCAGCGGTGACACCATGTCTCTCAAGCATCTCAAGGCATTCGAGGACGACCTCATGACTACCCATGGCGAAGAGCAAGTTGGCACCTACGACAAGCACATCGTTGCGAGAGCCCGGAAGATCCACCAAAGCCTTCTCACAACGCCCTTTACCGCCTTACTGTCAGTCGTCCAGATTTTCCCGCTGCTACTGTCGTCCCCATTCAAGGGCGTAAGAAGCCGCCAGCAGTTCCCCGACATCATCCTCACCAACGGCCCAGCTACGGGCTTTATCGTCGGATTGGTTGCCTATCTTCTCAAGTTGTTTTGCATTGTCCCCGAAGACACAATGCAAGTTCTCTATATTGAGTCCTGGGCCCGAATTCGCACACTTAGTCTAACCGGAAAGCTGTTCCACCGTACCGGGATCGCTGACCTGCTGTTAGTTCAACATGAGAAGGTGGCTAAGGCATACGGTGTTACGAACGCAGGCTGCATGGTTGTGAAAAGGACGAGCGACATGCAAACTTGACAAGCAGCTTATGACCCCAATCAAGGAAGAACACTCGGTGACAAGGTGGACCAAGATAGACTATAGCAGAACGTTGAAAATTCCAAACGGCGCTTGATGGAAGATTTCCCAAATTTTTGACATCTCGACTCAACATAGCCACCCACATGCGATGAGATTAGAAGAGTTGCAAGCGCAAGGTAATGAAGTAGTTTGGTGATCCGTGAGAGCAACCAGCGATATCTCTAATTCAGTGACCCAAGACGATCGTCACAACCTCGATTTACAAGCAAGGAGTTTACTCTCATCCATATCAAGGGCTAGGAGCAAGGTACCGGACATTCTACGCAGGAGTTCGAAAGACGAGTCTACGGCACAAACAGACAGATGCCGAGTTGTCATCATCCACCTTTTGATTTGCTTATATTATACAGGTTTTTGTAGTACATATACTTACAGGAACTGTCACGCCTCCGTTCAAAGCAATGTCGCTTCCGGAGCCGCCTCGTTATCTGCTTCCTCGCCAAAGCTAGTGTAGTTGGCGTTCTGGTTCTGCTCGTTCGCAATCGACTGCTTGTGTGCCCAGCCCTTCCAGTTCTCAAACTCCTTGTCCTCAAGGTCCAGGCCGATCTGCAGTCTGTTCTTGCCAAAGTACGCCCCGACGTGTCTGGCTTCCTCCCTGGCAACACGCTTCTCGATCTCTTCCTCCTGACGCAGCGCATAAAACTCCTTCCTTGCGACATCGTACGCTTGGTCTCGGTTGAGCTTGATGTTGTGCATGAGCCAGAGTTGGCGTTGCACAACACTGCGTAAGCTGTTAGTTACCTATATCACGAAGTGACCCGTGTGCTGATCAGCTCACCTTTCACCGGTCAAGGGCTGGCCAGGCTGACGCAGTCCCTTGGACCAATCGCATCTCTGTGCGTCCTTTCCATCTGACTCGAGGATCATTCTCGGGCGCGCCAACTCCCACGGGTGGTCTCTGTAGAAGGTCGATCGCAGACCGTCCTCCTCGTGTTTTATTCTCGGGGCTTGTAGATATTGCTCGGCTTGCGAAGCTTGAGATTGACGGGCTTTCTCTGGACGGTGACTGGCCTCGTGAGGATTTCGGAGGGCGGAATGTCTCTCATGACCTGGAACCATGGTGGTTCCTGAACGGGGTAGCCGGGCAGGATCTTCGTGCTGAGCTCCTGGCTCACGGCTTGGTAGATCCGGGCGGGCCTTATTTGTCGACCCATTTTGACCTAGAGATCGGTTAGGTTTGAGTGTCATTGCTCAAATCCGCGAACGATACTTACTGTTCGGATCAATACAGCAATGGCAGGGCGAGGGTTGCTGTCGTCGGAATGCGGTTCGACGTCCTGAGCTCCATCAATCGCGAACCGCAGCTCAGAAATTTGGAGTGTCGGCCAATCCTAACGCCGCCCCCGGCTCTGCCACCCGGCCCCACTTTATCCATGCCTTTACCTGCGAAATAATTCGTATCCCAATCATCCCAGAGCTTTTGGTACACCAGCTCATAGCTCTCTCTAACCTACGCCAATCCCTTTTTCCCTCTCCTGCCAGCAAGCTCACGCTCTTCGATGGAACAGTGATGCCTGGCCCGCAATGCTCGACAGCCCATGAAAGTACTTAGCCGGATTGACGGGTCCGTATGCGGCGCGATCCTCTCGACTCGACCTTGCGCGACTCGAGTTGCAGTTTCTTCCCGGCCTAAGCCTCGAACTGAGAGACCTTCGAGGGCGTCGGCGTCTCAATGCCGCCGAGACACCGCACGATGCTATCGCCTGCCAGTTACTCAATGTCCTCAAACTGCCTCGTGGTTGCTGTCGACTTTTCTGCCGGCGCCCTCCAGTCGCCCCCGTTCCTCGGCGTACTCGAAACCGCCATGCCGCGAACGCATTCAGCCGTATAGCCATGTTGCTGGCGCCGCCGCCGCTGCAGACCATCGGTCTGCCGATTTGGTCATGCAGAAAAAGAGAGAGGAGCTCCTTGGGTTCGTGGATTACCAGGACGTTGGGACTGTGGAAGAACATCTAGAGCTTGTTGAAGATCCTTATCTCAACAGGTACGCCAAGCCGGAACGTCCAAAAGTCATGATATCCGAGCGGAAGGAGGACCAGCAGTACCCATCACTGCACGAAGCTCTCCGCGGCGACGAAACCATTACACAAGTCATAACGAAGTTGGGAACTGCGGTCCGCACCAAGCTCAGGTATCCTACGAGAGTCGGCCTGGATCCAATATACGAAATGTACGCGGCCTTGCCCGAACCTCGAATGATACACATGCCGGCGGGGCTGCGCCACCGTTTGCTCAGGGTATTCGGCACACCGAAGAAAAAAGAGACCCAGACAATGCTGCGATACTTTTCTCTGCTAGGCGATGTAAAAGACTGCGGCATACCCCTTCGCCGCAACGAATGGAACCATGCCCTTGCTCTGGCCAGCAGGTACGTTGGCAAAACTTCCGACACGGAGGCGGAGTCTGCTCTCCAGCTATGGAAGGAAATGGAAAAGCAATCAGGCGTCAGGGGCAATTCCGTCACGTTTAATATTCTCTTTGATGCTGCGTCGAAGTCTGGAAATTTTCCATTGGCTGAGATGTTGTGGAAGGAGATGAGTGCACGGAAGATCCCATTCAACCGGTATCATCGCGTCAGCCTCATTCATTTCTTCGGGCTCCAGGAGGACCCCGATGGTGTCCGTGCTGCCTACAAGGAGATGGTGGACGCTGGAGAAATGATTGATACTGTGGTTCTGAACTGCGTCATCTCCAGTTTTCTTAGATGCGGCGAAGATGAGGCGGCGCTGAAGGTTTACAATTACATGAAGGGGAATTACTCAGAAGCTGTCAGTCTGCCCCAAAACGACTATTTCAAGGACAAGGTAGTTACCAAGGTCCTTTCCATGTTCGCAGAGGTCGGCCGAAAAGTGCCAGCACTGCGGCCCCAGCTGCAGTCAATCGCGGGCAGCACCCCTGATATGCGGACATATCGTACCCTCATCAACCACTTCGGCATCCGGAGAGGCGATCTTGGCAGAGTCGCTCAGTTTCTCGACGAGATGATGTGGTTTGAGGTACCCGTTCATGGAAGCATCTTCCTGGCTCTGTTCGAAAGCTTCACAAAGAACGGGGGCACTGCCTTCTCCGGGTGGACGAAGGCCCGGTTGGAGAATGTTCTGTCTGCGCTGCTACTAGCGCTTGACAATAAAGTCCAGGGTCTCTATCTCGACACTTGGCTCATGATGTGGGCGCTTCGGGCCTTCATGAAATGTACAAATAATGACAGAGTGTTGGAGGTGTACGGGGAGTTCAGGAAGAGGTGGGAGCTGGCGCCAGACAGAGCGCAGTTCATGGACAGTTATACCGCCAGGCTCTTGGAGGGCAAGAGTTCGGTCCTTTCCAAGCAGTTTGTGCCCCGGCAGCAGCAGCAGCAGCAGAAGCCCGAAGCGTCCAGGAAACGGCCTTTGTATGTAAAACACCCTTAGACGATGATACCAATAATCTCGCAAACCCTATCAATTCCGTCATTCTGGTCACTTCGGCCCAAGTATTCATGCCGTGGTTTCTTCAACTTGTTAGACCCAGTTGTTGCTCACACCACTGGGTTATTAGTGTGAATCGGCAACAACACGATAACAACTACGAAACACGGCAAGTTTGCAAAGCGTGTGATTCCGTGATTGGTGTTTGCTGAGGACGAAAAGTCTCTATTTCTGCTTATGTACATAGTCGTCCTCCATCCCAACTCAATCCATGCTGTACACTCGCGATCGACTCAAGGAAAACGCGTATGCGGCCATTTAAACCTTGGGCTTGTAGGTTTGCCAGGCTGAAAAGCTTGTCAGTTCGCTCAAATTCGGGGGGGCCCGGAGCAACGGGGAAAAAGCACGCACCAGCGATGCCGAAGGGGGCGAAGAAGCCAAGAGCAGAGTAGGTCCAGAAACCGGCGCCGAACCACTTGGACTTGGGGTTGAAGGGGATGTTGGAGTAAGGGCCCTCTGGGTAGTGGTAGGGCGACGACATCTGGGCGCGGGTGGTCTGGAAGCCGCGGCGAGCGACAACGGTACGAGTCTGGGGGACCGCGCGGGCGGCGGCACGGGCGAGCATCTACGGAGGGTCGGTCAGCATCAATTGGACTGGTAGCAGTGTTGAGCAGGTCGGTCGTACTGTGGCGGTCTGTTTTGCGGCGATCGCGAAGCGCAATGGGGACAGGGAGTGATGTAGTTGTGGTGTTGAAGTCATACAAAAGAGTGGTCTGAGGGTGTGATCCGGCTTAGCTCCAAAGAATCTCCAGGCTTGGGGCATTATGTAAGCACACGTGACTCTGACGATTGAGGTCGACAGCCGGGCTATGGTCCAGTCCTGCAGCCGGGATTTCGAAGCTGGCGCTAAGTGTGACCGCCTTCCCTGCCTGGTCCATTTTCACAGTCCTCCCGTCCACTCACTTGGAATTTTTTTTCTGCCTTTTCCTGCTTTCGCTCACCCGTCAACTTTTTCCCCGAGCGCCTGGAGTGGGAAATGCGACCGCCGCACATCGCTGGGACCAGGCAAAATTGACGAAGCTCCCGTCACGTCTCACCCCAACTCGATTCCACAGAGACGGATCGCTGCATCTCGATCCCCTTCGACCTTCTACAGTCTTCTTTACTGCAGGGGATCGACTTCAATTAAGTAATACTGCTTTATTGGCATCCCTTTCAATACCAACACTACAACATCACTTTATTGCTGCTGCCGCCGCCACCTTTGCCCCCCGTATTGGCACCAAGTAGTCGCCCGCCATGGACGAGCTTTTCGACGTCTTCGACGCTCAACCCGACGCGGAGCAACCCGAGTCGCAAAGCGATCCCGAACCCGCTGAGCCTCCCAAGAAGTCTCGCAAGAAAGAAAAGAGCAACAAGCGTAAGGCCGACGGCGCAATTAAGAACGGCGTTGCCGCTCAGCAAGATGATGCCGAGATGCCTGACGCTGACGAGACCTCGAAAGACGGCCATGATGGTGAGCAAGCCGAGGACGCTGGTGCGACATCAGACGAGCAGGAGGAGAGCCACAAGCGCAGGAAAAAAGAGGACGAGGCCCAGCCTGTCCTGACCGATACCTTCCAGACTGCCCAGTCGAGAGAGGTTGCCGGTGCCGCGACGTTCACCCAGGCCCAGGACGAGTCACTTGTTTTGTCCCACAACATTCAGCACCAGGTCGCCTTGCCTCCTGATCTGGATTACGAATACGTTCCGCTCTCCGAGCATAAGCCGCCTGCCGAGCCCGCGCGCAAGTACAACTTCAAGCTGGATCCCTTCCAGAGCTTGTCCGTTGCTTCGATTGAGAGAGAGGAGAGCGTGCTTGTCTCTGCTCACACCTCTGCCGGAAAAACCGTCGTCGCCGAGTATGCCATTGCCCAATGCTTGAAGCGTAACCAGAGAGTCATCTACACGAGTCCCATCAAGGCTCTTTCCAACCAAAAGTACCGAGATTTCGAAGCACTATTCGGCGACGTCGGCCTCATGACTGGTGATGTTACCATCAACCCTACCGCTAGTTGTTTGGTCATGACCACTGAGATTCTGCGTTCCATGTTGTACCGTGGTTCTGAGATCATGCGCGAGGTCGCCTGGGTTGTCTTTGACGAGATTCACTACATGCGCGACAAGACCAGAGGTGTGGTTTGGGAAGAGACTATCATCCTGCTTCCCGATAAGGTTCGCTATGTTTTCCTGTCCGCCACCATTCCGAACGCCTTCCAATTCGCAGAATGGATCGCCAAAATCCACCACCAGGCGTGTCATGTTGTCTACACCGACTTCCGACCTACTCCTCTTCAGAACTATTTCTTCCCCGCTGGTGGCAGTGGTATCTTCTTGGTTGTGGACGAGAAGGGCGTGTTCAGAGAAGGCAACTTTCAAAAGACCATGGCCCTGATCGAGGCGGGCAAGGGACAAGACCCCAACAACGCTAGTGCAAGCTGGAAGGGCAAGGGAGCCAAGAAGCAGACCCAGAAGGGCGGAGCTGCGGCTGATATGAAAGCCGACATCTCCAAAATTGTCCGCATGATTATGCAGAAGAGTTTCCATCCCGTCATCATCTTCAACTTCAGCAAAAAGGAGGTCGAAAATTTGGCTTTACAGATCTCTCATTTCCAGTTCAACAACGATTCGGAGCAGGCCATGGTCAAGACTGTCTTCAACAACGCCATTCAGAGCTTGTCCGAAGCCGACCGCGAGCTGCCTCAGATCCAAAACCTGCTTCCTCTTTTGCAAAAGGGAATCGGTGTGCATCACTCTGGTCTCCTGCCTATTCTGAAGGAGACCATCGAGATTCTCTTCCAAGAGTCCCTCATCAAGGTGCTTGTCGCAACTGAGACCTTCTCTATTGGCCTCAACATGCCTGCCAAGACCGTTGTCTTCACCCAGGTTACCAAATGGGACGGTACTCAGCGCAGGCCTCTCACACCGTCTGAGTACATCCAGATGTCTGGACGTGCTGGTCGTAGAGGCTTGGATTCTCGTGGTATTGTTATCATGATGATTGACGATAAAATGGAGCCTGACACCGCTCGCGCTATTGTTGTCGGCGAGCAAGACCGTCTTAACTCCGCCTTCTACCTTGGCTACAACATGATCTTGAACCTGCTGAGAATCGAGGCTATTTCCCCCGAGTTCATGCTTGAGCGCTGCTTCCACCAATTCCAAACCGGTGCTAGTGTCCCGGCTCTGGAGCGGGATCTCATGGCCCTTCAGCAAGAGAGAGACAACATGTCGATTGCTGACGAGGCCACCGTCAAGGATTACTACAACCTGCGCAACCAACTGGAGCAGTACACTAGCGACATGCGTGCAGTTATCCAACATCCTGAGCATTGCACTGATTTCATGCAGCCTGGTCGTCTGGTTCGCATTCACGATCCTAAGAAGACCAACAACACCATTGGTGGCACCGACTTCGGCTGGGGTGTGGTTGCAAACCTGGTGAGGCGCCAACGCAAGCCCACCGAACCCGAATACCCTCCTCAAGAGTCTTGCGTCATTGATGTCATGATGGTTGTGGACCAAAAGAGCGCCCCTATTGCCGAGGGTGCCAAACTGGCTTCTGGAGACCTCCCTTCGGGGTTAGTCCCTTATCCCAAGCCAGAACAGCCTGATAACGGAGCTCGCTTTGAGATTGTCCCGTGTCTGTTGACTTGCGTCAAGGCAATCAGTCAAATCAGAGTGTTCATGCCAAAGGACTGCAAGACGCAGGCGGCTCTTCAGGAAGTCGGCAACTCTCTCCGAGAGGTTCACCGACGCTTCCCCGACGGACTCCCCATTTTGGACCCCGTTGAGAACATGGGAATTAATGATGACGCATTCAAGGGCCTGATGAGGAAGATTGAGATGTTGGAGGCGCGTCTCCTCACCAACCCTCTCCACGGATCACCAATGCTTCCCCAGCTGTACCTTCAATATCGTGCCAAGGAGAAGTTGGGCGAACAGATCAAGGCCAAGAAGAGGGAGATAGCGAGACTTCACAGCATTGCTCAGATGGACGAATTGAAGGCGCGCAAGCGTGTCTTGCGCCGTCTTGGTTTCCTCAACGAGTCCGAGGTTGTCGAGCTCAAGGCTCGTGTTGCCTGCGAAATTTCATCTACAGAGGGCCACGAGCTTGTCCTTGCCGAGCTTCTGTTTGATCGCTTTTTCAATGAACTGTCTCCCGAGCTCATTGCTGCGACGCTCAGCTGCTTCGTCCTCGACGAGAAGCTCGAGACCGCTGCTCTGCGCGAGGAGCTGGCCAAGCCCTACCGTGAGGTCCAGGCCAAGGCCAAGCAGGTCGCCAAGGTCAGTCGCGAAAGCAAGCTCGAGCTTAACGAGGAGGAATACCTGGCCGGCTTCAAGTGGCAGTTGATGGAGACTGTCTACTCCTGGGCTCAGGGCAAACCGTTTGCAGAGATCTGGTAAGTCTGAAAATGAGTATTTATTCGCTCGGCTTTTACTAACACTATACAGCAAAATGACCAACGCTTACGAGGGTTCCCTCATCCGCCTCTTCCGCCGCCTAGAAGAGCTCCTGCGCCAGATGGGCCAGGGTGCGAAGGTCATGGGCAGCGACGAGCTGACTCAGAAGTTCGAAGACAGTCTCGCCAAGATCCGCCGTGACATCGTTGCGGCCCAGAGTTTGTACCTCTAAGGTTTGTCCCGGTCACTTTCCCCGCTGGTGCCCTCCTTGGATCCTCGTCGGCTCCCCGCCCTTTCTTGTTTCTTCATTTTTCATGTAGCCCCAGGGGACATCAAGGCGTTGAAGGTTTTGAGGGAGGTTTTATACCATGTAGAATCTTTGTGTGTGCGGATTCGGAGTTGTAAGAGGCCCTCGAAAAGTCCCTTCTCCATGGCCACCAATGAAGCAGATAATGGCCCTTTTTGCTGTCTCTCTACCTGCGTGATTATGTCTGGCTCGCAGTCCCTTGCCGCTTACTTTTGCCTCCGCTGTTCTTGATGCCTGGTATCATTGATTAATCGCAAAAGCCACATAAACGCCAGAATGATGATGACCGCTCCTTTGTCCTATCGGTCTCCCGAAAAAGCCCTGATAACGCCAATGATGATGCTTAGAGTTACGCCAAACCCAATAAAGTCCTGCCAGCGGCCAGAGAGCATGTTCTCCTCCCTCGACAGCCAGCCCAGACACCCCAATGGCCAAAAGAAGCCCACAATCAGGCCCTCGATCAGCACGTCCAAGATCCCGCTCATGACCCCAAACGCATCGTCGCCGCCCTCGCCACCCTCACCGCCGGTGCCTGCCGCGCCGGGCAGAGCCCCGCCCGCGTTGGAGTCGATCCACGAATCCTCGAGCGAGCGCATCGTGTCGGGGCTCGGCATCGTGTCGGGGGTGTACTGCGTCGCGCGGATCTCGCGAAACTGCAGGCGCAGCTGATTCACCTCGGCCGCCGTGAAGCCCGCGTTCAGGAGCCTGTCGAAACCCCGCGGCGTGGCGCGCTGCTGGCCGTATTGGTGTTGCGATCCATGGTGGCCGGGACCCTGGCCGTCCCTGGAGGACGTGTTTGCTGACGTGCCACGGTCGGTAGGGGCGCGGAGCGCGGCTTCTGCTTCGGCGGCGAGCTCGTCGTCCGTGAGGCTGTCGCCGATGCTGCAGTTCACGTAGACCCTCTGCGGCGGCGCGGGGTCGTTTGCCTTGGCCTTTCCTTTGCCTTTTGGGTCGTCGAAGCCCGCGCCGGGTGTTGCTGGGGTTGTTGGTTGCGAGGCAGAGGGTGGTGGCGGGGGAAGAGGCCGAAGAACCGAGCTGAGGGCGGAGGCGTCGGGCAGGATCTTTCCCTGGTGGATGAAGCGCAGGCGCCGCTGGGAATCGGGCTGGGCGAGGCGGCCGCGGATGAGGTGCTTGAGGGCAGCGACGGTGGTTTGCGAGGGGGAGGGGATGTCGAGGTCGAGATCGGGGAGGGAGGTTGTGAAACGGATTCGGAGGAGTAGGGGGGGTGTCCAGGGGCGTGGAGCTGTCATCTTGGCAACATTGTTTGCAGAGGGAATCTGTTTGGAGGATTGGGTTCCAGATTGTTCAAGCTGGTGATGGAGCTTGACGAGATGTTGGACTGGGAACGGATGACATCTGTGTGGAGCTTATCGTTATCTGCGCCGAGTCAGTGCATATCCTCCTTCAATGCATATACTTCATAACGTATAGTCTCTTTCATCCCTCAATGCGCCTTTCGTAACTTCAAATCTGTAATCTGTGTCAATCTTGCTAGCCATCATCCGATTGCGCCATGCATTGAGGTTGACCGGAGGGTTGATTTGTTTAATTTTGTTACTGTTGCAGCTGGCGTGTTGGTGCTGCGTTCGAATCCGAAACTGGTCGTCACTAAGCCAGCCAGTTGATGTCGTCTCATAATTCCAAGTTCGGGAAGACAGCCCATGGCAGACATGAATTCTGAGCGCAAGCACATCAACCACCTAACGATTGCAATCAAAACAATGGTTGCTCAATGCCTCAAACCTCTTGACTGGGTCTTCGGGTCCATCATCTCATGCTTAACTGGGCAAACTTTTTGTCTTATCTTATCGGCTGTGCCAACCCAAAGATACCCAGGTTTTCACAGCTCAAAAAAGTTGTCTTTCCTTACACCTATTGTAATCATCGCAACAATCTAAAAAGACGTGATCAGTGGGAGGCTTGAACTCCCGGCCTTGGCATTACTCAATGTATCAGATGATATATTAGTACCACGCTCTAACCAACTGAGCTAACCGACCTATTGATTGATGTTAGAGGTTATGGAAATACCGCATTTATGGGGTTGGTGGGCTTCTGAGTCATGGGAACCCTATGATGGCCACGATGACTCCTCAAAGGTCTGGGAAGGACCAGGAATACTTTGCAATCCGCACTTTTTAGTGTCGGTATTCGCATCAGATGGGTTACGATAGCTCCCACATGCGGGCTAGGCCGTCCCATTGTGAGATCCTACTCGCTCCCCGGACCAGGATGCTCTGTTGCGGATCGCCCAAACTTTGTGGCCCCTCCCTGGGTTGGCACCACCCTCTGAGATTGTCTTCTGGGAGATCAGACGACGATATCAATCGCGTCCTCATGACGGGAAGTTGTCAGAACATTGATAAGGCTCGAGGTTTTCAAGGCACAGTTGGCTGCGCCATGATCCGTTCAAGTCCTCTGCTTTGTAGCTTACTGCCGCTGCTACCGTTGGATGCTGGACGTCCTTCTACCCAGAGTCCATCTTGGCATCTGAGCAAGCGCGAGTCAGACTGTCGCAACTCAGTTCCGCACCGCACTGAGCCATACAACTTTAAGAATAAAGCAGAGCAATTCCGCAACTTAATCTTTGGCTTGTGTCTGAGATATGAGATAGTCAAACGCGCAGTCGCACCAAGGCTGGCAGGTTCCGGAGTCAAGGTTCGATAGTGGCTTCGCGGGGGTTTCCCACTGCCGGAAACATCTCGATTGGCGAGGCGGGCAGTCTGGCAAACTTTATCAGACGGGCCCTGGTTGTTGGCGATGGATACGAGTCGGGGAACAGGCTCCAACCAGGATGTTAGTCAGCCGATAAGTTGCCTCTATCGCTGCCGTCGGGGACCAACCCCTCATCTTCCCCGGCGTGCCCCCGTTCCTCTGGCCGGGTCTCCTCTCCTGAAGTCAATGCCGTGGCCCCATCGTGACGGATACAGTTCACTGTTATCGCCCAGTTCCAGGCCCTGTTATCTCCCTCCGTTCCCCCTTACGCATCCGAGTAGACTCTCACCACAAGTTCTCTCTCGAAATGCCGCGTAGAAGGGACCCATCCAAGCAGGTCTCTCGACGGAGCCACCGTGGCTGCCACCGCTGCCGCCTGCACAAAATCCGGTGCGACGAGGTCAAACCTCACTGTGGGTCGTGTACCTCCCGCGGCTATGCCGACTGCGTCTACGCCCAGGTCCTCAAGTGGGAGACTGACTACGTTGGCCGTGCCTTTGGCAGGGCCGGCGTGTGGTCGAAATCTGGGGCCGCCGGCGCCAATAACAAGAAAAAGGCCTCGACGCCACCGTCGACCCTGGACAACTACTGGAGTGTACCAACCCGCGTCTATTCTTTCGGGTTCCTGAACTCCTTCATCACCGACTATGTGGGAGAGGAGTCTTCCTCATCTTCGAGCGACGACAGCTCCAGCGACGATCAGAAATCGACGGCTCTTACTCTCAGAAAGAACCTGGGCTCCATGAACCGCCCGGTGACGTATATTCAGCTCGACACCCAGGCGGAATCGCATCTCTTGTCGTACTATCTAAACCGTATTTGCCCCATGACGGTACCATGCGCAACAGGCGAATCGCCATTTTCGGCCCTTATTTTCCCGTTCGCCGTCTCATCCGCCTCGCCAGCCCTCATGAACGCCTTGCTGGGTCTTGCCGCTTCACATAGAGCGAGAACAGACAGCACATATCAGCCCGTGGCCCTGAGCTACTCGGCCAGAGTCATTCGGTCGCTCCGCTTGACTCTCGACAACAAGTCCTCAATAGACATTGCCGCAAACTCGGAAATCCTCGTCCTCATGATGCTCCTGTGTCAGCTGGAGATCATTGCCGAGTGCGACAAGCGCTGGGTCACGCATCTGCGCGGGGCTCGAGACCTCATCCGGTTCAGACGACAGGGCATGAGTTCGGATGTCGCCAAAACGGCGGCCAAGCAGCAGGGCCCCTGGGAGCAAATCATCAAGTTCACGGAGCGGTACTTCGCCTTTTACGATGTCATGGGACGAACGGCTTGCGGCGAGGAGCCCATTTTTGGCAACGACTTTTGGTCTACCCAGGAAGACCAGCTCGACCTCTGGATGGGTTGTTCTCCCCATCTCGTCAGCATAATTGGCGAGATCACTGAGCTTAGCTTCAAATACCACCGTCTGTCGGCTTCGACGGCGGAAGACTGCTGGCAGGATCTGGAACGGCAGCGCATGAGACTGATCTCGGTCCTCCAGCAACCACAGCTCAAGAGCGACAGTGACGATGAAAGCGTCCGGCACACGGTGGAGCTGAAGCGGTTGACTGTGGAGTTGTACCTTCACTCGGCGCTCAACGACTCTACTCCGACCACACCGGTCATTCGGCATAACGTTAAGAAGATACTGTGTCTTGTCGCGATGCTTCTAAAAGCGGACGTCAAGGCCGGCTTGACCTGGCCACTCTTCATGGCTGCTTGTCAGCTCGACCCCACGGAGGAGCTCGAATGGGCCACGGAAGATCTGGATGACGGCAAAGTCCCCCGTCACGCGCGGCCGTTTGTTTTGTACGCCCTCGACAACCTGTCGGATTCTCTCTCGAATGTCACCAGGACTCGCTCCATCATTGAAAAAGTCTGGAAGCAGCGAGAGGCCGCATCGTTTCTTTCGTCGGATCGTCAGCTGTCGCCCAGCCCCAAGGCGTTTAATGATTGGGCCCGCTTCGTTGCGCCGCTGTGTCACAATATCAGTCTTGCTTAAGACGCTTCTTTCCGAGACCAAGGATGCCACGATTTGCGCATTTGGCTGAGGAATCCCATGGTTTTGAACGTGTTATGACCCGAAAATTTGTATTATTTCTTCTCGATACGGACGGAGTGGGGGAGCGTTGGCGCATTTTGTCAATTAGTAGTATTATGAGTAGTTATCTGTACTGGGTTCGGAAAAGGACCACGTTGGCCCGGTATGCGCCACAAGTACAAAACAAAAACCCTGGTTACCTCGGACGGAAGAATCTTTTTTCTAATTACGACCAGGTTGCAGGGCCGAAGGTGCCGTTGGCAGGAATGGCTTTCAAAGGAATGCCTTGGCCGTCGATTGTGGTCCCTTGGACATTGTTTCCCCACCAACTGAGCTGGACACCGGGGAAAACGAGGGCAAAGAAAATGACAATGGCAGAAATGGCTAGGCCGGAGTCGAGAGCGGCGGATAGGACATAGTTGTACTGTCGTTACCATGTCAGTTATATGGACTACTCAAATTGGAATAGCGGAAGGCCTCGCATCACTCACCTTTGCCCACCAATGTGGAAATTTGCCCTTGATCCATTTATTGAAGACGAACGAGACAACGAATGCCGAAGTATAGTTGAGTCCAGTCGCAGGAGGCACATTGCCTGTTCCGGCGAAGAAAAGGGGCCAGTGCAGATAGCCCAGGAACTTGTTGTTCGGGAACTTCTTCTTGAGGAAGAACGTAACCACCGGCAACAGCGCACCGATCCAGAAGAAGTGCAAAAGACCTGAGTAGATCTTGCCAACGCTGTAAAGACGGGCCGGGCCGATCGCACCCCATACGATGCTCGAGGAGAAGTTGACACGTCCTTGTGGGCAGGTGTAACCATTCGGTTGGCTCTCGAGGCAGATATCCTTGACGTTGTTGAGCATCCAGAGGAGCACGGCGTTTTGTGTAAGAGAACCGGTGATGCAGGCAGTCAGCTGGGCTACAAACAGCGTCCGTCTCGGGATCTTCATGTAGAGCCCAAGCTTCATGTCCGAACAGAAGAGCATGGCCTGGCTGAGGCCGGTGTAGGCGTAGAACTTGAAGATGAGCATTACGATAGGCTTGCCCGGAATGGCGTATCCTGAAATGATCTCGCCCAACACCGTGAGGACGTTGCTGTTGAGGTTTGCGACGGCATAAACGCTGCCAGTCGGGATCAGATAGATGAAAGCCAGACCGAAAGCCAAGAAAACACCCCAAACCGGCATCTGGGTCTTGTACACCTCTTGTATGATGATTGTCAAAGCCAGGACGATGACGGTCATGATGGCGTACCACCACCATGGCGTGTCGGGGTATCTCTCGATCAAGCGACTGTGAACGTCCTTCTTCCGGCCCGGGTTGAAAGCACCGATGATGTCCTTGTAGTAGTTGATGAAGATGTAAGTCGGTACACAGGTCATGACTGCAAAAGAGATGCCGTAGCTAAGCGCGAATGTCACCGGCATGTAGAGAGGGCTGTACTTTTCGTACTCTTCCACGATGAAGTTGCCATCCTTGCCAACTACTCGTGTGGCGTTGTAGATGGTGCCAGTGTTGTCGTACGTGTCAGCCCCCGAAAATGGAAGGTAGGCCGTGTACCACGTGTTGGTGTAGTACAGAATGGGAGAGACGATGGCGAAGAGAATGACCCAGCCGGCAAAGACGTTGGCTTGCGCCCAAAACGGGACAACCAAAGGAGAGCCGTTGTAGGCGATCTGAGACCAGTCGAAAGTGGTTGGCAGGTAGGCAAGGCCTGTGGACATGCCAAAGAGGTTGTTGACCACAACGTTGTCTGTCAATGTCAGCAAACGGTTGTTACCAGTGGAGTAGTTTGCGGGGCGTGGATGACCTACTTGGTGCAGCCCAGCAAACGAATGCAAAAGTGCTCAGGCCAGTGAAGAGGTATCCCGGGAGCCAGTACCAAAAGAAGCCACCCACGAAGACGTACAGGAAGAACCGATATCTTGATATCCTCCAGCCATCGGCAATGGGGTTGGCCCGTCCATGCAAGGTCTGGAACAGAGCCGCATTGGCCAAAGTGGACGGCCAGATCATGTGGGGCGGCTCCACGATGAAGCGATACGCCAGTCCAGCCATGCCAAGACCAAATAGTTGCATCGACAAACCAAGGAGGAACTGGTAGGGAACCGGCGTGTGGAGACCGTAGAATGCCGAAGCCTTCTGCGCCTGGATGATGTCGGTGGCCCACGACGGCCCGAAGGACAGGTTGGACATGATGGTGATGACGGCGTGCTCCTTGATGTTGAAGTAGTGGTCCGGGTTGATGACGAGATCCCAGCGGCCAAAGACGCGGATCTTCTTCACTGGGAGCAGGCGAGCGACAGCACACCCCACAGGGTACGACACGAGCTGGGCCACGAGCGACGAGATGGTGACGCCGGGATACCGCATGGAGAAGAACTGGTTGATGCCAGACCCGAGCATGGTGAAGATGATGCCGAGAATCCACATGCGAAGCGTGTTGACTGGCATGGTCGGGTCGTCCGTGTTGGGCACGTTGGCGCGGACCTCGGGATACGGCGAGTTGTCTGAGTCGATGTCGAAGTGTTCCTCAATCTCGCCGATGGCATAGGTCATGGCCTTGTCAAGGTCCTCGACATCGTGGGCCTCGAGGTCCGACGTCTGCTGGGGCACTGGGCGTGCCTCAGCAGCTTTGTCGCCGTCCTTTTTTGTCGCGGCGGACATAGTGACTCGGACGAAGGCCGCAGGTAACTGGGTAGTGTTCTAACGAGTGGTGTGTTGAACCGATGTGGCCTGCGCTGCCAACGAGGAAACGGTGGTCGCGTGTTGTACTTATAAGCAACGTCTGATACAGTGATGCGCGTCCCATCAACGTTGTATCTGCCAGTATCAACCTTCCCCAGAATTCGGACCATCGTCCTAATCAGTTTATCTTTCCCCAAACTTCAGACCCCCGCACAGCCCACAGATAGCCTTTTTTCGCGGGTGTTTCCTCATGACACACAGGTGGGAACCGACCAGGGGAGAGAGTTCTATGGAAGGTCCAAGGCCATTGGAAGGTCCAAGCTATCTGCCCTGTGCAGCCGCCAATGAATCAGAGAAACTACTGTAATCATGGACATTGTCTATGGCGGAGAGAAGCGACGATTAATGCGGGCTGGGGAGAGCTTGTTGGCACGCGAGGGTGCCCGCCCACGTTGCATCTCCGAAGCCGGGAATGAGGAAATGAGGCGGAAGGGAAGGTCCAAGCCGGCGTGGACCTCTGGGATTATGCGTCCGGACACGTGCTTTAGCGGCCAAGCGGGCCAATTATTCCCTAGCAATGACTGTGCAGGGGAGGGGACAAGGAGGAGCCAATGAGAGTGCAACGGTTTGGCCTAGTTGGTCCTCCTTCGCCCCGGAGCTCTGCTGTGGCGGTGCCGAATCTCACGACTACAAATCTCATGAATACCTGAGCAACTCTCATTTCCTGAAAACGTAGTCAAATGCGAATCGGCCCTGCCTTATCTTGTCTCTTTGCCTGAAGATAGCCAATTTTAATTTTGCAAGCATGGCTGACAGCACACCCCCGTTGTCGAAGACCTCGAGCATCGCAATCATCGGCGCGTGAGTAACTATTTCATCCACACATGTGACTGGCGTATCTCTAAGTGCAGCTCGACAGGGGAACATTTGGAATCAGCACCGCATACCATCTGGCAAAACGTGGCTACACGAACATTACATGTCTCGACCGACACCCCGTGCCGAGTCTTGACTCTGCAGGTTATGACTTGAACAAAATCATCAGAACCGAGTACGACGAGCCTCTGTACACCGATCTAGCGCTCGAAGCCCTCAATGCGTGGAGACAGCCGGAGTGGAATGGTGTCTTCCACGAAACAGTGAGTTGACAGCCACGGCCTCGCCTATAACCGTATTTCGCGAATGTTTCCTCATACCTTGGCCAGGGCCGCATTGTCACAACATTGGGAGATCCTCTGGCAGAGAAGCACCTCAAAGAGTCTTACGAGAACTTGAAAAAGGCTGGGCAGGCTGGTGGCCTCGAGCTGGTCGAGGGCAAAGAGCAGATTGCGAAGCACGTCCCTCAGCTGCGCAATGCAGAGGGGATCGAGAAATGGAAGGGGCTCTGGAACAGCCAGGGCGGCTGGGCGCACGCAAAAAAGTCGCTTGAGAAATGGGGCCACGAGGCACTGGGTATGGGCGTCAAGTTCATATCGGGGCCCGAGGGCACCATGACTGAACTGAGTCTTGACAGTTCGGGCAGCCTAGACGGAATCAAGGTTGCTTCGGGCGACGTGGTGCGTGCAGATAGGTATATACTCTGCACCGGAGCAGCATCACCAGCTGTACTTCCCGAATTATCCAGGGAGATGTGGACAAAATGCTGGTCTTTGGCTCACATTGAACTGAACGACGAGGAAATTGCTCAGTGGAAAGGGATTCCTGTTGTGGACAACTTTGAATTGGGCTTCACCTTTGAACCGGATCCTGAAACTAGCAAGTCAACTTCCAACATGGTCATGGAGAGAATTACTAACCGATATAAAGAGTGGATGAAGATCTGTGACGGATCCCCAGGATACCAATACCGCGTCGGGACTTACACTGATCCCTCAGGCAAAGTGGAACACTACTCGGTCCCTCGATATGCGAGCACACATCCGGACGACGGCATCCCTGATGAAGCCGCCACTGCCATCAAACTTTTCATCGATACTGTAATGCCGCAGTTCTCGGGGCGGCCGCTCCTTGGCGCGAGGGTCTGTTGGTGTACCGACTCTCCTGACGCCCACTGGCTGATTGACAACCATCCAAAGCACCCGTCTCTTCTTCTGGCCACCGGTGACTCGGGCCACGCCTTCAAGATGTTTCCAATCATTGGCGACTACATCTCGGACGCTTTGGAGGGCAAGGAGAGGGGCTTGAAGAAGGAGTGGAAATATGGCAACAGAGAGTCAAGGCCTGTCGCGACTCGTCCAGGAACGGAAGTCAAGGATCTCAGAGACGTTTTGCACCTGGAAACCAAACAGGGACTATAGTTCACTGGATAAATAAAGCAAAAGTGAATCAGATTTGGCCCACTGGACACTACTTCTATCAAACTAAGCAAAGACAACGCCGCCCCGCCCCCCTCCCTTCCCAAGAAAAAAAAGAAGAAAAAAGTAAAAGAAGATAAAAGATTAAAAATAAATTTGAGAACACCGCCCGCCCGCAGCTACATCAAATGAGAGAGCGGACTACGGCTCTTCGTATTCAACTCTTGTTTCAGTAGTAACTCTGATGCTCATGCTTTTCACTCGCTGCGGAGTTGGACGCGAACTACCCTCAGGTATCGGTTGAATCTCTCCAATACTGTCAATACTGCTGCTGTCATTGTCTCTGTGCTTCGACTCGATAATAGTTTCTCGGTGCCCCGCACAGTCTTTGCGAAACGCGTCGCCCGACCAAAGTTTCGCAACATCTTCGTTTGAGCCGTTCCTCTGCATCTCGCTTGGCGAAAGAGAGACGTCGTCGCGCGAATGCAACTCGTAGGCCTCAGACTGAACGTTGCGGCGCTTCTTGTTGTTCTCAATTGTTGATGAGAAGGGGTCCGTTGTTAGGTGGTTCTGATAGTTCGGGTTCGATTTGTTGCATTTGGAACCGGCAATGCGGGAGGTAACAAACATGGGTAGGTAGTGCATGAAGAGCGGCTTGAGAGCTGGGACAGATGCGCAAACGACACCGGCATTTAGTTCGATAGACGCCCAGTTTAGTTGCTTTTCGAGGTCAAAGGTGTAGTCTTTGCTATTGAATAGCTGCGGGAGGAGAATTGTGCGTCGGATGGCACAGATACATACACTACGTGGATTTCAGAAACACTACACCTTAACAAGTAGACAAGATATCAACTTACAAGCTGCCTGTGGCGAAAAGAAGGATCAGAGACCATTTTTGTCTCCTGGCCATCTGAAGAGGGATGATGATCTTCAAGGGGAGGATCAGACAAACGATATCCATGATGATATTGGTTCCGCTAAGAGCCATGTAGACTATGTTTTTGTCAACGCATACCGCCCCTGGCCTTGCCGAAAGGTCCCAGGAGGCTTGGGTAGGTCTGCAGCTGAACACTATCAGGAATAAGTAGGTGAGCGCGTAGGCCGTGGCAAGACCAATAAACGTCATGGTGACGATCCTGAACCACCGCTCTGGCGAGAGACGCAGGTAGAGCACAAGCAGGGAGAGCTTTGCCGTTGTAACGCCAAGAGAATAAACGACGACCACGATCAAGCCATGCTAGACGCTTGGTTAGTCGTGGACGATCTGGTGTACTGGTGGTAGCCCAGATTAAAGAGGTACATACCAGCAGAAACGCAGGGGAATAATCGTCGCGCTTGACCTGCCATATGTGAACTCCCACGCCAAGGTCACATACTGTCATAGTCAGCTACTGTGGAGGAAGGCGAGCACTGGTGAGCTAGACTTACATTTGATCGAGAGACCAAAAAAGATTATCGCCCACCCCAATGAGATGCCTATGAGATCTGGAGGGGCTGTTGTTAGCATGACGATAATTTGGTCGAGCAAACGGGCCGGAAACCGTGGCGCTTGACTAACAGTCATCGAGACCAAAAGCTTTTCCGACTAGAGAAATCCTTGTATATGCTCTCAGACCAACAAAAATGATGGAGAGCGAGGTCAGCGTGCCGCCCAAAGCCAGCGCTCCTGATGTAATTGTCCCCGCGTCGAATCGACCTTGGCCAGCGGGCGCCTCGGCCATGTACTCGGATCCGGGGAAAGCCATCTGCTCATCGATAGTGAGTCAACCCGTCAAGGGCGTCAAAGGGGGGGGGCTTTCTTCTGTGGCAAGAAGAGCTTGTGAATGGGCAAAGAGGGATAAATAAACGGTCAAATTGAAAAACGGTCCCGGGGATCTGGGTATGCTTTATCTACGTGGAACACTGGAAGACCGTTTTGTGATCCGCGGAAATTTTTACCTGAGCATGCCGCGTCACACCAGTCGGGCATGATGCAAGAACAGGGAAGGCTCCGAGCTGGGCAAGCAGCAGACTGGAAACTGACAAGCAAACTTCGTTGCCCTTATTCTATTGAGTGTGGGCTGTCTTCAAAGATGCTTGGCTAGGGAAGACACAATGAGACCGGGTGGCGGACTTGCCATGCGACCCCCTTGTGTTCGCCATCGAGGATTCGTGTGTGATTGATCAGGGAAAAGAAGCAACTTATGTGGAAATCGGGCCACTGGCTCTGAGATGATATTCTCAAGTGGAAAAGTGACATATGCGGGTGAGTTTTAGTTTCATGGAGAGGAGGGGAGGGACTTGAGGGCCGGGAGCTAAAAAGTAAGCACAATTTAACGAGGCCAAACTGAAAAAGAAAAGACGGTAAATTGATACCGTCGTCCGCTAGTTTCGCTCACGGTTGAGGATGAGTCTCTCTCACCTTGCCGAAACCCCACATTGCTTGGAGCGGCCAAATCAGAAGAATCATGAAAGCAGTACCGAGAAAAAGCAACGATCGTAAACGCCCCCAACAGACGAATTCCTACCCGCCGTACAACCAATCAGGGCCTCAGATTCCCTTATCCATTTTAAAGCCCCTGCTGGACTCATGCGAATCTGGGCACGGAGTTGCCGTCTGATGAGAACCAGTCTGTCCGCAGCAGAAACTTAGGGGTTTTTTTTTTTTTTTTAATTACGCGAAGGAAATCAGATTACTACGAGTATTGTTCTGATTCCCTACCTATTCCTTTAGCATCTGACGGTATTTGATGGATGTTACACTCTTCTTGATATCATTTCTGGGCCAGAGAGTGACATCGACTGTGATTCGATTAGTGTGGCCTGCAACACCGACTCAGCGGATCGGATCCGCCGCAAGTTTGAAATGCAGACACAGCAGATGTGAGCGCTTGGTCCGGTCTCTTAGTTGTATTCGTACAGATAACGCATCTGCCATAGTTCAAAGTTTCCGGTCCATAATCTAGAGTCCAATCGGGGCAGGTCTAGACTTTGCGGCCGTCTCCCGAAGATATCGTGAGCGTATTGCAGACTAGGCAAAGTTCACATGACAGGAAAGAATATGGATCTGCACCTCGAATAAATCGACTATGATATCTCAACTTGACAATGACATACTTTCATGATTGCGGTCGCATCTTTGTAGGCGTAGATGGGTGCATGGTAAATGGATTCATGCTGTTGATATCGCCGCTAGCTTGTTGGCTCGCATGATAGCCTTCGATATCCCCATTGATGCTCCCTTCAGCTTCAATTATTCTAGCCATCTGAGGGGTTGCTGAAAGTGCCTGGCTTGCGGGTGACTGCGGCTGCATACTGTGCGCCAGATGCATTCGGCCAGCATAGATGTCCGTCGCCCCTGCGAAATATCTGCGAGAGTCGTTGCTGCCGCATTTCGATGTTGCAGTACAGGAGATTAGTGGGCGCATAAGCGGAATACACGCGGAGATGATTGCAGAGGTTGGTTCGGCGATGGTTAAGAGAACCATCGGAACGGCCTTGTAGTATGGATCGGTGGTGTTTAAAGCTAGGGACACAGTGAGGATTCTTACGATCGATATGGCACTGGTACTACGCGGGATGTTAGAATTTCGATATCGGATAAATAACAAAAGCATTAGCAACACAGCGGCGACCACTTACAATATGCCGACTCCAAAGCTAGTGATCAGGCCGGCTTTCTGCATTGTTGCAAGACGTAACCGTCTCACAAGAGCTATCGGCAGTATGAAGATGATGATATCTGTAAGAAGGTGTACGGTGCCGTTGACGTAAAGAAAAATCAGGAATCCGGTCTCCCTAGTGTTTGGGGTCTGGTTCAAAAAACCCCTCATCACGAGCCCGCCAGAGATGAGCATTGCCGCTGCAATGAAGAGCAAAATTCCTAGAAAAACGTCGCAGAAAAGCGTTATACTAGGCAGAGCAAACGCTCGACGGTATTGCAGGAGAAACGTTGCTTTGATGAACGCGAAGGAGACTTGATATATCAACGCCGCCGCGACGAGGAACTTTAGTCCACGTCAGCACTAGTACACACAGAGATATCTTTGGAAGGTGTCTTACAGAGGCATCTCTCATCATGAGCGAGGGCGATACCGTCCATGTGTGTAGACCGAGTGCTCCATATTTCGTGCCTAGATTGGGACGGTACTATTAGCCTCAGGGCAAGCTGCAAACTCACGCTCGCCGCCAGCAGCACTTACTAAGTTGTACCGTGGCACACTGTCCGATGAGCACAATCTTTGTTTGAATATCAGCAAGGCAACACAGCCTAGTGGGCCCTTTCGAACTAACCGAAGAACAAATAAACATAGTATCGTCTAGTTTCCAAGCTCGCATGACATAGCCTCTGATGTATATTCTGATTGCCATAAAGACCATGGCAATGGCCATGCATGCTGCAGAGATCCCAATGATAAGTAAATGCCTGTTATCCGTCGGCATTGAATCTGTCGGCGTTCCCCCTGATGCTTCGTTGGGAATCGTTGTGTTGCTCATGTTTGCGTGATGACGGAGCCCTACTGCCGAATTGCGGACAGCGGCAGCGTATGAATAAAGACAGTCAATGCGGCAAAGGCTCGTGTATCGTTGCTCGAAGATAGAGGATCCGAATCGTTATGCGAAAGTGCGCATCTTCTCCGAATACATGCTGGAGAGCAGTGATGTCGCCGCAGTGGTTTCGTTTCGTTCCTGTTTTTTTTTTTTTTGGCAAAGATTCTGCCGACGATGTCAGGGCAAGGTCAGGATGCCAAGAAAGAAAGAAAGTGATGCGAGATAAAAACTTCTGAGGTGAAGAAAAGATAAAAGGTCTTCAAGGGGAGGGGGGGGGGGCACAAGGCTGTATTGAGTTTGACGCCGTCTGTCGGGTTGGCCGGGTTCGGGAACGATTGTGTCTTGGATTGTTGTGGCCGCTGCCGACGAATGGAAGTCTATGTGTCTGGGCCGGATGCAGTGCGAAATCGTTACTCCAGAACGTCACACAAGCGCAAAGCACCTGCAGATAGTGGCTGGGTAGTTAGGATGTCAAGATGTGTACCCTTAGAAGGTGGCGCTTCGATGTGCTGATGCGCTGACGCTCCTTTGTTCCGGATCCTTGGGTTCTCGTGTCTCAGTTGTTGCGATACTCAAATAGCCAACCATGGCTGGAGCTGGACCCAGATACTTACGAGATTTTCAGAGCCGATTCAATATTGAAATCATACAATGTCCTTCGATTATCTTCGAAGTGGGCTGGACCCAGGCGGTTGACACCCCGTGCTCTCTGCCCCATCTAGCGGTTTACCATCGATTAGAACAAAGAAGATCGGTTAATTGTAGCCTTGCTGAGTCGACTAGTGGCACCCTAATTCGTTGTTCAAGAGCAAATTGCTCACCCTCATGTAGTCGCTTTTGGCTTGGTCTCGAACCCGGTCTGCAAAGTCCAGTAGAACCGCAGCTAGCGAAATCACCCTCGATAATCCAAATCTTGCCTTCAAAATTCCAGGACACTTCTTAATTGCCCAGAAGGACCAATTATCACTGAGAACTCAGAATTCTTGTGCCCGGGGTTCAAAACAGCACCTGACGGGGTTGTGCTCGAGATCTCTTGTCTATGGCAGTGGTCATCGTCACTGCTCTCTCCCTCTTCCGATTCGAATAACATCTCGGGACTTGATGGAGAAATAGCACATGTTTCACCGGGGAATGTGACAGCCCCAGTCCAGATGTGTCTGTTCCGAAGAGTGGAGCCATCCAAGCTTTTGCTAACACGACAACAGTCGTAGCTAGGTGATTCATTCCTCTGCTGACGACGCAGATCCATTTACTCAGGCAAATGACGCTTATATCAAAGTCGCGGCGGGTTGCTTTTAGCACAGTATGTGTAGCTAATATGAGCACAGACAATCTGCGTAATTCCCCAAAGAACCTGGCGACCAAAATTGCAATAAAGTTCGCCCCCCCCCCCCTCCCCCTAGGGTTAAAAATCCCCATGGGTACCCATTTGGGTTCTAACCGATTTGACCCATGGGGATTCTTTTGGGGCCCATATGGGTTATGGGTTGAAATGGGTTATGGGTTTTTTTCAAGATTATGGGTATGGGTTTTTGGGTTATACCCAAATGGGGATTTCTGTTTTCTGGATATAGGTATCATGGGTATCCGTCACGTAATAAGCAGAAAACACAGCAAATATTCTCAACCCATAAACCCATTCTTATCTTATCATTTGGATATGGGGATTTTTCATACCCATACCCAAAAAAATAATACCCAAATACCCAAAACCCAAAAACCCATTCATCTGGGTCCCCATGGGCCCCCATGGGTTGGGGATTTTTAACCCTACGGCCCCCCCCCCCCCCCCCCCCCCCCCCCCCCCCCCCCCCCCAGTTTCCCATGGCGTGATCAGTAAGTCCAGTAATACAACAACAGGTGGATTCAGAGACATTGGAGATAGCGATAGGAATATACAGTAGTGTGTGACTTATATTTGTAAAGTCGGAGGACTATGTACCGCCTCCAGTCTAATGCTGATCATGCTCTATCCTTTTATCTCAAAGACACTTCAAACCACAAGAATGCCAAACCGAACGCCGGTGCCATGAAACCGTGGTATCATAAAGGCGAAATTCAGAGAGAAGGCTTGAACTTAGACCTAATGCGCTCACCAAAGAGGAAGAAAACAAGAGGAATGGGAATGAGGCCAACAGAGATGAAGCCCAGCAAGCTATTGCCCCACCCTAGTCCAAGAGCATTATACATCTCTAGACCTCCCAAGGGGAGCAAAGCACCGGCCAAGGACCGGAGAACAGCCAGCGCGGCGGTGACAGACGCTGCGTAGCGAGGATATGTGTCTAGGAGGTAGTTCTGCACACACATCTTTTCCCGCCAAGTTAGCGATGAAATTCTGGGAATTTTGAGCGCATTGGGGCTTACCATGACACCCATAAGACCGATGCTGAAAATGACGACGCCAAGCATCGGGACGATGAAGTGGACACCCTTCTCGGCAGTCCAGCCGTAGATGAAGAGACCAATGGGCAGTACTACACCGCAGGGCATTGTAAGGACCGGAGTAAGACGAGCCTCGGGTCTGTGTGTGAGACCCTTGGCTTTGTTTCTAATGACGATGAAATCGGTGAGCATGCCGAAGGTAACAACACCAATCATCATACCAATACCGGCTGGCAGGAAAGTGAGGCCGATAGTCCCCTCGTCAAACCCGTACTGGTCCTTGTAGACGAAGGAGAATGTGGTGATGAGCAAGTAAAGAATACCGTAGGTGATGGCAACGTAGAGAGCCATGAGAGTTACGATGGGGGTGAGGAAGAGGAGCTTCAAAGGGCGGACTATAGCGTGCCGGAACGTATCACTAATTTTTGCCTCTGTCTGGAGCTTGCTGCGGAGGTTCCGGTTGCCGGTTTCTTTGCGGAGCCTCTCCGCCTTGCGCTCGAGAATAAGAGGGGCGAAAGTCTCCTTCATCATAAACCAGGAAAGAGGAATAAAGATGCCGCCCTATGGCCAGGTTAGTCACTAATGTTGTTGGAAATATGGTAACCGATGCAACATACCACAATGGTAACCAGCCAGTACACCCATCTCCACCCAGCGGCCTTGATGAGGTACCCGCCAGCAACGGGTCCGATACAGGGTCCGAGAAGAGGGCCAAGAGCCCACGCGGACATGGCTCGGCCGCGCAGCTCGACGGGCATAATGTCCGCGATACTTCCGCTACCGATGGTAATGGGTACAGCACCAGCCAAGCCCATAAGAAAGCGGAAGGCCATCATCATGGCCATGTTTTGAGACAGGGCAACACCGACAGTAAATATGGTGAAGAGAATATTGCCCCAGATATAAAGACGTGCGCGGCCAAAGACTTCACTCATTGGGGCAATAATGAGGGGACCGAAAGCAAAGCCGAGAATATAGACGGAGACGACAAAGGTTGCTACGGTCGGGGAGGTCTCGCCGAACTCGACCATGATCTTGGGGATGCCGGGGGCAAACATTGACGAACCCTACAGGAGAAGGTTAGTGCTTGCGAAAAAATGCAGGCCTAAAGTAATGGCTTACAAGTGGTCTTCTAAAGTTAGCGAGTGATTTATATGCGATTAGAGAATAAATCGATACTTACGTGACAAAGGTCAGCATTGAAATGGTAGCGACGTTCATCCATTTCATCTTCATCGGCCAGTTTTGGGGGTTCCCTGGGTCATCAGGACCATCCCAGTCGACGATATCAGGATTTTGTTCCGCGTCTTTCTCTGCATCTTCTCTGATATCTGGCGACCCGGGAGCGGATTCAGTTCTAATCGTTGCGCCTTCGAGATCGGATGTGTTGGGATGGAGTCCCTTTTCCATGTCTACATTTCTCGGCGCAGAGTCCGACGACCTCGATTCCGCCGCCATGCTGTGGTAACTCTGGAGTGTGATCTTCCGATGGGTAAGGGAGGTTGTGTTTGTGTGAGCTGATCGCGGGACTTGGTAGTTATTGATATGATTCGGACTTTATTTGCGTATTGTCGTATGACTGGAAAGCTTGGCATGAGCCTCAAAGAACAATTTTGAAAATGTGAGACGCGGGCAAGAGGTAACATTATATTCATCACGGGGGACCAAACTACAGGAGGATTCCGACAATACTAACCCCCGGCGATCAAGAAGGGGTCTGCTCCGGGTGCACAAAGTTATGCACAACTGGTCCATGCGCCAACCCGTCGGGCTGGGTTTCTCGCTCCACACACCATCGGAACAGAAACCGAGACCGAGATACCCTACCGATACGAGCACGAACGCCGCAACGATTGGACGACAGCGATGGCTGCAAGGATGACCCCGCTTAAACGCTAGACGGGCTGGAACATTTTATGAGAACAGACGGCGGTGACATGGCATATAGTCTGGGTCGTTGGTTGCTTGTCGCCGCGAATTCTTGCTCGCTTTCTCATTCCAGTCACGTTCCAGCATGACATCTGGTTTTCGATGGATGCCAAGCGTACCATAGACTGCTGCCAAACAAGTATCGGACGAGTTGAAAGCTGACAATGCCGCCAGACCCGCGGTGATTACTTTACGTCGTAAACCCGAGAGAACGGTAGGGCTCGATATTTTTGTCCCCGAATTCGCCGGTGTCGTGAACTCTGAATGATTGGACGCGTTGTTTCGAAGGGATTCGCAAGTCCACGCGTTTTGCGCACCACAACTCCAACAGATGCACAAGTTCGGCAAGCCTAGCCTTGGTCACGCCCCAATGGTTTGTCTCACGATCATATCCAGTGGTCCAAGACGGCCATTGCGTTGTAAAAAAGGTCGTCGGCTAAATGCTAAACAGCATTGTACTATCCCAAAAGCATGTAGGCATTTCGCCGGCTTCTGCAGTGCTGGGTCATCTGGGCCTGAGAGTTGCACAACTCAGCCCGGAGCTTGCACAACTCGCTCCGGAAGGTGGCCTTCCCGCCGGCCAGTCCCTGCGGGGGAATAAAGCCTTTGAAATTGGCTGCTTGACGCCTTCGCTTCCCCCAAGCAACAAGCTCTGTGAGTGACGCGGATCCTTCCGCAGCCACGGACTGTTGTAAGAACCCGCTGGCGTGAATCCGGCTTTCACTTGGATACAGCAGCTAAAAAGCGACAATGAGGAAACATTTTGGGGATGCTTCGTAGGTGCCAAGGCCTAGCAGACGGGATCGGGGTTAGACTCCGGCGAGGCAGAGACCTTGTCAGTATGCAATGCGTAGGGTGATGCTAACGAGGAATCAGGGCTGGTTGATTGTCCTGGACCCTCCAATGGTTTCCAGAATCGCATCCTCTGGAATACACGTATGGACTCCAGCCCCATCACATCAGCCTTACCTTTCGGTTCTCTAGAAGTTGCACAGGGCGCGTATTTCGTCCGATTTTCAGTCCCCAAATCCGGAGTACCTACTCAGTCAAAGATACTTTACAGTAAAGCTCTTCCAACGACGAATTTCAAGTAGCACAATCGTATTTAGAAGCTTTGCCATTTGGTCCTTAGCGTGACTCCTAGGTCCATCAAGCTGTCGTTCGGACATTTTTTTCGCAATCAAGCTTGCTTGTTTCATCTTTGACTCATTTAAGCGTTTTCCCTTTGTACTTCGAAATATTTTCCATGAAAATGAACATGCAGGAAGACCAGACTGATCAGAATTTCATTGCTGACAGACTTGCCAATCACAAGGTGAGTACAGGGTAAGGAACGTCCTAGAGATCGTGGATAATTCGATAGTCCAATGGTAGCACGATAATGACCTTAGCTCATCCGGCCCCTGTTCAACGTAGTTGCTGGACTTCGGTTTCGGGAACCAAGGCCTCAAATCCCGGTATCCCGACCAATTTGCAACGGGTGCGGAGCCGGCCAAGGCCGATGTCCCCCGCTAAACTCCCGTAAATCCGTTCAGAGGTTTTATGGTCCATCTTCGATCTGTAGATCTTTCATGCCAAGCAAAATGGATAGTAAAAACCATGGACCTTTCGATATCGGTTTCGTGTCGAACACAGGGCAAAGACCAGTACTGCCCCTATCGAAACTGACATGGAACCTCGTTCAACCATCTCATGTCTCTGGAACTTCCAGTAGAGTCGACAAAGTTTCTGAATAAACGATAATCCGATTAATCTTTCTATTTCTGATGTCGAAATTGCTCTGAAGGCCATGGCATGTATCAAGACTTTGGCAAACTGGGGATGTTTTAACAGATTGCTACAGCTTATTCATTTATCAAACCAGAGCATGCACGTGAGGGTCCCAACAGTTTACTTATCAGGCAGGGTTCATCATCTAGCGAAATTGTAATGGAGAAATCGAATGCTGAAGGTGTTATCGAGTTGGTGAATTTATCACTACTCACTCGGTGTTGACAATGGGGCACTTCAGTATTGTCAACTTCCAGTTCGATGAGAAGCAACTCGTCCAAGGCTGTGCTTAGATAGGAAGAACAGATGATTCTAAGCAGGAAGAGCACTGTGTTCGCTGTGAGCAACGCATTACCGCTAAAAGGTATGTGCCTCAATGTAGTTTTACGACTCACATGCCGTAGGTGACGAGCCGCGAAGCTAGGGACCCGGAAGACGTGGCGTACTTATTGATGAGGATTCTGAAGGGACTGATAGAGTCTTCCAGCTTCTGCAGAGAGATCATCACATTTAATATGAATGGCCCATATGTCTTCTTCGGGCAGGATACCACCTGATTTTGTTAGTTAGTACATCTAATCCCGCAACTCGGGGCCAGAATTCGAGAGGCGGTCGTGCTTTCCTTACATCTTGGTTCTATCTCTTCACATCTTTTAACTTCACAACAACCTTGGAATTATGCATTGCGCATGCGGCAACAGAGGAATGTTTCGGTCTACTGCCGTGTGATACGGTAATGCATTTTTCGCAATCATCTACGCTCTACCAATGCCCATCCGATCTTGCAAGAGATCAAGCCGAAGGCAAAACTCGTCCTAGATCCGAGCAAGTCCGGCAAACCTCCCGCTGCATGCCGAAATCAGCTACGCTAGCACCAATGCGCGACTTGCAGAGAACGCGAAGGAAGTGGGGCCTATGGGTGTGGAAGAGGCTGAGCATGCAACATCGAAGGTGTAGGGCTCAGGCTTGTTCTTTTGCAATTCAGGTTATAGCTGCCTTCCATCCATTCTAGACATTGATTATGTTACGGTGTCTATCGACTATCAAGAGCATCATACGACTCCATCCAGCTATTAGCTTCCCTTCACTTGTGAAACATCATGCGAATATACGCTGCGGTACTCACAGGCGGTAGCTTTCAGCCTACAGACTGGGTTTAATCAGATTCTTCGTAAAGTCATCCAAACTGGAGCATATGGTTCGACCTTTGAAGCGAAGTATTTTTCAAGATTGAAGAATTAAAATCCAGACGTTGTAGGAGCTTCTTACACTACTATTCATACTTGTCGCGATGCCCTCACGCGCATCGCGCAGCCTTGTGAGATTTGCGCCAGGCCCGGATTAACTATTAGTCCAGTCCCTTTGTGCAGATCCACCACGCAGGATACATATTTATTTGTTTTAGACAAAGTAATCCTATATATAGAAATCTAAGCCGTTTTCCTTATGTCTTTTTTACCCTAAGTAGTAACTTTATAATAGTTATAAGCTTAGCTTATGTTATACCCTTAAACTACTATATCTAAAGTATATTATAAGCTAAAAAATCTTTTTTAAATAAATTATCTTTATTTTCTTAAACTAATATCTTTAATATATTTATTTTTGTTAAGGCTATAAAAAAACTTAAGATATAAAGTAATTAGCTTTTATAGTATATAACTTTTTAGCTTAAAGTAAAGTTAAAGTATATCTAAGAATTTATTAACTTAAATAAACTTAAATAAATAAATAAAAATAAACCTAAATATTTTAATAAGATCTTAAATACTTTAAAGATTTTTACTCTTAATAAATTTATTGTTAATATAAATCTTAAATAAATTAATAATAAACTCTTTTTAATAATAGCTAATTTAAATATTAAGGTTATATACTAGATATATATCTTAAATATTAATATAAAAAAAGCTATTTAGAAATAATAAAAAAAAGTATTTAATATAATTAATATATAAGTAAAAACATTAATTACTAAATTACTTTTTAAGCTAATTTAAATAAAAGCTTTAGTATAAAACTAAATAATACTTTACTTAATACTTAAGATTTTTAAGTAATAATATATATTAAATAACTTATTTAGCTAAACTATTATTTAAGAAAAATATTTAGCTTTATTAAATTAAATAGCTTTAAGTATTAATTTATTTATTTAGTTAATAGAATAATAAAATTCTTATTTTTATATAAAAATTCTAGATTTACTAAAAGTCTAAGGTACTTTTACTTTAAGAACCTTTTTAAGAGTAATATTATATAAAATTACTTTATCTTAAGTAACTTATAAACTTATAGAAATTATCTAAAATAAGATAATAGGCCTCTTAGTTAAAAACTTAAATAACTATATAATAATCTTAACTAATGTTTTATAAGAAGACTTATTAGTAGTAAAGTACTATAAAAGAAAACCTAGTATTTATATAACCTTAATAAGTTATTTTACTATATTAACTAAGAATAATATATACTACTTTTTACTAAAGAACTTAAATAAAGTATATATTTATAGCTACTTATACTACTAGCCCTTACTTAAATATACCTATATAAAGAAAACCTTTACTAGCTACTTACTTAGACTAGCCTTAATTACTAATAATAACATATAATAAATCTATAATTAAATTAATAACCTTTAAAATATAAACCTCTAAGCTAAATTTACTTAGAAAAAGTAGCTCTAAGTAATCTTTTTGTCTTAAAGAAAAGATCTTAGGAAATATAATAATAAAGCTAATAATAATAAAAATAAT